GAGCCATGTTATACGACATGACAATTTTTTAAAGAGCATAGTAGAAGGAAAAATAGTGGGCAAAAGAAAAAGAGAAAGACTGAGGTATAACTACATGGGGCAGATAAAAGAAACACTAGGTGTCATGTCGTATAGAGAGGTCAAGGATATGGCCTGAGATAGAACTGGCTGGAAAAAGATGCATGAATTAGTTGCACCGACAAGAGGAAATTCTTTAATGAAAAGAATAAAGAAGAACTAAATTGGCCGAATTGAATTTTATTTTTCTATAGCTACTTCTATACTATAAAGTGGTAAAGTTTGTGAGTATGGATGTTCGGAGTAATCTCTAATACTATTGATCCGATTTATAAGATTTTTTTACTGTTAGAAAGGTATCTTATCACTGAATGTTATTGTCTACTTTCTATATTGGCTAATATATATTTTCAATAATTAATCATAATAATTATAATCGACAGATCCTCTAAATACAGCGTGCGATGCCTGAACAATTTGAAATAAAGGAATAACATTTACCATATAGCGATAAAGATATTCATTACTTTAAGCTTTAACAAAAGCCCGCAATACCACATATCTAAGTTTAATATTTCAGCCAAAAATATGTTTTTCTGTTAAAAGTAAATTTTACAAACCTTTCTTTTTAAAATCTTAGGGAGTATTAGTGCAGTTCTTTTGCACACGCTAAAATACCAGCCCTACTGAAATGCGTTGAACAGTTTAAAAGTTATACAAACATTGCACCCGTTCGAAACCGGGGCGGGTTATTTTAGTGTTTTTGCTTAATTTGTAAGATAGATACGGATAGCTTGTCTGGTAGGAGCACTGATCCTGGCATGACAGAAAGTGCAAATGCAAACTACGCCAGCTTAAAAATTTTTTAATCACTTATTAATTTATAATATATATATGATTTCAATAATATTTCTATATCAATTTGTAATTATGTAGCAAATTGTTAAACGTCTTATCATGTACAGTATATTTCACGATTTACCGTACAATGTTATCGTCTACATCCACCATCATCGTGCATGGCATGCATGTTTATTATTGACGGACTTAATGAAATAATAATCAAGTTTTGTTGAAATTAACACAGAAACAATTAGTAACAAAACCAAAACATTTAATCAATTAATCGGTTATTTATTTGCACTAATTATCATCAGACATCGATGTGATCGAGCCAATTATTCGTATCTTTACATTAAGTTCTATTGAAACGGACTTGTTATACGAGTACTTCATAATTTGTAACATCGCTTGCAATCGTTATTTCGCCGTCAATCGTGGAATATATGACATGTAAAAAACAATACAACGACAAAAAAAGAAGTGCATGAGTTTAATAACTCATTTCAAAATGTGTCGATCCATCGGTGGGAGACACGCGAACGAATATCTCAATACATGAATTTACCACAGAGCGGCGCCCCGCTGCGCCCGCGCAGAGCTGCCGGCCGTCACTTCGACGGCGAATGAAGCAATAAATTAATGATAAAACACCACCAGTAAAACATAGTATATTGAAATTGTGATTATTTATTGGTTTATTTATTGCCTTACCCGAGTGCCTGGTGGCAGATTCCATCGGATCCATGATTTTATTGAATAAAAAATAATGTGTACACTCATATACATTTTTTTTCGAATGATCGAGGGTTTTTTTTAATGGGTGATAATGGAATGGTAATCCCGCCTGCACTATCGGTGTACGCTGGCGGGGCACCGTTGAGGGATGATAGGTGACGATGAAAGCAGGTCAGTTAGCCCATCGTGGCAAATTCCACTTGAATTAACCACGATGGTTTCCAAGGGGAACCGTGTGAAAGTCGACCTGGTAGAGTGTATTGGTAGCAATGGGTCAGTTAGACCCCATTAATAATAATCCCTTTCCCCCCAATGGTCGAGAGTTGGACAGCAGCGTCTTTCTTAAAACATCACCAAAAGCCAAACTGCAGTTACCAACCCCTCTGCCAAGTGCAACAACTGCTGACAAAATTTCCACATCGGTAAACAGTCATAAGAAACCGCCACGTTCCTTATGACTAGTGTTGCTAAGTATTCCGATTTGTGCGGGACGTCCCGATTTTCAGGGATCTGGAGACGCGTCCCGATTTGTACCTGATCGAGACGCTAAACGTCCCGATTAATCAAAAAAAGAAGTTTTTTCATAAAAAAAAATGTATATTTACTTAAAGTACGATTTTATTTTATAATTTCTACTAGTCCAGCAAGACTAATTACTTGTTATGTTAGTTTAAATACATATTTAATTTAGATAATTAATATAATACTATACTTGCACTAGTAGTTTAAAACGCAATAAATTGAACCCAGAGTTAAAAACCCCTCGTTTTTTGTTCACTGTCCCGATCTGCAACCCTTAATCCCGATTTCTTTGACCTCATGTACCGATTTAAAACAAATCGGACCTGGCAATACTACTTATGACAAACTATAGGGAAGGTCTAAGTTCAGCAGCGGACAGATAACAACTGATATAATGACGAACCTAGCAATATCACACGTGTAAGTTTATGTGATATTTTTTTTTATACAACTTAAAATGGCAAACAAGCTGACGGCTAACCTGATGTAAAGTGGTAACCGTCGCCTATAGACATGAGCAGTACCATGGACATAACAGAGTATACTGTTTCGCTCATGATACCCCCCATGCGTTGCCATTCCTGAGGACTCAGGTGTTATTCCTCTGTACCCTATAAATTCACACCATATCCCACCCTTCAAACCGAAACACAACCATGCAAACATGACTGCTTCACGGTAGAAACACGAATGGGACAGAGGTACCCAAGCAATCGACTTTTGTACAAAAAAACATGTCTTATTTAAAATCGCTAAAAAGCTAGTTATACTTAATTTATATATATACCCGCGACCGCCTATATATTTTAGTCACAATATCTAAATACTGGTCCAATAACGAATATGTTAAAAAGTCTTTTATCCAAAAAATATTGGATAACAGAATTATTAACATATACGAAAATAAATATCCGACCGATATGGGCGATATCAAAATGGGTGGTGACCTTTTTCTTTTCAATCAATCAATCAATCATCTTTATTCATATACATCTGTTACAGATACTTATGATACGTCAGTCTATAATTATAATAATTACTATAGAAAATAATATTGATTTAAGAAAAAATGCAATAATTACATTTACAATACAATTCACATTAATACAAAATTCAAATCCATGCAGTTTTGTCATTTAAATAGTCATTTAATTTATAATATGCTTTTGTACAGAGAGTCCTTTTTATATATGTCTTAAATTTTCTTTCATTTAATTGTAAAACGTCATCTGGAAGTTTATTATAAAAACGTATACAGTTCCCCATGAAAGATGTACTGACTTTTCTAAGGCGATAACAAGGAACATTCAATTTGTTTTTATTTCTTGTATTGAAATTATGTATGTCACTGTTATTTTTAAAAAGATTTATATTTTTACGTACATACATAATGTTTTCGTATATATATTGCGAGGGAACAGTAAGTATACCTGTTTGCTTAAAATATTCTCTAAGAGATTCCCGAGAAGGCAAATTAAATATTGACCGAACTGCTCTTTTTTGCAGTACAAAGATTGTATCGATGTCAGCAGCCCTCCCCCATAATATAATGCCATATGACATGATACTGTGAAAGTAACTAAAATATACAAGCTTAGCTGTTATTGTATCAGTTAATTGTCGGATTTTTCTAACAGCATAAGCAGCTGAACTCAGCCTGTTGGCCAATTCAAATATATGGGAGCCCCATTGCAACTTATAATCAACTACTATGCCAAGAAAAGTGGTTTTATCTACAAAGTCTAAATCCTGGTGGTCTAATCTAATAGCGGTATTCACTTGCTTAGTATTGGATATGGAAAATCTGATACATTTAGTTTTTTTTGAATTAAGTACTAGATTATTTGACGTAAACCATATCAAAACCTTAGACAAAGCAACATTTACATGGTCAAGGTTATGTGTATTTCTATTCACTTTAAACATTAATGAAGTGTCATCAGCAAATAATACAATATCAGACAAATCTTGAACATGATACGGTAAGTCATTCATGTATACAAGAAAAAGAAAAGGACCCAAAATAGATCCCTGAGGCACACCCATTTCAATATAAGATCCACTAGAATTGACACCGTTTACTTCTACTATTTGAATTCTTGAATTTAAGTAAGATTTTAAGAGATCTAAAGACTTATTTCTAACTCCATAATGTTCAAGCTTCATTAATAAAGTTTTATGATCGACGCAATCGAATGCCTTAGAAAGATCACAAAATACACCAATTACATCTTGTGAATTCTCCCATGCACTGAAAATGCATTGCATTAAATTAATGCCGGCATCAACAGTGCATCGTCCTTTTGTAAATCCATATTGTTGCTTGTGGAGTAAGTCACGTAAATTGAAATGGTCTAACATTTGTAGAAGAATTAATTTTTCGAAAATCTTACTAAATACTGGTAGAATTGAGATTGGCCTAAAGTTAGTAAGGTTTTCCTTATCACCAGACTTAAATAACGGCATTATTTTACTAACTTTCATTAGATCTGGAAACACTCCTTGATCAATACTCTTGTTAAATATTATAGCCAGATGAGGAGCAATTTCATTTATTACAGATTTCATTACCTTTACTGACATACCCCAAATATCTTCCGTATTTTTCAAATTGAGAGAGTTAAAGGCTTTTATTATACAAGAAGAATTTATGTAATGAAACCTAAAATCATAGATACAGGAACTCACAGTGTTTTTTAATAATTGTTTAGCTAAATCAGGTGACGAATTTAATGATTTTGTTGCTTTTAAAGGTATTGTTGAGAAAAAATTTTCGAAAATTCTATCATCAATATATAGATATCGGATCGGTATTCATAATACCCATACGTAGTAGGTTAAACCGCTACACCACCAATCGTCAAATTAAACGAAAACACAGATTTACTAATCATTTATACATTTATTAACAGTCTTAATATGATCTAAAGCTACATCTATTTAACTAAAGCGGAAACCATCTTTGTGCTCCATCTAATCGGATCACCTCACCATTCAGCATTGGGTTCTCCACGATGCTTGTGACGAGGTGCGCAAACTCTTCAGGTTTACCGAACCTCGTTGGAAATGGAGACATGCGTTTAAGGAAATCGGTCATTTTTTCTGGTATGTACGATATTAAAGGAGTCTCAAAGATACCTGAAAAACAATTTTCGATTTTTATCTATTTTTTCCTATAACTACAGGGTTCGACATAATTAGCATTATTTTTAACCGACTTAAAAAAGAAGGATATTCCCAATTCGGTTGATTTTTGATTTTGTTACCTCATAACTCTATCAGTTATAAACCGATATGGATGTTTTTTTATCTGAATTTTATCAAAATCAGTCAGGTCAGTAATTTAATTTTTAAATCAAAATAATTAATTTAGCCACAATTGGAGTTGGTTTTTTTTGTGAAACACAATTTTAAACTATTAGAAAACACCTACCCGAGGAACTGACCGTTTTTCATTTAGAAACGTGGGTTAAAAATCATACAAAAATTTAAGACTCACATGTTAACTTTTGACAAATGGGCATGGCATATTAGTACAAGGTTATTCTCGTAAAAAAACTTACATAAGAAAAGAAATCGCATGTTTATCTGATAAATAATATCAAATATTTAACGACCCACGACCACGTGGTATACTATCCCGACTTATAAATCGCAAAGATCGTGATTTCGTATCCAGCCGATACCAAACACGTTATGTGTCAATTTCAATCTCCAACCAACTCTTTGTTGACATAGAACATCGATTACAAACAAAAATAATCCAAATAATGTTATTCACCCCCTGCAAAGTTGGATTCTAATATGCTCGACGAGGGGGAAAGGGATTGTTAGTAATGGAGACTGAGAATCCTATTGCTAGCAACCAGGCCGACCTTCTCGCGGTTCTCCCTGGAAACCATTATGGTTAATTCCTGATGAATTCATCATGATGGGCTAACTGGCCTGTTTTCATTCTCATCTATCACCCTTCACTGGTGCTCCGCCAGCGTATCCCGTTAGCGCAGGCGGGGTTACCATACCATTTTCACCCATCAAAAAAAAATATGGTCAAGTTTAGAATTACGTTCACATCACAAAAATTACAACAATGGACAAGTGCTGCTGACCTCTCCTTTTTTATTATTTTATACAGATTCGTTCTCACCTGGAGCTATTGTCATTACTCTAATGCCTTGTGAAGCTAAATCCCTGGCAATTGGCAGTGTCATGCCAATTATGGCAGCACTAGATGCGGCGTAAGGAGCTTGGCCGATATCTCCTTCATATGCTATTGTTGCTGCTGTATTTATAATTACACCTCTCTGTCCATCATCATTGGGTTTATTTTTGCCTATCAAACCTGCTGCTAACCTTATAACATTGAATGTACCTACAGTATTCACCTGAAATGGCAGAACATTTTATGATACACTCCAATGAACCTTAATGTGATTTATACAGTCTGGTTTAAGCTAGAAAGCTAGCTGCTTACAACTATCGTGATTAATTCCAAATGGATCAATTATGTCTATGTGGTCCTGGCATAGAATAAGCCACCAACTCCTTTCCTGTGGGTGTCATAACAGGTGACAAGGAAAGGTGATTGATGAGCAGCAGTGTCCCTCTTAAAACATTTCTAAAGACTAACTAGTGTTGCCAATCCACCTGTCAAGCATGGCAACTACTGACAAAATTCCCCAAGAGGAGACTTATGTTTTGCAGTGAAGTGTTAAGGGTTGATATGATGTTGATGATGATGAATTCATTATGATGAGCCAACTGACCTGTCTTCATCCTCATCTATCCTGACTCACAGGTTTCCTGCCAGCATATAAAGATAACACAGGTGGGGTTACCATTCCTTTACCAATTAACAAAAAATATTGAGAGAAGAACATCATACTTACATTTACACACTTAATAAAACCTTCAAGACTACATTCTTTGTCTTTGTGAAAATTATACACTTGATGTGTCTCTGTATGTCCTGCACAGTTCACCAATGTGTCCAAACGTCCAAATTTTTCTCTGACAATATCTAACGCTTTTCTTACATCATCCTCTTTTGTTATCTATAGAAATCAATACAACTTTAAAACAATCTATTGATTCTACCCTAATAAACAAACATTAAATAATATTATAAATGTTGATGCATATTATCTGTATTTTTTTATTTTTTATATATGTTAAGCTAATTATTGATTGCATAAAAAATCTATAGTCAATATGCATAAATTTCATATTAGTACTTGTTTAAACTACTATGAAATTTAGAACTTCATTCAATGTATAGTACATAGATACATTAAATATATAGACTGCTTAAAATGAATATAACTCAATTTAATATTCCATTTCCAAAAAGTGTAGGACAGTTGACAGTGAAATTATAGGGCATAGAAATATCACTTTAGTCCTCACGAACAAGTGAGAGATGTCATGAGTGTCAGCATATATTGTGATGTTCATAGGGCTATTGAAGTCTATAGGTGATGGTTACCATTTCTATCCATTGTATGCAAAAAAAATATGTATTGTTATTTCTTTTTATATAAAAAAAATTTTTTATCACAACTAAATTTTAACATATAAACAAAAAACAGTCAATTTGAGTATGTTTTTTTATTTTGTTAATGCCCATAGATAAAGATTTTTTGAGCATACCAATAATATTTCTTTTGTCAGGTAACTCTTACTGGAAAAAACAAACTGCTGTTTTGAAAACAAATAAAATGGTAAAAAAGTATAAAAACATGAAAGTATAATTTAGATCTATTTGCATACACTATGACCCGTTAATCATTTACACACAATAAAAAAAAATATAAAAACATAATTATTCCTAGAACCTTTATAGCCATTATACTTAAACCCCCCAAAACATAATCTTATAGAGAAAAATATATAAAAGTCTAATAAAAGAATCAGTACTATTCAATTTAATAGATATTTATTATACATTTCTATAAGTTAAAACACCTTTTTATCTTACACCTGAGATCGCAAACCAGCATATGGCAAACCTGGTGGTAAATGGTTACTATGAACCTAGTCTATGAACACCTGCATGGGGCATTATACACATGTTTCCAACCCTGAAGATACCTCTTTATACCTTTTTTGAAAAACCACATGCCATTCTCTTGGAAATACCTCGACAAGGAGCTCATTCCATGACCTAAGCATTTATAGGACAAAACCGCTCTGAAACCGAGTTATACACTCCCATCTAGGTTCTAAGGTATGAGGGTGAACTCCCTGTAGACTGTGAACTATACAATGGTCAAAGGTGACCGTGAGCATCATATTGAACAATTCCTCTAAGTACAATCCCTTGTACAAGCAGTAAAACATGCAGAGTGAAGCAAAATCTCACCTAAGACTAGGGTTTGATGCCACTTATAAACCTGAGATCATCGACAATTCTCATAGCCTAACCTAGCTCGTCGTTGCACTGAGTCGAAGAGTTCAAACTGGTATCTAATACATATTTTAATACTTACACAACCAGCTGATACTATTACATTATCTCCAAGTCTTTTAGCCACCTCCTGAGCTCGTGTAGCTTGGATATCGAGAATAACAACTTTTCCTCCATTTTTTACTAGTCTATCCACAGTAGCTTTACCAAGACCTGAAGCTCCACCGGTCACCAAACTAACCATCCCCTAAAAGACGAGGTTATGTTGGGTTATGTTTGTTTCTACAATAAAAATGACATAAATGATCATTGAAATAAATATTATTCGAAGAAAATAACCTTTAACATTTCGTTAGAATTGATAATGCGTATAAATCGTTAAATAAATTACATTAAAAATTCAATATTTTAAAGCAAATCCTTTGACTTTTCTTGACAAATCAAGTTGACATTGGATTAAGGGTCGCCAATTTCTAAAAATATTTACAACTATTTAATTTATCCATCTACATCTGTGTAATTTCACTAACCAACGCAATATTTACACGAAGCAAAACTTATAATAAGATGCAATCTGTGACTATTCATCTACTACCTATACTAATTAATTAATTTTCAATCCATTAAAATTCACTTCTCTTTTAATTTTTTTTTTAGTACGTTTGTTCCGTTTGGAACAGGCTAAGGTCGGAGACCATGCTGCCTAGTCTTCAAAAAGATAATTTGTCTGGAATTTTATTTTTCTAATGTCTTCTCTTTTAAAGTCCAAGACCCTTAATTTGGCAACATTTTTTTAACAAGGGCAAGGCATAAATTTATAGTACCTCCACGCATTTTATAAGTTATTTTGCTGCAAATAAATATTTTTCAATAAACTTTGTATCAACATGTTGTAATAGTAAATATAGCTTAAACTAAACTAAAATGTAAAATAAAAACAATATTTTTATATTAAATCTAATATTAGCGTCTGATTATTTATCCCTAAGCGACAATAATTTCTGAACGTAGGGGTTGTATAATGTAATCAAAATAAATACAACACGAATCGTAGAAAATTAACATAAGCATCGTATATTTTTCTCTCTCTAGCTATGTTAATGTGTCTATTGCTATCTTCTTCTTAATGTCCAATAATCAGCAGATGTTATTATCTTTTAATTCTTATAGTGTAATAGAAAGTTGTTCTGTCTGAATTCTATGACCATCTTTATCTTTTTATTCCAAAAATGAACAATTTAGCTCAAATAAAAATTATATGATAAAGCAATAATAATATATCGTCTCAGTAAATTGTTATATTTTTCAACAATATCCAATAGAAAGTGTTCCTACTTCCCTCAGTGAAAAGTAAAAATGGCTCAAGTCGAACAACCGATGTTTATACTACCCAAGAAAAGAAATGGAAAGAAACAAAATACAATACCGAGCCATGTAGACCACATAATTAGCGTCCAGGTACAAATATTTATGTTTATTAATGAATTATTCACTTTAAAACCTAAAAATTTTTAAATTTCGTAATATCTTTGTTATTTTATTAGAACGCTTCCAACTTCATTAAATAATTTATAATATTTTTATTATGTAAACAAGTGTTCTTTTAAAATGTAACTAAAAATAACTTTTAAAATATTCTATTTTGAAATACCAACCATTCTACACTTGTACTTATCTGTACTTGTAGAAAATTTCCAAACTAAAAAAAATATTACTAAACTCAAAATGTATCTTTATAGGGAGCTACGGACAATGAGTTACCAGCAAAATATAAAAATGGACTTTCACCCGTCACTGAACATGTTGTGAATGGTATCATACATTCCACAATGGAGGGACTGAAATCAAACATGAAAATTAACTTACCCATCATCACTGATGTCTATGATGAAGAGTCCAATGAACAAAATGGTGACAATGAGTCTCAAAAATCTCAAAGGAGTGGTTACCAGCCCCTCACTGCCATAAACAGCAGCAGAGATATAATTGACTTGTCTCCAATTTATGAGAACTCATCAGATGCATGCTCAAGTCATGGAGATTTAAGAGAGAGCACTGAGAATGATACACACAAAAGTTGCAGAATCCTAAACTCAGACCAGAATGAAAGCTCATCAGCTACTCCCAATAGTCTGTCGCAAACTCAATCTGAGAACAGTTTTGAAATGGGAGCACTCACCGACAGTTTAAAAAACAGTGCTAAAAGGAAAAAGCGAGTGAACATTGTCCCTGGAATAGTTGAATCTGAACATACAGACACTGAAATCACTGCATTGCGAGTAGAATCAGAAGGCTCAATTTCACCAGAATGCTCCTTAACAGATAACTCAAAAGATGGTTACTTGACAATGACTGGCACTATAAAAAGAGGTAAGAAAAAGGGTCAGAATGTTGATGTCAAATTAAACATATCAAGAGAAGAATTGGAAATTATTGAAGCTGCTATTGTAGCTGAAGAATATAATAAAATGGATATATCCAAATGTTCGCTGTATAATGGCCCCCATATATTTTTGTTTACACTAATTTGCATTCCATTTGTTGCTTGCATATCAGCTATGTACTCATTTTATATGGGTACTATGACATGGTATAACATCTTTACACATGTCACAGAAAATCTGAATTGTGTTAAAAAGGTGTTTTTGGCTCCAATAGTGATACTATTGTATCCATTTTTGATAGTCACTTTCACTATTGGACTAGGTTTGTACGCTGGAATTGTTCAACTCACTTTCAGTGGTGCCAACTGGTGGAAGGATGTGTGTGATTTTGAAAAGGGTTTTTATGGCTGGCTCTGTAGTACATTAGGTATATCAGAGTGCAGTCCATATGAAGTTGTTGTGCTTATGGATGTGAAACCATGCTAAATTATAAATGTGGGGTTCACATTACATTATAATCTGTATCTGTGCTGCCATATTTAACCATTAGAATTAAGCTATTCTTAAAATATTCTTAGTAAAAATTCTTGAAACTTACAACATATATACAGTGTAAGTTGACTGATTTTCATGTAATTGTTTAGAAATATTAAGAAGTAAGATTTTAACTGGATTGGGCAGGGATATGACAATCAAAATATTAGAAATATTTAGGATAAACATCAAAGATATGGAGATAATGTCACAGAAAAAACAGATCAGGGAAACAATTATTTAGCTTAATATGTAATTCAAGTTCATTATGTCTTGGCTCTGTTTGCTGAAGATATCAGTTTTTATAATTCTTCTAAACTATAATCTACTTTTTTTACTTGATTCTCTTTAATACCTACCAAAAAGGTTTGATAATGGCTAGTCCAATACTACAGTACTTACAGATGTTTAATTATTCTGACTAAAATACAAAAAGTAAAAAAAAAAACATGTTTACGTCATCTATGTGTCGGTACTCGGTAATAACATGGAAAGCAGCCAATATGAAAAAAGATTGCATTTGTTTCTTTCAGAATTAAGTATTGGTTAAAAATAATGATATGTTGCATATATGCCATCTTTGCAATCTTCTCCTATTTGTGTTATTAGAAACAATTTTTTTTAAACAATTCTGTTACTGAATTATTTAATATTAGCAATGTTTTATTAATGTGAAAATCAACATATAATCTAATATAGTTCTCATCTGTAGCTAATGTTGATTTCTATTCTAGGCAGAACTTTTAAGTTTAGTGCCAGAGGATAGCCCTACATATAGATAAAACCTCTTTGTAATATTAATATATTATGTAACTTAACAGTTTAAGAATCTTCCTTTGCTCAATCTCTTCCAATCTATATTTCTTTCTATTTATATTCTCTAGTCATTACAATTGTACTGATTTATTATTGTGTGTTTACAAATGTGTGGTCATGTAGAATAAGGATACTTATAGTTAATAATTTACATATCTTAAATGCTATTTATATTATTTACAAATTCAAATTTCCATTAAAAATTATATGTACTGGTGACATATGAATGGAGGCATACTTCTAGCCAATGATGGACTGCTATTTGGTAAAGATTTGATAAAGACATTTAAACTAAATTATAGAATAGGGTTATAGATAAAAATATTCCATTGATCTAAAATAATATTTTCAGGAAATAGGTATAGGTCGTTTAACAATGAAAGCAATTTTTTCTGCTTAGCAAATTTTTATTGATATCTTTGATAGGATGATGCTTTTTGCATTAGGAATGATTAATGAAATCTTTTAGAAATATTTTTTTTATAATGATCATAATCAACATTATTTATGAAGACTGATGTATTCTAGTCACTATTGTGGTATGCATTTTCTACCCAATAAAGTATTTTACAAAATATGGTTTGTTTATCTAAAACATGTACTTGGCTACCTACAACTTTCAAGCTACCAACATTTCAAATTAAAACTATAACAAAAATATTTCCCTCATGACGTGTCCTTTGGTTGCTGCTGATCTGTATTTGCTTGTTTCTGTTTAAATTCGGCATCTATCCGCTCTTTCGCTCTAACAATTTTGGATTGTAAATAAAAAGAACCACCTTTTCCTTTATCATTCACTGTAAATAAATGTTCATAATTTTTCTTAATTTTCTCAGAATCTAATTTATCTACATTTAATATTTGCATTGCTTCTTCCAAAGTCAGGCCTGTTGATGCATTAGCTGCTGCTCTTCGAGCACCTTGAGGTCCTCCTCCAGCTCGCTTAGCGGCTTCTTGTGACGCAGCCAACTCTTGTTTTAATGCTCTAGCAAAAGCCCGACCTACAACTTGAGCACCTAGCACTATTATTTGTGCTATATATTTAGCCATTTTTAAATAATAAATAAAATATTGGAATAACCAGTGTCATTACGACATCCAATAAAAATGTCAAAAACAAAAGATATAGGTTATGTTGCGTTTATAATAGATGAATAACACTTATCAGATGCGTTCATAACTGACTTGTATAAACAAAAAATGAACTCAGTACATGGTTTCAGTTTCATTAAGCACTCATATGCCTGACTCAAAGCTGGTTTAGTTTACAAAATCGTATATACTTAATAGCAAAAATATAAATTAAGATTTACCTGCTTATCAAGTAGCAATACAAGTATAATTTAAGCTGCTTGTCATTTACGGAGTAACTTAGAGCCCAAAGTCGTAATAAAAAAGATGAAGGCGCGCATTCGCGCGGGCATTTTGACATTTATCAACCGATCATAACCTGTTTAGTGTTTTTTTCTTTAAAACTGTTAATTTTACCAATATTAATAATTATATCGAAGCAAATATATAATCTTATTAGTGCTGTTAAGCGTAGAAATCTTGTGTAATTAAGTTTGAATACAATGGTAAGATTTTTTTATATAAAAGTTATATTTTACAACACTTGTACCTACGTACAAGTTACCGACTATTCAAGGCATCAGGATTAAGTCTAATAATTTAAATAGTAGACAATTTATTAGTAAAGCATTACTATAACTAACCATCTTTTGAACCATTGTTCATTACCGATCATATGTCTCCTCCGTGGGTTGCCGGTCACTGGGTACCCTTAAGGAAGGTACACTTGTTCGAACGATATGGATGGATGCTCAGAGGTAGGACATTTGGCTTCTAAAAAAATAAGAATAAAAATAGTGTTTATAGTATCAGATTTATTCCTAGAGGCAATTCTTTCTAGTCAACCTTGAGAGTATATAAACATTTTAAATATGAAATTATAAATCATAATGAATTTGTATAGAACAAAAAATAGGTTCTAATACTTTTTTCATTTCTGTACTGATTAACAAACTTGAGACAGCCTGTGATCTATATTTATCTCTATATATAGATCAAATTTCTTTGTCTTTTACAAAAAATGCAATAATCTTGTAAGTTAATTGAAAATTCAATAAAAATAACATATAGTATGTATAACATGATGTTAATTTTGAAAGTTTGCTAATATATGTAATATTATATAGCTAATTTTTATAATATTTTAAATGCAAAACCTTCATATAGAAACCTTTACTAATATTATAATTGTGGAAGTTATTTTTTTATGTTATTATTTCTTGGTACTGTAATAGCTTAACCAATTGTCAAGAAATGTGGTATACATATAGTATTTGGATAGAGAAGGATTTAAGAGACTTATCTCAAACATGTACTCTTGTAGGTTAGTTACAAGTTAATAATTTAAGTTGAAAATATTCAACATTATAAGAAGCTGTTGGTAGATAAATTTTTCAACCTATTAATTATTTAATTAAATTAATTTCAGAGTTCACCAACACCAGACACACCATCTGAGAGAGATGGTGCTCGGTCCAGGATGACTTCACCTGCAAGAGATTATGAGATGTTTGAGGATGAGAGTGCTATACTGGGTGATAATGCCAATGAAGAAGAGGAAGATGATGGGGAGGAATTATTTAATGATAATATGGAAGCGTAAGTATTGTAGTAGTGTAGTACCAAAATAATAGCTTTTTATTTTTTATTTTAAAGAACTAGCAATATTTTTAAATATATATTTTTTATGCAACTTAGAATAGCAGACAAGCTAATGCGCACCTGATGGAAAGTAGTAATCATTGCCTATAGACATGAACAGTGTAAAAAAATTGACTACATAGTACAGCAGTTTCTAAAAGATTACCTTATTTATACTGAAGTTAGCCTCTAGACAAATTACTTTTCTGTAATACCATATTTTTTTAACAACATTTTAGGACAAAACAACAAAAAACAGGCAATTAAACTACTGCTAATATATACCTCTGATATTAAACTATGATCAATGCACAAATTTGGAAAGAAAAACACCTAAAATTAATGTTCTAGTTATAATAAAAATAAATATTTTTGACAGTGATTATCGCCCTATGCCAGCATTGGATCGCTATGACAACGAAGATCTAGATGATGAGGACTATGATGCTATGGCTATTGAAGATCGTGTAGCAGCTGAGCAGGAACTCAGACAACGCGACCGAGAAGAGGGCAAGAGAAGAGATGATCGTGGTTTACTTTATGGTAAGTTATAAAAAATCATAATTATAGTAACAATTAGCACTAAAATCAAACCAAAGCTAATTTTAATATAATATTCATTAGATGAGTCAGACGAGGAGAGTGCAGATGCACCGCGAGCAAAACGTCGCCGGGCAGCTGAGAAAGCAGCCATGGGTGCAGAGGAACAAGTGGAAGAGGGCATCGAAAGTATTGAGAACTTGGAAGATACAAAAGGTTACACAACTAAGGAGTGGGTCTCTATGTTAGGACCAAGGACTGAAATTGCTAACAGGTATGTAACACAATGTAAATGTAACACTTTGCAACTATTATACTTCACTATGCAACTCACAATAATACAGTTTTGCTTCTATTATATATTAGCTGAATTCGCCAGAATAAATTTAAAGAGAAACTAAATTTTTATATTCCAATTTGCATGCACCAATAGGACTTCATTGAATGTAAGTATATATAGAATTGGTTTTACTATCATGTTTATGCTATTTTAAGTACTATCTCATGTTTGTGATGAATATATATATTTATTCAAGTGTGACTGGTAATACACAAGAATTTATTAATTTTCTACATTTAGATTACCCTTAGGATTAAATTATGAGTCATATAATTTGTACTAGTTTAAACATCAATGTATATGCTGAACTAAAAATGAATATTTATATAAAATTACAGATTTAAGAATTTTCTGCGCACATTCACCAACAGTAAAGGGCAATATGTGTACAAAGACCGCATACGACGAATGTGCGAACATAATCAAGCATCTTTCCATGTAGAATTCGATGTCCTCGCGCGCCGGGAACAAGTCCTCGCCTATTTCTTACCTGAAGCACCGTTTCAAATGCTGCAGATATTTGATGAGGTAGCCAAGGAGATTGTTCTACAAATATTCCCAAGTTACGAACGAGTGACCTCAGAGATTCACGTCAGGATATCTGACCTGCCCCTCATAGAGGAATTGAGAACGTTCAGAAAATTACATTTAAATCAATTAGTGAGAACTGTTGGTGTAATCACGGCGACGACTGGAGTGCTACCCCAGTTGTCTGTTGTTAAATATGACTGTAACAGATGCGGTTATATTTTGGGGCCGTTTGTACAGTCTCAGAACTCAGAGGTGAAGCCTGGCTCTTGTCCGGAGTGTCAAAGTGCTGGACCATTTATGGTAAGATCATATTCTAAATATACATATGTTTTTTGATGATTCACTAAATAAATACAAATTAAAGGTAATTTAATCTTGATTTTTATAAACACTATCATATAGGACGTTAATTGTAATATAGGGAATATTTTTAAAATACACATGTACAAGACACTAATTAATAGGTAAAAAAGCAACATCTTTAAAAATCGAATATGTGTGATAAGAACACAACATATTAAAATGTTCTATAAAATTAAAGATGGAAGGTTCTGATTTACTCTCATAAATATAGCTCACAATGTATAACTAAAGAAATTTTTAGGTGAACATGGAACAAACAGTATACCGCAACTACCAGAAAGTGACTATCCAAGAGTCCCCCGGACGCATTCCCGCTGGTCGCATACCCCGCAGCAAAGACTGTATCCTATTAGCAGATCTGTGTGACCGTTGCAAACCAGGAGATGAAGTCGATTTGACTGGCATATATACTAATAATTATGATGGTTCACTTAATACTGAGCAGGTTTGATAGTTTTTTTTATTACTAGCTTTTTATTACTTCATCCTATCAGCCTTTAACTGTCAACTACTGAACATAAGCTTCCCCCATGGGGAGTTTGCCAGTAGTTGCCACCTTTGGCAGGCGGATTGGCAACCGCAATTAGGCTTTGGGAATGTTTTAAGAGGTACGCATATATATATAGGTAGATAGGTATTTTTATTACTTATTACGCCTTTATTGAAGAATTACATTAGTATAATTTTCACAGGGTTTTTTTTAATAATATGTAGCCTGTTACTCGCTGATAATGTAGATTTCTATAGATGAAGAGTTTTTAAAATTAGTTGTCTAATTTTTGGGTTTATTCATTACAAATAAATAAACATACAAAAAAATCTTTCCCATTTATTAAATTAGTATAGAAATGAAATACTTTTCTAGGGCTTTCCAGTTTTTGCGACTGTGATAATAGCAAACTACATTGTAGTAAAAGACTGCAAGCACATAGTTGAATCGCTCACTGACGAAGATGTGGCTACGATAGTGAAGCTGTCCAAAGATCCTCAGATTGGTGAGAGGATCGTGCAGAGTATAGCGCCATCTATTTATGGTCATGATTATATAAAGAGAGGACTAGCTTTGTCATTGTTCGGTGGAGAATCAAAAAATCCAGGTAATATTTGTATTGAACTATTCCCATTATAATCATCATTTTATTCTTTATTTTTATAATTAATTTGTAATTTATGTCAAATATTATAATTTATTTTTTAAATTAAACTTATACAGTTTTTTAAATATTAACATGAACAACTAATTATAAATAGTCTCCCAAGGCACCAGACCGAAGCAGGGTACTCAAGATACTGGCAGCATTACCTCTTTGGATTGCCAAACTTATCTTTTGCGCAAAGTTACAAGAGCTACCAGCTCTTGGGTCACTCGATAAAACGCATTACAATCGTCGAATAAAAATGCTTTATGTCTGGCCCCCATCTTTATTTAGTAAATCTTAATATTTGTGTTAAATATAAAGAATATAATTGTATATGGTATATTGTTTCTTACTATAATAATTTTCATTCTTATACAAATAGAAAAATTTGGTGTTACAATTGTTTATCCCCTATTTCCAAAATTCTTTTTCTCGTTTTATCTAATTTATAATCTTTTCAATGCAACTAAAAATAAATACGTACGTGACGTGAATTAGTTCCCTGCAAATGTGCTAAAATTCTATTTCCTATTTTAGGTGAAAAACACAAAATTAGAGGAGATATCAATGTCCTTATCTGCGGTGATCCCGGCACTGCTAAATCTCAATTTTTAAAATACACAGAAAAGGTAAATTTATTGTCTTGTTAACACTATCTATCTATATTTTGTATATTTTTTTATACATATTTATCTTTTTTTTTATACTACTTCGAATGGCAAACAAGCTGACGGCCCATCTGATGGAAAGTGGTAACCATCGCCTATAGACATGAGCAGTACCATGGACATAACAGAGTATACTGTTTCCCCCATGCGTTGCCATTCCTGAGGACTCAGATGTTATTCCTCTGTACCCTGTAAATTCACGCCATATCCTACCATTCAAACCGAAACAGCCATGCAAACAACTGCTTCATGGTAGAAACACGAATGTGACAGAGGTACCCAAGCAATCGACTTTTGTACAAAGTCTCCCTCGGGTTGATATTTAAAAATCACGTGTCATGCAATTTGTTTCGTTGTAGATTGCGCCCAGAGCAATATTCACCACTGGTCAGGGCGCGAGTGCTGTCGGTCTCACAGCTTACGTAAGAAAAAATCCTACCACCAGGCAAGTCAAATATATTAGAAAATAACTCTTCCAAGAAAAAGATTTTATAATGAATACATAATCGGCTTCACCGGTTAGGGCATTTTCAAAGGTTTCAAAAACACTTGTTTTTTTAATTAATCCCTTAATTGATTGCAAAGGAAAAATCTTTTGTGGAAAAGTACTTTTTTATTATTATTATTATGTCAGTATGCATAGAGTGCTGACGTTCAAGACTATTAACTTAGTCGTTCAACTGTTTATTGTTCACTGCTGTACATAAATCTTCCCCATAAAGGGTGTTTTGTCAGTAACTGCCACGCTTGACGGGCGGGTTCATAACTGCAATTAAGCTTTTAGAGATGTTTTAAGAAGGACGCTGCTGCCCATCCCTCAGCCTCTCTTAGTCGCCTCTTACGACACCTACGGGACTAGGTGCTAAGTTAGGGCAATACCTACGCGATTACCAAATTTTATTTAAATCTGTCCAGTAGTTTTCGCGTACAAGAGTAACAAACTTGCATCCTTCCGTACAAATCTTCGCATTTGTAATAATAATATTATAGGATTTTTTTTTCCATTTGGTCCCTCCACATTCCGCCATTGTTTATGACCTGTGACGTCACAATAGTAAATCTTTTCTCACTTTCGCTGTGATGATGTATAATTATAATTGTTTATGTTAATTATACCCAGATGACTGTTCTTCGTGACTACATCATTGGTGGCCTTTGTCTACTACTGAGATTTCAATGAAAATTTTACAAATTATTGTATTTCAGAGATTGGACTCTAGAAGCGGGCGCCCTGGTGTTAGCTGATCGCGGAGTTTGCTTGATCGATGAGTTCGATAAAATGAACGACCAAGATCGCACCTCCATACATGAGGCAATGGAACAACAGTCTATTTCTATATCCAAAGCGGGTATTGTGACCTCTCTACATGCTAGGTAAGTACTATTAGGCAGACGAACTTCGTAAGTTGTTTAAAAATAAGTTTAACCTTCCATTATGTATGGATCTATTATGCTCAATGATCCGTTTTTATTTAACATTTTTCACTTGATTTTATGGTCAAAACAATTTGTTATTTCAACTGAACTCAGTCACTCATCTCGTTTTTTTTTTAACACAAAATGTAATAGCTAAATATTATTATTTACATTTTATGAATAAAAAATATAGTTATAGCCATAAACAACAAACTTACTGCACCCTAGTTATATTATCTTGCAGAAGTCCATTACACAGGTTATTCGATTAGAATTATTTTGTTTATTTATTTAATTTAATACATTACATAGTTTATTTTGTTATTTACTTGCATTGTTACAAGTTTTCTGGAGGTGGTGGCCTGGTGGCTGCAGCACTGGTTTTCCTATTTCAGCCATCAGTCTCCACAATACATAAACAATTCTTAAGTGAATAATAGGTTCATACAGTAGATTTAATTTAATGGCAACGGAATTAAAATAAATAACAAACAAATAATAACAAATATCAAATAACAATTTTCTTTTCAGTTTAGAGTTTTAATGCCATTTTTAACTGTTGAACATAGGCCTCCATCTTAAAAGAGGTTTTGCCAATAGTTGCCAAGCTCGGCAGGCAGGTTTGCAGCTGAAGTTAGGCTTGGATGCTATTTGAAGAGGAACATTGCCATCCACCCATCTACTGTTAACTTTAGTTAGTCACCTCTTCGACACTCACTGGAAAAGAAAGTGTACAATTGTACTATTCTGTTAATATTAAGTTGTCAGCCCGAGGTATACATTCATGAAATGACTTGCATTACGATTCGCTTTCGACTTTTGTAACCCCCTGTATTATCAATTCCTCAGATGTTCAATAATAGCGGCGGCCAACCCTATCGGCGGTCGCTACGACGCGTCGTTGACGTTCACAGAAAATGTGAATCTATCTGAGCCGATCCTGTCCCGTTTCGACGTACTCTGCGTTGTGAGAGACGAGGCGGACCCTATGCAAGACGCACATTTGGCCAAGTAATTATCAATTTTATAACTATTTTGAATTGATTTGTAAATAGAATAAATACGAACGTTATTAATTACATTTTTCAACTCCACTAAAACAGGATGTTGTAGATTTGAAAATTTTACCTGTTTCTGTGCCTTTTTTTATACAACTCTGAATGGCAAACAAGCTGATGGCCCACCTGATGGAAAGTGGTAACCGTCGCCTATAGACATGAGCAGTACCATGGACATAACAAAGTACTGTTTCGCCCATGATATCCCCCATGCGTTGCCATTCCTGAGGACTCAGGTGTTATTACTCTGTACCCAGTTAATTCACGCCATATCCCACCCTTCAAACCGAAACACAGCCATGTAAACACAACTGCTTCACGGTTGAAACACGAATGGGACAGAGGTACCCAAGCAATCGACTTTTGTACAAAGTCTCCCTCTGGTGCCTGTTTGAGTCTCCTTTTAGAATTAACCAAAATTAAGTAAAAATAAGAGTTAAACTCTTGTTTTATTTCATTTAAAATATAAATAAATTCTTACTCTAAATATTGAAATTAATAGTCTTACAGTCTTTCAACAACATAAACTGTATAGATATAACCAGCTTTTTTATATTGCAAAACAAACTGAGGAACTAATGTCTGGTAAAAAAATAAGACATAACTTTATTTAATTAATATATAATTATTACAGATACAGATATTGTACAGATATATTATTACAGATATTGTACACTCAGAAATAAAGTTTTTATCGACTAACTTTCGTAAAAGAAGGAAGCCCTCAATTCGGTTGTATTTTTATTATGTTTGTTAGTTTGTAACTCCGCTAGTTATAAATCGATTTGAATTTTTTTTTTTATTTAAATTGATATACTTTATAGATTATAGATTGGTCTCTTAGAAATTTTATCTAAATAGTTTCAATAGTTTAGTTTTTAATTCAGAATTACTGGTTTTACCACAATTGGATTCAGTTTGGTTTGTGGTATACAATCTTTATTAATTATTATTCACCTTTAATTGTCTCACTTGGGTTCTTCCAACTAGTATAAATTATATATAATTGCCTTCTACATTAACACAGTGATAAAAATAGAGACAAAATATATGTCTAATATTTTTATAAATGTTTCTCATAGTCAGAAATATTTAAAACACACATTTCCAGCCTCCTTGATTGTACAAAAACGAGTCCCTAAAAGATTTTTTTAATGCATGACAATGGAATGAACAACCCCACCTGCGCTATCAGTATACACTAGCGAGGCATCAGTTAGGGATGGTTAGTGAGGATGAAAAGGCAAGTCAGTTAGTCCATCGTGACGAATTCAATGATAAATTAGTCACGATGGTTTCCAGGGATAATCGTGTTATTAATAATAATAACAGCCCCCCCCCCTCCCCCCGGCCCGCCTAAAAGATTAGGTAATTATTGAAACTAACTATGTCATTAATTTTACAGGTTTGTTGTAAGCTCACATATTAAGCACCACCCAACGCAGCGCGGCGCTGCCCTGGAGGACACCACCGGACCGGACCCCGATTTCTTATTACCCCAAGACCTACTCAAAAAGTACATTGTTTACGCAAGAGAGAATGTGCATCCGAAACTACAGGTAAACATAACATTTATTCATTCAAGTTTTTTTTTTCTGTATTATTACTATTTTAATTTTTTTTACATTTGTAACAAGAACTTCATAAACATTTTATTAATTCTCCCATACAGAATATGGATCAAGATAAAGTGGCCAAAATGTACAGCCAGCTGAGACAAGAATCATTGGCTACCGGCAGTTTACCAATTACCGTCAGACATATTGAATCTGGTCAGTATTCCACTATTTTAACTGCCAACTAAGAATGGCAAATACTACTATATGATTGAAAGTGACAACCATTGCCAATGTGTTTTATATTAAGCTTTATACTTAAATACACTGCCGTTCATGATACCCTTCATAAATTGCTGTTCCTAACAGCAAAGGTGTCATCTGTACTGTGTATCAATTTAGATTGTTTCACAAAACAAATGCAATTGCAGTATAATTGAAAAAAGAATGTTTACCAGAGAAAGACTGTATATAAACTATATTACAGGAGCTGCTTTTTATGATACCCCTGATATATTTATTTAGGATTACCAACATAAGATACAGCGAAACATTTCGATACATTGTAAAAACATTAATAATTTTCATTCATTTGATGTCGTCCAACAATTCAAATTACTTGAATTTAAATTAAATTAAATAATATAAACTAGCTGTATCTTGTAGCTTTGCCCACGTGATATATATATATATATATATATATATATATATATATATATAGTATCCTATCTGCTAAGGATTTATATCCTATGATCTTATGATCTTTCCATGAAAGAAGAATAAATACATCCATACTTCTTTACAAACTTTCGAATTTGTAATATTAATAACATTATATATATTATTTTCAGTGATTCGAATGAGTGAGGCTCACGCTCGAATGCACCTGCGCGCGGCCGTGTCGGAGGCAGACGTGAACATGGCCATACGTACCATGCTCGAGAGCTTCGTCGAAACACAGAAGTACAGCGTCATGCGTGCCATGCGACAGGTAACGTTTACCTACATTGTCCACCAACATATATCGTAATCGAAGCAATCGAAAATCACAATATATATCGTTATGTGTGTTAAACATTATAGTTTTTTTTTTATATTTGAATCACGCCATGTATAAATTTACATATACTCATCTATATAGATACACTATGTTTCATAGTGGAAAGAGTTACTGTTAGAGAGGAAGGATTGTTAACAATGGAGACTAAGGGCTCCATTACTAGCAATGGGTATATACCCAACCAGCTGGACACGTGGTCCCCCCTGTAAACCATCGTGCTGAATTCCAAGTGTATTCATCACGGTGGGCTAACTGACCTGTCTTTTCATCCTCACATATCATCACTCACTGGTGCCACGCCAGCAAATACCGATAACGCAGGAGGGGTTATTATTCCATCATTACCCATTAAAAAAAGAGTTATTATTATGTTTACGTAAGCTAAATAATGGTTTTAATGTAATTATATTGTTTTACAGACATTCCAGAAATATTTATCATACAAAAAGGATCACAGCGAACTTTTATATTACATCTTGCGCCAATTGACTATGGACCAGCTGGCCTACATGCGAGGTTTACACAACCACTCGCAGTCCACAATTGAAATCTCAGAACGTGATCTGATGGAGCGCGCCAGGCAAATAAACATAACGGACCTCAAACCATTCTATGACAGTAGAATATTCAAAATCAACAGTTTCTCATATGATCAGAAAAGAAAGATGATAATTCACACATTACCAGAAACTCCAACTGTGTCCTAGATGTTTCGGATCAGATAAAATATTTTCTCGTATATCATAAGCTACAATAATTAATCACTAAAATCTATTTTAATAAATGGGACCATATGTCTTATCCTATCACAACTATTGTATAACTTGTATGAGGTTGACATTGAAATCTTTGGTATTAAAAGCAAGCCAGCCATTTACTAAAACGAATTATAGCACGTTTCTTTTATAAACATTATATTTTTTCAAAGTAAGACTACTTCATAGTATATCACGATATTTGTGTTATAATGCTAGAAATATAGTAAGAATTTAATTACAAACAAGATCACAGGAGTATGGTATTAATACCCCAGTATCAAGTACTTGTACGATAACTACAGAATCCTATCTTGCCATATACCCATACCCTATCCTATCCTCTAATAAGAAAACCCCATCCACCCTTCAAACTCTCAAATTCATTACAACTATGTAATTTTTGTTACATATATTGTTTCTCATAGTAGAACTTCGATATATCAATTGTTAATTACATATAGATAATAGTTTGTAAGAGGTTTTTCGCACTAACGGTCGTGCGTGAGAGGATTGTTATTCCCGCCAACTACTGTTCCAGAACACTAGAAGGCGACTTACATTGCTACAAGCATCTCATTATATATGTATAGCTCGTTTTTCTTTATTGTAAGAGTACAAATTGATTAAATAATTTATAATGACAACTACACATATCCACTAAATATGATATAAGGATAGAAGGATACAAAACTCAATGCCAGTGTATTTTATAAAAATTATATAATATGACCCACCAATATTTTCTTTTTTTTTATGTAGATAATTAAGTGATTTATTTGAATCTATATTTTTAAGTTTTTTATTCGTCTTTATGTATTGTATTGGTTATTATTAGTATTACTATAATCAGTTAATGTTAAAAATTGCATGAAAAATATTTTCTTTTAGATTTTGGTTACTGATTAATATAAGAATAATTTTTTATACTTTGTATAATTAATTGACAATTTTGATGTCTTTGTTGAAATAACAGTACGTAAATTAAGCAGATATCTTCAGTAAAAATTGTATAATATTTTTTGTGTCTTTTGTGAGTAAATATTATTATTATAATGGAATTTGAAAATACTCCCGAACTATTTTTGTTAATGGTGTCCATATGGAGTAATTCATAATTGATGATTTTTTAATAATATTTAAATTCTGTTTCAATAGTTTTAAAAAATCTTCTGTATTCTAAAAATCTCAAGAATGAAATTTAAATATTGTAAGTACAATTCCATATTTTGACATCACATCGAGTTTATTATTACTTTTGGCTACACTGATATAATTCTTATATAAATGGCCAAATAGGAATAATAATACAATTAATCTCAAATAAATTGTTTTAATAAAAAGTTGTTTTTTAATACTAATATTGGTATCGTAAAATATTACCGATTCCATGGATAATGGCTGTTTGTTGTTCTACACAACAGAAAATTCCTGGTTATTTTAAATCACCAATCCCAAGTTGGCTAACTTGGGATTGGTGATTGTGGTGATTGATGAAAATGATCACCACACCGAAAATATAAAAAAAACTTTAACAGTTGGTTGCCATCTTCGTATCAGAATAAAAAATGGGCAGTTTCTTTAATAAAAGAACCCCATTTACTTGAAAATAATACAGAAATCAGAAAGTATATAAACTTCTTTTTATGTATTAACCACTTTATATGTGCAAAACTACTAAATAATTTGTGATATTATAAAAACAATTATCATCTCAGCGGTTACCTCTTTACTACTGAACATAGGCCTCCCATATAGATAACCATAATGCACGATTCTGATCCACCTGCATCCACTGTCTCCCTGAAATGCATTAAAACAATAACAATAAATATTATTTCATATTTAAGATCAGTTAGAAGAAACTATTCCGACATATTCAAACAAATGATCTAAAGTTCAGCCATTTCGCATTGGTTGGAACAAGTGAAACTGGCCAATAGTAGTAAACTAGTAATATCAGGGTACTTATTACCAATTCTAAACGAATTTTGAAAAACCTTCGCATTAGGTTTTATATTGACCCTATTGTTTAAACTGTAGTTGCAATTTTTAATGAGACTTCACCTGGATAATTACCAACCCCACCTGGATAAGTAGCACCCCCCTTTTTTGCTGTGGTATCTACTAGCAGTCACAGATTTACTATGGTATTTGCTGCGAAACTGATTGTGATGTACCTATTATATTGTTAGCGATACTGGCTGCTTTATCATAAAACAATACATTTAAAATCCAAATTCCTCACTTCAAGCTCTTCTTTACTTCAGTAATAGTCAGTCAAAAGCAGGAAAGTAAGATAATGTGGGAATAAAACAAGAAATTGCGTACATTTAAACTTTAATAATTCATTTTATATCAAATTTTCCATTGAGGTTTTCTTCTAATACATTTACATGCAACTTACTATCTAATCACAAAAGAAAATTCCTTTCTCCAAATATTATACATTTACAGAAAAAAAAAATGCTGTCTACATAGACCTATTTGGTATTACAACAGCATTTAATATTACAAAGCCTTTTATCAATTATGTCACATGTAATATTAAAACATCGTTAAAAAATTTATAATTACATTTAATGATATTTAAATCATGTTATAATTTAAATAAGACAATTTGTTCTCTAAACTAATAAACAAGTTGGGTATTCTACAATATTTTAAACTGAGAGTTTACTGACAATCACAAATCTCTTCAGACAACATTGCTGTATTTAATTATGTTAATTACTTAATTTCTGAAAAATATGAACAACAGTTACACTTCATATTTACCTACAAGTTTTATGAAGCCACTGTGTTCCCAATTATGACTTAAAATATATCCAAATTGTTTATAAGCATTTCAAAGATAGAATTAAAATCATAAAGAAAATATCAAGAAACAAAATCAAATTTATATTGTACCTACCTACAAGTTGAAGATATTAATTATTCTTTATTAATTACCTATCATATATTTAAGTCAATTCTAAGAAACTTTATTAAATAAAAATATTCCAAAATGACCAGCATTATAACTACTAAACTTTGAATAAAAAAATAAGATCAAAACTAAAATAGAATGGGATAAATGAAGGTGTTATAACATCTTATTATTAGCTTCATTTCATTTAAACTAACTTATAAATACATCTATATAAAGAAAATCTAACCTAACAATCGCTACAGGATTCTGAATCGCTGCTACTGTCACTGTCGCTTTCAGAATCGCTACTATCACTTCCTGATGAAGAACTGTCCGAAGAGGAGTCTGATGAACTGCTAGATGAGGAACTGTTATCTGAGGAAGCTGAACTATCCGAGTTTTGACGTTTTTTCTTATTGGGTATCTTGCAAACACCTTTGCTACAGAATAAAAAAATACATTAATAAATCTCATGACTATAATCCATTATTAGTTTCTCAAAGACATTATAAACTGCTGCCATTGCGGAATTACATAAATGTTTAAATATCAACTGCTAATCTGTTATGAAAATCAGTTACAATTTTATAAAATATAAAAGTAGGTAGATGCAAATTATTATAAAGTAGTATTAAAAACTGTTAAGAATGTGCAATATTTGTTCTTGAAGAAAAACTTACCTGCAGTTGCCCTCTTCTTTTACATCATTGCTCTTTAAATTCTTCTTGAGAATTTGAGTACGTGATGGGCGCACCAAAATCTTGCGTTTACCCTTGCATTCATAGCTCCAGTGGCCATATTCCAGGCATTTTTGGCAACGTATACCTTGAGGAAAAGCTGCCGCCAAAGCTGCTTGCCTGATAACAAATATTAAATTAAAATTCACAATAACAAAACCATTAAATAATCAATAGTTGCTCATTTTAAAATCTTACTTCTTCCTTTCAGCTTGATGTCTGTTATATGTACCCAAAGTCATGTTGAAATGAACTTGGAAAGTTGTCCAGAAGAAAATATAAATAAAGATGTTTTACTAGATTTTGGAACCCTATTGGCTACTACTAATCAGAGCCCTTTTCGAAAGCAAATGATCGTTAGTTTAGATGATAAATTAATAATTCTGATGAGTATATATCAGATGTGTTTAATGAAATATACAATTATACACACAATCAAAAATAAAAATTATCAAGAAGAAATGAAGGGAAAACACATTATTGAATGACATTTGACTGACAAAAGACCATTAGTACTAAATGTCAGATACAGAACTCTTTTACTCCATAAATGATTAATACCTTTATTGTTTATTATTTTTTTACTATACTATTATAGGTCAATCCGGGCTCCGATGATTATGCCAATATCAAATTAGAAAAGACTAATGGACACTACAATTTTATCTCTAATGCAATAAGATTTCCTTGTCCGTGTTCGTCAAGTATCTACATCAAGGATTTTTCAGAAAGAATGGTTTATGATAATTTAAAGAGAATGCAATTGTTTTATATTATTTTTTTATAGAAATTTTTCTTTTGCATATATAAAGACAGAAAAGACTAAAGTTAATGCATATTTGATATTAACAAGACGACAAACATTATTAGGGAAAGTGTCATACTCAAACAAAGGAACTGATATATTAGTGATAATTATAGTGTTGTATAGTTCCTTTGTCTAGTCCTCATTCACACAGCGAGCTGTCCCCTATTCTTATTGGGCTAAAACCACCGGAGAATATACAAGGTCTAACGAACAAGGAATTACATAGAATGAATGGTAAAATAAAAACTGTAAATCATATGATTGCCTCCTTTCATCTTATGCAAATATAATTAGTAAAAAGAAGAAGAAAGATATACCATCATTTGCTATTTTTCTCAATTCATAGCGGGCTAGTATATAGAAAATGTCAATGACAAATTTTACATTACTAGATTATATTTATTTATTTATTTCTTATTGAATTCCATAATATAATTTGTAGATAACATTTCAACTACAATTATGGACCCTGTTGGGCACAGCAAGTATATTCGATACAGTTTATGTAAAAAGTATGCAAGCAGGTTGTATTTGAATTTGGTAGGGTTATACGGCTGTACAACGTTGTCTATACACTAGCCTGCTATGAATTGATAAGAATAGCAGCTGATAGTGTATCTTTCGTTCTCTTTTTACTAATTATATTTTGCATAAGAATAAAAGAAGCAATTCTTCGATTTACAGTTTTTATTTTATCTTTCCTTCTACATAATTCCTTGTTCTGGCAATGCGACAAGATTGGTCAAATCGCTCCTATAATAAAAACAATTCTGAAAATTGTGCTCTTATATAAGTGTTGAGCTTTGTGTCATCAATATGAACAGTTACATATAGTTTATTACAATACTTAATATAGACATAAAATATATTATTATGTCTATATTAAGCATATATATTATATATGCATACCAGTAATAGATGTACATAGCATTGGCTATATAATAATCATGTTACACAGAAATATGGAATTATTTAAATTATTTATACTTGTTACAAGAATACTACTACAAGAAAAAGGAAAAAGATATTTAGATTGTATTCATTTCATTTTCAGCCATTATCCGTCCACTGCTGGACATAAGCCTTCCCTATAGACTGTCATAAAGAACGGTTAGATTGTATAATGGCTTTTAATATGACCTGTGTGTATCCATGTATATTCAATAGACCTGTTTTAGAATTTGCATACATTAAAGATAGTCCTTGCTTGTCTTCAGTTGACTCTCAACAGCTTATAATTTTATTATACCTTCAGATTTTATTCTTAGTCTATGCTGTTGGATGTCAATCATAGATTTACTTTGTCAACTTAACTTCTATTGATATATTTCAGTGTCAAGCTATCAAATTTGACAGTGACATTACACATGTTACTCTTACGTGGACCAGTGGATTGTTTCTACTGTGTAAGGTTTCTCGTTCAAGTTTTTCGTACTTTGTAATTATTATAAGTTTTGTAACATAAATAAATACCGATTTTTCGGTTTGATGATGTCCAAAATTTATTTAGCAATAATAAAATGTCGGATTGGTACTGGAAAATCATAGCCTTGACGGCGGCATTCGTATTAACATGTTTTATATCGTATATTCGAACGGATGATAATATCCAGAGGTTACCCTTCTGTAATCCACATAATGTAAAAAACGGCGTTCCAGTTAGTAATGAGTGAGTTTTGCTACTTAAAATATATTTACATAGGTTACTTACATAGTTTTTATAAATTTTTGCCGCTTATTGACTTTAATTATATTATGTAAACAATGTTTATATTAATTTTATGTCACTATTACTTTAAATTTGGTTTTATTTACAATATTTCAAGTACATTTGACTGGTATTTATTTTTAAAGGAAGTTTATTTTCATCATGGACATCAACATAATTAAAATACAGGTCCATACTTGTTTCAACATGTCTTGTTGTAATTTTATATGACAGATACTAGATACACAAGATAGAACTTCTATTTGATTTACTAAAATAATAAACTGCCAGTCTAAGCAATACTATAAATTGAATTACTATAGAATTCAAATGACTTAATAAGTTTGTAATAAGATACTAAAGTTGAAAATAGTTTGAGTAGTTGGATGACTCATGATTTTAAAACAAGTTTTTTCTAGATATTTTTGACATCTGACAATAAAAAGAAAACAATGAAAATAATTATCTCTTCATCTTCACCATAAACAATGCAATCAAACTGTATATTTATTACTTTATTATTTTTTTATTGTAACTATCCTCACATTACAGTTTTTTAATAATATATTTTTTTTATAAGACTGGTAATTAATATTTTTTTTTAATATTTGCAATTGACTATCACTTATTAATTATAAATTTGTTACTATTTAAGTTTCTATATTGATTATTTATTAATTTGTTTATATTTTATTTAGTAAGATTTGTTCAATAAATATTCTTATCTAGTCCTTTATAGTTATTAACTTATTTATTTATTTAACTTTTTTTTGCACCATAAACAAAAATATACAATGACAAGTGAATAATTCAAGTAAAATACAGTAACATAAATACAGATTGAAATATACACATAAAGGTACAAAAGGTAGTCTTATTGCTAGGATAATCTCTTACAGACAACCTTTGATTAAAGGAGAACATATAGAATTATTAGAACTTATTAAGATCTTTGATAAGCTTTAGTATAAAACTGAAGTTTACCAAAGTGTAGCAAAATCAAAATTATTTGTTGTGATTTTAAAAATAACTAAACAGTTTTCAATATTTCTGAATGATTATTTAAAATGTGATCTGATAGCAAATTGTCCATTTACTTTTAAAACATTTATATTTTTTATGATACTTAGAATGGCAAACAAGCTGAAGACCTGGTTGATAGAAAGTGGAAACCATCACTATAGACATAAACAGCACTATGGATATTGTTGAATTCACTGTGTGGCCCATGTTATCCCTCATGTGTTATCATTCTTGAGGGCATGTTATGCCTTCCTGTAAAATGACTGCCATATCCTATTAATCATATGAGAAATTTAATGAACATACTGTGTTTGTTGGTTCTAATAATTGTTTCAATTTCATCTGGAAGTCTTCTTTAGTGTAGGTATGAAGGTATGGTTAATTGTAGATTGCAATGCCTGTGAAAACATCTAAGTGCAGGCAGGAACAGAAGTAGCAATACTTATAAATAATGGCAGATAATTCTAACATTGCTACATTTCAATAACTTTTGGTATAACACTATTAACATAATGACCCAAATATATTACCTGTAAAAAAAAAATGTCTTTTGTTTATAGTTTGGTCATAGTGAGTACATTAGATGGCAGATTGACAGCATTCTCTACAGATGATGGCACAAAAGCATGGGACTTGCAAACTCAACCATTATTGTCATCAAATCTACACCATGTTGAGGTAAGCTTTAACATTATCCTGTGAAGTAACTAATTATATAGCTGTAAATAATAAAAGAAGTATGCTTTTATTATTTATATTTGTTAATTGTTGAAATGAAATCAAAGTTAATATATCTATCAAAATCTATTTACTTATTTAATATTTGTTATGCTATAAATAAGTATTACTGTAGTTATAATACTTAAAGGAATATAATAAATAGCTATATGAATTTTCTAATAAAATTACTTAAATGAACAATAGTTATATTTTATATAATAAATTTTAATACATTTGATATTATAAATGATGGACTTAACACCATATGGCCTTGTATATCCGAGATTAACATATAAAATACTTTTTATCTGAAACCAGCTACTTATAGCAACTTCGACCATGTGTAATAAATATTATATTTTATTTTATTATTTAAATTGTAATGCACAGTGGAACTGGCAACCATTGGGCAAGCCGAGAAATAAGTAGGCTGTGCATTATATTATTTATATAATGCATTATACAGGACTTTCAAACATTGTTTTTCATACAAATATCTGGACAATAATACACATAACAAAAAAGAATTAGTCAAATAGTTGCAGTCATTCTGAAGTGATGTTTTTAAATCCATTCAACAATTTATTTTATTTATATAGATAAAATTCATGAGAAGTTGTGGTTACGATTTGTCCTTCCTAATACTAAAAAGATAAAAGTGAGGATTGTTTGTGATTTCATGGTACTACAATGGCTCAACCAATTGGAAGATACATATAGTTAAGTCTGGTTACATGGACAAACACACATGTAAAAACTTCTTATAAATAAGTTTATTAATTTATTTATAGGAACACCTATTATACATATTGCATTATAACATATATAACAACCATTAAATACAATACAATATTAATGTATTGTACATAATTATACAGTATAAAATGAAGTAAACAATTTTAAGAAATTAGATAATACTAGACTAAAAATATTTTAAAAGTTAAGTTAAATATCTTTAAGATTATTCTTGTTTAAATATTTAAAAAACTTTTAGTTAACATCTGGAGGGAAATGGGTGCGACTGGTGCCGTCTCTTCGAGGTGCACTGTACAGCTTGAGTGGGGAGACAATAGAGCCACTGCCTTTTGATGCTGAACAACTGCTATCATCATCCTTCAAGTACTCCGATGACCTTGTTATAGCTGGTGTGTGTTAAAAATGTAACACTTAGAAGTATGTATAATGGTTCTTTTTTTATGGGTGAACATAGAATTTTTTTTTAAATGGATGATAATGGAATTGTAATTCCCCCTGCGCTAACGGTACACGTTGGCGGGGCACCAGTGCAGGATGATATGATCCTATCATATCATAGCAGGTGAATGAAAAAGCAGGTCAGTTAGCTCATCATGATAAATTTACTTGGATTTGAACACGATGGTTTCCAAGGGGAACCGCGAGGAGGTCGACCTGGCAAGGTGTATTGCTATTAATGCGGCTACTAATCCCCGTTAATAACAGTTCCTTCTCCCCCCAAAATGGAATATTAACCCCGCCTGCGTTATCGGGATTGAACCAAACTTCATTAAAAAAAAAAACACTTAAATGGACTCATCCATTTAGTCGATGGAGGGGCAGAAGCATTCTTTTTAAAATATCAGCAAATCTAACAACTGCGGTTGCCAACCCGCCTGCCGAGCGTGGCAACTATTGGCAACACCCCACTTATGGGGGAGGCTGCTGCTACTGATTAACATAGTTGATGATGATTGTTGAATCAGTTCAACAATCATCATCAACTATGTTGATGATGATGATTCATGTTAACTACGATATTCATGGCTTTATAAAATCCCTCTTTTGGATTTATCAACTTGTTTTGTTATTACAAAAATAATATGCTAACATTATTTGTGTAGATAAATAAGTTGATAAAGTAATGATATAATTGATAACAATAATGCTAATATTTGTAAAAGATAATTTCTTTACTGACTTCCTCATTTGATGACGAAATAAGAATACAATGTTTCATTACCTCTTTTCATCTATATAATATTCTAAGAGGCGACTAGGAACAAAGCATTATGAAGGTATTATATATCAAGTAACCTCACAAGTGTGATATTAGCTTTTTTTATGGGTAATAATGGAATGGTTAACTCCGCCTGCGGTCTCGGTCATTGGCGTAGGAGAACCGTGCAGAGGTTGGCGTGATAGAGTATATTACTAGCAATGGGACTGTTAAACCTCTTTACTGACAATTTCTTATTTTTTTTTATTTGTATTTGACTGTTTTATTTGTAATTTACATAATCATGTATTATTATTAATAAGTAAATATGTTGTCACTGTAACATATTCTATGTGCCATATGGTTTTTGTTTTTGTTCAAAGCACAATTAAATGAAATTTGTATGCCAGATACTGGTGAAGAGTCTGAACAATATTTTAATATTATGTACCAGAGGGAGACTTTGTACAAAAGTCGATTGCTTGGGTACCTCTGTCCCATTCGTGTTTCAACCGTGAAGCAGTTGTGTTTGCATGGCTGTGTTTCGGTTTGAAGGGCGTGAATTTACTGGGTACAGAGGAATAAAACCTGAGTCCTCAGGAATGGCAACGCATGGGGGGTATCATGGGCGAAACAGTATACTCTGTTATATCCATGGTACTGCTCATGTCTATAGGCGACGGTTACCACTGTCCATCAGGTGGGCCGTCAGCTTATTTGCCATTCTAAGTTGTATAAAAAAAAAAACAACCATTTTAGCACTTTAAAAAAAATTGTTTGTATTTGTTGTAACCTTTTAATGTAAAATATCCTTGTTTGTCAGGTGCCCGCGAGACGCTATGGCTAGGCGTGGACGCGAACACGGGCGGCGTGGTGTACGAGTGCGGGTCGAGCGGCTGCAGCAGCGAGCAGCAGACGGCCGGCGCCGGGCTCGACGTGCTGGTGCTGCGCCGCCACTCCAGCACTGTACGCGCGGTTGATCCGCGCCACGGCCACGAGAAGTGAGTCCACTGTATACTACTACAGTTCTAGAACATTCTTAAACATCTTCGAAAAGATTCTTATTTTTCTTTTTTGTATATGTTATTTCTTTGCTAATTGTATACCAATTCTAGAGCTAGGTTCTTTAATTGGTTGTTTATCTCTGCCCTCATATTAATTTTCTTCCGATTGATATTGTTTTATTTTTCAATCGACTTTAAAACTGGAAGAGGTCTTTATCATAAATAAGTTCACCCTTGCTCACACAATATTTATAAATGCATTAACAATGTAATTTGCAGATACAATAAAGAATATATATAAAAAGGGGCTTCTCAATTAAGTTTTTTTTATATTTGTTACCTCGCTTCTCCATTAGTTATAAACCGATTTCGATTTTTTTGTCTGAAAGGATATACTTACAAATTGGACGTAGCCCGATCCTCTCATTGTGGGTCAAAATTATTATAGGGGCCATAAAATGATATTTGTATTTTTTTTTTTACTAACATAGTTTAAGTCAATTGTTACTAACAAAAATGGATGTTTGTAATTTGTAATAAAGAAATATTATTATTATAGAAATTATATCAAAATTGGTTCAGTAATTTAGTTTTTAAATTAAAATAACTGGATTTGCCACAATTGAAGTTGGTTTTATTGTGGAACACAATTTAAATGATTTGTAAACATAAACTGTACTACTTCTAGTCATATTTTTGAAATAGAAATGGCAACCTTGTGCTAGGTGATAAAGTAAGGAAAGTGATAGAGTTAAGATGATGAGGATGAAGTCAAGTCAATCGGTCCATCATGACGATTTCATCCAGAATAAACCACAATGGATTCAAAGGGGGGGCGTGAAGGTGGACCAATGGGTCCAATGGTGGAACAAATGAGTTAGTAAACAAATGACTTTACTAGTTATTTATTCTTTCCTCCTTAAAATTATAAGTCATTTATTTATTTATTTATTTTTAAAAGGTACATCAAAGTCATAGTATAATAATACTCTTAATCACATTATATCAACAGATGGAACTTCAGTGTGGCAGAGCATCAATTAGCGCTGAGTCGGCGGGAATGTATAGGCCCCAGTGGACCCGCCTCGCCGGTCACTGTGGGGGTCGCGCTACCTGAGGGTGTAGTCGCTATTCGCCGCCCTGGGGAAAAAGATGTACTTTGGAGGCAGAAGGTATTGACTCGTAGACTTACAGGGCTCTATTCTGCTAATTTACATGAAATAATGCATTAAAATCAATTCAGATATTTCTTAAACTAAAATTGTATAGTTTAGTGAAATTGTCATGTTTTGGTCCAATCAATTTCATATAGTTCTAACCGAATTCCATATAGTTTGGTTTCAGTTCTTTTTTTGAAATTCTTTTTTTTTTTTTTTGTTTGAAGAGTGAAATATGACAATGGGATTACTAGGCATGGTAGTTTTTAAGAAAGGCAATTAATACATGTAAGCTACCCGAGTGTATTTTATCTTTTTTTTTTATACAACTTAGAATGGCAAACAAGCTGACGGTCCACCTGATGGAAAGTGGTAACCGTCGCCTATAGACATGAGCAGTACCATGGACATAACAGAGTGTACTGTTTCGCCCATGGTACCCCCCATGCGTTGCTATTCCTGAGGACTCAGATGTTATTCCTCTGTACCCTGTAAATTCACGCCATATCCCACCCTTCAAACCGAAACACAGCCATACAAACACAACTGCTTCACGGTTGAAAGTGACTCTTATATTTAAAATATATAAAAGCGATCGTTATTACTACTAGGACGTCGTTAATACTATTAGGATTTGGTATTCATAAGCTCGCTTGCCATTCTGAGTTCTATAATAAAATAAAATATCATCATGGCTGCCTGAGGCTTTCCTAAGGTACGAAGTTGTTGACCGTTTATTGCAAATAATAAGTGGCAGTTGTGGGGCACAGCTGGAGGCGCCCGTAGCCAGCATGTGGCGGCTGCAGGGCGGCTCGCTGCAGCACATCGACGTCGTGTGGGAGGCCGCGCGGGCCCTCGCCCGGCCCGCCGCCGCCGCCGCCTCGCCTCCCTCCTTGTATATCGGCCTGCATAATAACCAGGTTTGTCAGATGTTTTTAAAAGGCCGATAAAACATCCATAATTTCATTGTTGCTGAATTAATTAAATTTCTTTACAAAAAATGATAGATAGATAAATAATTCATTTGCACTACTTACAGCACACAAACAGCAACAGACGCAAATGCAAAGTGAAAAAATATAAAAAAAAATACCAAAAAAAAAAAATTGTGTGATACAAATCAACATATGTGATACAAATCACATATGTTGAACAACTGTTTATAATCACTCCTCTCCATCCAAAGGTTGCCTGGAAGAGATCGCTTTTAGCGATAAGGTCGCCCATTGTTTTCTTATTGTGAATATTTCTTGTAATTGTTTATATTTATAATAAGTTTACTATTGTAATCTTCTGGAGGAAACAATAAATCTATCTATCTATATGTTAACTATGTGTACACAAAAAAAAACTTAATTACAAGAAGCAAGGTAAAGAGAAACAATGGGCGGTCTTATTGTTAAAATAGTGATCTCTTCCAGGCAACCTTAATTAATATTCTGCAGTTAATATTTATCAAGTAATGTGCAAGCTTGTTTCCTTCCTCAATAAAAAAAAAAAATACAAATTGCCTTGTTCATAAAAACAGTCACTTCTTACATGCTCATTTTTACAAATAGTGTTTTATAAATAAAAAAATTGAAAAATTTGTTTTAAAATCATTTTAGTATTTAGAACTTGTATGCTAAGGAGAGATGATCTCGACGAACACGAGAAGCTCTAGTATGCCTTAACTAGAGACCACAGGAGATACATAGTAACAGTATGGCAGGCTTTTGACCAGCAGTGGGACATCACAGAATATGACTAAGTATATTTACTCAGTATAATAATAGTTATACATATGAGTTATCTCTATATCTTATTAGCCATCTCCAAGTCAATATAAATTACTCATTCCTACTTGGAAACTTGGAACTTAACTAAAATTTACATTCAACAGCTATATGTGCAAGAGAGTCTAGCATACACCCAAAAACTAGAGACGTCGGTGTCGAGCCGCCCATTGCCGTGGAAGATGCTTCAGTCGCGACCTCTGATAGAGGGTGACGAGAGAGGACTGTCGGTACAGGAGCCCGACTCTAACACGCTGTCTTTAATTACGCTATACGGCAATACGGGACAGGCGGGTGAGATATTTTTGTTAATACTAGTTTTTACTAAGACCAAAATATGTTAATAGATCTGGATAGAAAATAGCCTGTGTTCCTTTTCTAAGTACTGTCCCCCTTATTCATAAAAAACTAAAACCTACGTCCGTCTGTGGTTTCGTCATAAAAAGGCCACCCATGCCTTTCCTGTGGGTGTCGTAAGAGGCGACTAAGGGAAGACGAGGGATGGGCAGCAGTGTCCCTTTTAATACATCTCCATAGCCTAACTGCGGTTGCCAATCTGCCTGCTAAGCATGGCAACTACTGGTAAAATGCTCCAAAGGGGAGGCTTATGTTCAGCAATGGACAGTTGGCTGATATGATGATGATGATGATGGAAAGCTTCTACAAACCTATTTTAACTATTGTAGAGCAACAGTTAAAATTTTTGTATTTTTTTCTTAAATTGAGAGTTTCGCACAAAAGAAAGAAACAAAAGAGTTCAATAGCTAAAATAGTTTTATGAGAGGTTTTTATGAATAGGAATGCATGTGTATACTAAATTTTGTGATAATCGGTCGTTCTGTTAAGATGCTAACAAGCAACAAACAAATTTACTTTCATATTTATAATATTTAGTAAGAATATATATTTTTTTTTATACAACTTAGAATGGCAAACAAGCTGACGGCCCACCTGATGGAAAGTGGTAACCGTCGCCTATAGACATGAGCAGTACCATGGACATAACAGAGTATACTGTTTCGCCCATGATACCCCCATGCGTTGCCATTCCTGAGGACTCAAGTGTTATTCCTCTGTACCCAGTAAATTCACGCCACGCCACACGGATGTGTTGAAATGCTGGAACATTTTAAATCCCATCTACGCTACTGGGAGCTGCTGCTTCTATCCAGCGTAAATCGATAGTACAGATGCAATATTGATTATAATTTTATTTAAAAAAAAAAGGTTAGACATTAATTTCTTAACACCAATTATTTACAGGCAGCCACGGCTTCTTCCTCTACCTCCAAGAGACATGTGACCAAGCAGTTCAAGTCTCTGAAGATATTAACATTCCGGATATAATATTGCCGAATAACAGTGATGAAGAGTTTGATCACCATATCCATGTTCACGTCTCATCACTGTGGTATTGGTGGAAAGAAGTTCTTGTAATAGCAGCTAGTTCAGCATTACTCCTCAATTTGATTGTGTGGCCTAGATTATTTGTGTCCAAAGAAAGCCCACCGAGCCCCTTACCAGTTGTTGATTCGCCGCCCCCGTACCAACCGCCAGTTGTGAATGCTCCAGAATTTTTGAGTAGATATGAGACAGACTTCACGCCATTGAGGTGCCTTGGTAGAGGGGGCTTTGGTGTTGTGTTCGAAGCGAGGAATAATATTGATCACAGAGGTTATGCTATCAAAAGGATTACGCTGCCTAGGAAGTAAGTATTTTCCAAAATGTGTACATCTAAATTAATCTAAGTTATAAGAGAGGAAAGATTTATTTTTTGTTTATAAGTGACAAACTCAAAAAATATTATTTTATTATCGGATTTAAATAAAACCAACCAATGGGTACAAGGTTCTTAAGTGGCGACCTCGTACGGGCAAACACATTTTAAAACAACTCCCAACTAAACGGGGTGACGACTTTAAATGTATTGCAAGGAGTCAGTGGATGCAGATGGTTCAAGAATGTTCCTTATGGCAGTCTGTGGGGAGGTCTATGTCCAGCAATGGACGGATAATGTCTGAAATGATGATGATAATGAATATGGGCTCTATTTTTGACAAAATTAGAGATCTTTACACTATCTACTTAACCGATTTCAAACTTAGTATTTACATTAAGATGAATTTAGATCATGAGATTGAATATTTATTCTTTCTATGATTCTTCGTTAATATATAAATATTTCCCTGAACTAGATATTATTTTGCGAAAGTCAATATCACTGGAATTATTTTGTTTAAAATTATTCTAATCAACTGGCTAGTAATGTATAAATGTTTAAATGACTTACGTGAGAATAGTGCAATTTGAAGATGAAAGCAGATCAATTAATTCACCGTAAGAAATTTCGTAACAATTAACGCAATTGTTTCTAGGGAGAATCGCATGGGGATCGACCTGGTACAATGTATTGTTAACAATGGGGCGTTAAAGTCCATTACTATAAACCCCCTCTCCATCTCGAACCCCTTCAAGTTTTTAAGCAACTTAGAATGGCAATCAAGCTGATGGACCAACTTAAGGAAAGTGGTAAACATTGCTAATAGTCATGAGTGGGGGGAAAGAGATTATTAGTAATGGGGTCTACCTGACCAATTGCTAGCAATACACCCTATCAGGTCGATCTCCACGCGGTTCCCCCTGGAAACCATCGTGGTTAATACTAGTAGAATTCGTCACGGTGGGCTAACTGACCTGCTTTCATCGTCACTAATCATCATTCCTCACTGGTGCCCCGCCAGCGTATACCGACAGCGCGGGCGGGTTTATCATTCCATTATCATCCATTAAAAAAAATAGTCATGAGCAGTACCATAGACATAACAGAGTATACTATTTCGCCCATGATACCCCCCATGCGTTGCCATTCCTGAGGACTCAGGTGTTATTCCTCTACCCTGTAAATTTACTGCCATATCCCACCCATTTCCATCAACTGTGGTGTTCCCCGTGTATACTTTAATTTAGTGCATAAAAGTTAATATTAAATTGTATGTCCGCCTATAGAGAGGAGAAGCGGCAGCGCGTGTACCGCGAGGTGCGTGCGCTGGCCAAGCTCGAGCACGAGCACATCGTGCGCTACTTCAACTCCTGGATCGAGGTGCCGCCGCCGCGCTGGCAGCGCGACCGCGACCGCCGCTGGATCAGGTCTGCTTCAAAACACTTTTACAAGCCTTTAGGGGTGGGCGACATACAAAATATATAGTTACAGTATCCATATATTAGTCCATTACCATTATTTGAGACCTTTTCTTTACACATTTAGACATAATTTTAGACATGTTCAGTGTGTGATGTTTGTGCTTATAGTCAGAAATGTAGTTTAGGTTAGGTTTCGTTTCGTAAAAGATACAAATATTATCTTGGTTTTATAAAATTCTCCAACTCACATTGGTAAATTAGATTTACTGGTAAAACTTAAGATTTAGCAATGTACGAACTTTTACAGTAACATATATATATATATTAAATACAGTGAATTAGAAGGCGCATCCCTGGGAATGAGTGAGGAGTACACGATGACGACACCACCGCCTCCCTCCTCCCACAAGTGTGACAGCGTCAAACTGGACCTCAACGGGCACAAAACAATGGACGATGTCAACCACGATAAACTGTACTTCTCTAAAAGAAACAGGTATGTTCCAAGCCATAAAATATAAAAAAAAATGATGTTTTCTAACCAGTGGCTAAAATTTAAAAACGGTCAAATATCGTTCTAAAATGTTCATTAGTTGGATTCATTTATTGACTGGATTAAAAAAAGTATTTATAAATTTATTGTTTATAATAATTCTATGTGATAAATACATACAGTTTTTCTAGAACCATCCCCACTTTTATAATTTGTTTATGGAAAAAGCTATTGTTATTTAAGGTATTAAGATATAGTCTGTCATCATGTGTACGGGAATGTACACAATAAAAGTCATGATTAATTTCTGCTGTTCCTCATTTGATTTATAATAAAGTTAATATAATAAGTTTGTCCATAATATGGGTTTTCCTTTACCGTTGGGTATTGGTTCGGTATTACATGGCGAGGGGTGGGTCTTCACCTTTATGTCGCTATTATCCCATTTATACACACGAAACGCTTCGTGTTTCTTTTTAATTTATAATGAAATTATCTCTAAGCGTCTGTTTTTTCTGAGCTCTATAATATGTAGCATTTTAAAGCAAAAGTAAATAAGCTGATTATAGATTCTCAAACTCCATGTTTGACCTCATTGTTATTTCCCTTACGTGTCGTGGGAGGCGACTAAGGGAACTTAATGATTTAAGAATGGGCAGCGGCATCCCTCTAAAAACATCAGCAAAGACTAACTGCGGTTGATAACCTTCCGGCTAAGCGTGGCCACTGTTAGCAAAACACCCCGATAGGGGGAGGCCTATGTTCAGCAGTGGACAATTAACGGCTGATATGATGATGATGATGATAAATAATATAGGTTTTAAATATGTATTTTATTTATTTATTTATTTAACACTTAATTGCACCAACATTACAGGATTTGTAGAACAATTTTCAATAAGTGTAGTGTATTACAAAGGGCGGTCTTATTGCTAAGCAATCTCTTCCAGACAACCTTTGGTTAAAAAGAATTAAAGAATTAATAGGTAGTTGGCGCGATAAAAAAAAATTGATCTGTAGAAATAATATATAATAATAAATATGTGACAGCATAATCGTATACACATACATAAATAAACACATATCTAAATATATACATATACACACATACATATATAAATATATATACATACATATACACATAAATACATACAAATCTACAACACTAACACATATATATAACACACATAAAACTAGAAATAAGGAGGACTAAGTGATTATAAGGATAGGTAGGTATTCATGTCTTAATTAAAAAATTAATGTACCTCGCAATTATGTTTTATTTATTTATAATTTAATTTAAATACAATTGAAGTAATTTTATCATACGTGTATATTATTAATATTTTTATTCGTTTGATAACATTTAATAATTTAATTCTATTTGAACGTTTCTTAAACACAAAACATTATGTTGATTGTCTTTAAATGTAAGGACAGTTAGCCCTAATTCACTAGTGTATTGTATTAAAAATGCATAGCTGTATCTTATGTGGGTGATGCTCTAAATAAATAAATAAATTTATAAATTTCAGGTCAAGTAGCTGCAGTGATTCATTCATAATATTCGACGAGAATTTATCTAAAAAAGCGGAATTGACGATCTCATCCGAGATACCGCAGAAACATTCACTGCACACCAGTGACCCGACACAGAGCGCGTCATACAGAAAGCAGTCTAGCGGTGACAACGAGCCGTCAGTGGACAAGAGGCTCGAGAGGGTGAAGGAGTGTGACAAAATTACTAAGACTGAAAATTCACAGTCTACGAGTAAGAAAAAGGTTAGTATCCATTTTCAATCGACTTCAAAAAGATGGCGTTTTTCACTTTGATTGTTTTGTTTTTATATTTGTTACTTCATAACTCTTGACTCAACTGATTTGGAATATTTTTATCTGAATGGATATACCTACAGACTAGTCCCATAGAAATTTTATCAAAATCGGTTCAGAATTGAAAGCGTATTTTTTTTTGTGGGACACAATCTTTATAAACTACTGTGACCAGGGAGGGACTATAATAAAAAAAAAAAAAGTTTTACTATTCTTTTTAAAAACGTATGTATGTACAATTATTATTATTTATTTCTCATCTATGTTAGAATTGAGGTGAATTATAACATTAATAATTTGAAAGACAATTGAAACGGATCGTTTCAGACGCGTACCGCTTTTTAGTTATCTATATTGCAAATAGATAGAGAAATACGTCGTCATCGATAACGTATTCTTTTTTTTTTATTTTTTTTAACTAATTTGTGATAACCTATAGTAAATCTTAAGGTTTACATACTGAATATTACACTCGCTTGTTGTATATGCTGTGGTACCTTGCTTAGTTTTTAGCATATTGTAGAGTGAAGAAGTCATTTGTGTGTATTTAAAAGTAACTGATACTATTAATGACATTATGTAACAGGCGATGTATAAGGTGATGTATAAGGCCAAAAGTTAAACAAGATGAGGGTATCATCTTGTTTAACTTTTGGCCTTATCATTGTGGAGTGTATGTAGTGGATAGTTTGTTTTAAATGGCTTTTGAATTATCTTAACAGTCCAATTTACATTTAAAATAACTAAGGAATTTAAACCTCATTCTAACAAGGCCAGTTGTTTAGTTACTACGGATTTCGTTTTTCGACCCATATTTATTTCGGACAAATGTTCGTTTCAACGGTACATCTTGGACTTTTTAATCTAATTACTTGCAACACTGAAAATTGGCGCGCTTTGTTTATTATAAACAAAAATATTGTCAGTCTAAGTGACATTTGGCTAATTGAATTTGTAGCTCTTCTGATATTATTTGAATACTCTAACTTGTTATGTATATACTCTAAACCCCCTATTATTCATAAAAATCTCAAAGTCTCACAAAAAACTATTTTATTTATTGAATTGTTTTTATTGTATAAAATTTTAAATTAAAAGTGACAAACATTAATATTTAAAATAGGTTTGTAGGAAGTTATAGGTTTTATGAATAAGTGAGTAAGCAATTATTTCATTGTACAATATATAACACAGAAGGGCCATAGGAGGCACTGGTCCCTTGACCTGTGCTCGGGGGAGGCGGCGGCGGCGGCAGCGGCGCCCGACACCTACCTGTACATACAGATGCAGCTTTGCTTACGCGAGAGCTTGCACGACTGGCTTCGGCTCAACCGCACCGTCGAGGCCAGGGGAGATATCGTAAGTTTTCATTAATTTTTTTCATCATTATCATCATTATGAGTTTATGATGACCTTGATGATATAGTGGAACTACACATTGCCTAATGTTTAAAAAAAAAAAACTTAATTCCTATCAGTTTTATAGTACTCATAGTACAATCTCTGCTTCCTTTGGAACTGGATGACGCTTATCAGTAATATTTCTTTGAAGTAGTGAGATATATTTGAAGAATTATTGTGTATAAGACAAAACCGAATGTTAAAATCTGTTGCGTGATTTAGAAGAAGCGGAGTAACACACAGACGCGGATAGGAACTACACTGCCGGTCAAAATTATATATGTCTATATGTATACTATGTCTATAGGCGACGATTACCACTTTCCGTCATATGGGTCGTCAGCTTGTTAGCTAAGTTGCATAAAAAAAGCCTAGAGATCAGGAAACATGATGACTTTATATATATTTTATTTGTACAAAAGTCGATTGCTTAGGTACCTCTGTCCCATTCGTATTTTAACCGTAAAGCGGTTGTGTTTGCATGGCTGTGTTTCGGTTTGAAGGGTGGGATATGGCGTGAATTTACAGAGTAGGAAGGAATAACACCTGAGTCCTCAGGAATGGCAGCGCATGAGGGGTATTATGGGCGAAACAGTACATACTGTTATGTCTGTGGTACTACTCATGTCTATAGGCGATGGTTACCACTTTCCATCAAATGGGCCTTCAGCTTGTTTGCCATTCTAAGTTGTATAAAAAAAAGAACCTATGTATCATCGTGCCTCCGATCAAACTGTTTATAATTACTCCTCTCCATCCAAAGGTTGACTGGAAGAGATCGCTTTTAGCGATAAGGTCGCCTATTGTTTTCTCATTGTGATTATTTCTTGTAATCGTTTGTATTTATAATAAGTTTACTATTGTAATCTTTAGGAAGCAATAAAGAGTATCTATCTATCTATTTAATTGCATTTTTTAAAGTGATAGCCAGTGATATTAAGTCCTTATAATTATTTTTAATGTCCATGATTTTCTCAAAAACACTAGATATTTTAACTAAGTCAGCACAGACAAAACCTAAATATAATATGTTTACTTTTTCTTCAGGCTAATTTATTCAGGCAAATAGTGTCAGCGGTGGAGTACGTGCATCTGGCCGGGCTGATCCACCGCGACTTGAAACCTAGCAATATATTTTTCGCGCCCGACGGCCGAGTGAAGGTCGGGGACTTTGGCCTCGTCACCGACATGAGCGACAACTCACAAGACGGGGAAGTACCACCGTTCGACTCGCATGCTAAACATACTCATCAAGTTGGTAAGTAGAATAAAAGGCGAAAATATGTTTTGTGAAGGTGGCGCCCTCTGGTGAGAACACCTTTTGACATACCAGAAGTTTCTTATCCGCTATAGGTGGAGACGCTAGTACTATACGCTATACTGCCAGTATAATCACGTCACGTCTACATTCAGGGGGAACTTTGGAAACCATTGTGGTTAATGCCTAGCAATGCAATGGGCTAATTGGCTTAATGGGGTGGAAAGGGTAAATGGTAAATAGGTCTAACAGCTCCATTGTTAGCAATGTACCTTACCAGGCCGACCCCCACGCGGTTCCCCCTAGAAACCTTCGTAGTTAATTCTTGTGGAGTGCGATGAGCCCATCGTGAGGAATTCGATTGTTTTCATCCTCGCCTGCCATCTCACATTGGTGTACCGATATCTCGGTATACCAGTATGTATAGTATATATATATATATATATATATATATATATATATATATATATATATATATATATATATATATCTATATATATATATATATATATATATATATGCATGCATGCATGTGGCCCCGGCTTAGAATAAGACACCCCTTCCTTTCCCGTGGCTGTCGTAAGAGCCGACTAAGGGAAGGCAAGGGATGAGCAGCAGCATCCCTCCTAAAACTTCTCTAAAGCTTGACTTCGATTGCCAATCCACCTGCCAAGTATGGCAACTACTGGCAAAACCCAAGTGGGAGGCCTATGTTCAACAGTGGACAATTAACGGTTGATATGATGATGATGTTTAAATATATATTTCATTAAGTGATTATTATCCAGGTACCAGACTTTACATGTCGCCGGAGCAGTTGATGGGTCGTCCGTACAGCTACAAAGTGGATATATATTCCTTGGGTGTGATCTTGTTCGAGTTGCTACAACCGTTCGGCACGGACTCGGAGCGCGTGCACTGTCTGCAGAAGCTGCGCGACCACCGATACCCTCCCACGTTCCACCACAAGTACCCGCAAGAGGTAAGATATGTCGTCCCAGGTTCGAATTCTCGTTGGGCCAATTTAGAAATGAAAATTCTCAATTGGTTCGTGTTTGGGTGTAACTGGGATGTGCCTACAGATTTTCATTTTGACAGAAATAAATTATTTACGGATTTTTTTTGTAATAGTTTTATATTGTAAGATGAATTATGTACGCATTTGGCGTTCCATTGTTTCTGCCTACCCTAATGGGAGACAGGCGTGACAGATATGTATGTATGTATGTATGAATTATGTCTGTTTTGGTTACAAGTGGAGTTATCCTTTATTATATTTCAAACAAGCATTATATTAATACATATATATCCAAAAATTTTACTGAATTAAGAATTAAGTATTATTCCATCAATTTTATTACAGACGGAGGTGCTGAAACTGATGCTGAGTGACGATCCATCGAAGCGGCCGACCGCTATGGGGGTCCGCGCGCGAGCCCCTCTATGGGACCACACAGATTCGCGATTCCATTTCACGCTGCCAATGGGTCCTATCGTCGCTTGATAGATTAATTTTAATATTATTTAATGTAATGCAGGTAACTGAAGTTTCGTGTTTGATTATCGGTCTAGCCAATTCAGTTGAACTTTTTAAATTGGCTTCAATTTGGGTATTCTAGGTACCTTTAAATGTTCATGGCATGGTTTCCCATAACAGGTGTCCTAATTTGAGAATCAAGCGTTTGGTGTGATCGTGTGGCATTTATTTAAATCAGTGTTTAACGTTATAAAGAAGCACGTTTTCATTCGGCGATGTTCGGCAATACTCGGCGATACTCGGTCATACTCGTAGTAACATTATAAAGTCCAGTAACTAATTACCAAGAATAAGTACGTGGATTTAATTGTATTATAAATCATAAATGTCCGTTGACAAAAACAAAACAAGAGGTATTTTTGTGATTACATTTGCATACAAGAAATGTAAATGGCCATTATATCTAAATCACATTGTACTATTTGTGTGTGTTTAGTGACTACAAAATTTTGGTAACTGTGACAAAGTCTGTTATTTGTTTATGCAGCTTTATTATAATTATATGATATTATAAGTGCATTAATTAGTCATTAGTTGTTATTTAAATGGTCCATAATTATAATTATTGTGACATTGTTCTGTATTTTTTGGATTACCCGTTTATGAAATGTACGAACAATATTGTGTATTTGTTGTTGCGAATTGTCACTAAAATGTAATAAATTTGTGTAAAATTAAAATCTATAAAATAAGTTTATTATACTGGTGTTTAAGAATAACAACTACATATAAAAATATATAGATTTACGCACCTAAATAGGAAAGAAAAAATTAATGATCATTTATGTGACATACAATTACTGTGTCAATTTCAGAGGCTGGTAATATTTTTGTGGCATTTTCGTGTATTTAGGTGTCTAAGTTAATTTGATACTTCATATCTGACTTATAATTGGTTAACTTAACGATGTACTAATATCACTATGCTATTAATGTTAATATACAGGGTGGAAGAGACAGTTTTTCAAAAACGAATATGCTCATTATTGTAATCACTAGTGAAGTAAACACTTTTATATTTATCAAAATTTGTGGTATCTCCTGTCTAAACTAAGGAATTATACTACCATATAAGCTTGTGGCTACGATATTATATTTCAAGTAATGAAGCATGCCTTCTTATGTGCTTTTTTATTTAAACATGTAATATATTCATGTAGATGAAAGATTAATATTTGTACGTATCACCATTTGTACGACACACTCGTTATTTTTAACACTACCATCTCTCAAATTGTTATTTGCAATAAACATATAGAGATATGACAGCTACTAATGTAACTAATAAAACATACTAGATTTTGGAATTACAATGTAAACATAATTCTCTCATTTATATCTTTATTTGTTTTTTTTTTTTATTTGTCGGGTAACAGATTTATTGATAGGACAAGAGCATAAGAATAATCAATGCTGGGTGGAAGTGACACTTTCGCAAATTCAATAATAACGTCTCTATTTATTTATTTATTTATTATTCACTTGAATCATGAGATACATGGTGTTACAAAAAGCACAAGTACATATTTCGCCATACATAGACATGTAAATGTGGGATCCTTAATAATAATTTCATTTAATGTTATTTATGAGTCGTTAGTTGTTCGCTGGGATTTATGCCTGGATTGTATGTTGGAATAACAGTGATGTGTTGGTTAATTTTGAAATAATTTGTAACACCAATATTAAATATATTATGGTTATTATGTCATCATCATATCAACCTTTAACTGTCCATTGCTGAACATAAGCCTCCCATTTGGCGGGTATTGCCAGTAGTTGCCACGCTTGGCAGGCGGATTGGCAAGAAATTTGATGGCGGATTATCTTTTGACAGCAATACTTAGAAAGGAATGTATTTATTTATTTGTGCATTAAACATGATATAGAATTTGTATATATTTCAGTGTCGCTTCTACCTGAATGTTTATTCTTGTGACGACAAATTGTAAATGTGACAACAGCTATATTCAGTGTAGTGAGTAGATCTCATTGTTTCATTTGATAAACGCGGTTATTACATGCTTATAAATCGCAGGTATTGCGTGGACATTTTAAATAATGTATATGTAGATATATTCTAGTTAATACATTATATGTGTGTGATCTAATTAAAGCAATCAATACTGTTTAGTATTAAAAATATAAGACTGTGTGTAGCTGTAATGTAGTTATATACACGTGTCTCTAACATTATGCATTTTATTATTATTGTTATATACTTTTTATAAAATAAACAAAACCAATCTTTTAATTTCATATTTACACCAAACTATTATATACTTTATTGCACTTGTAAATTACATTGTTAATGCATTTATAAATATTGTGAGCAAGGGTGGACTTATCTCTGACAGAGATCTCTTCCAGTCAACCCAATGCAGTTAGAAAGCATGTTGTTAGCGGGCAGCTGAAGTGCTACAACTATTAATATTTAGAGTACATAAACAAATATATAGTTAAATAAAATATTGAGATACATAATAAAATATTACATAAATACATATACTATAAATAAATATAATTATGAATAATCATAATCTAAATATATAATAAATTGAACTTAATATTATTAGAAATTTAGTTTATATTGGTATTTAAAACAGTTAAAATTTTAATTTTAGAGGTGGGTTTAGAGAAATTTGATTGCATTCCAAGAATATCTTTCTATAATTGGACATATTTAGGGTCATGAAAAATAGCATACAAAAAGTTGTATAGTATAAATCAAAGAAATTTAATACAAAGCTTATAAACTATCATAAAATGTCTATGTTAGAGCTACGTGTGTAATTTGCTTGATATAAGAAGCCACAGAACGAAAATGAAAGAAGTATTAAATAATGGCAATTAAAACTGCATAGTTTCTTATACTTATGAGTAGAGACATTGAAATTTTCAAAAATAACCCTTATTACAATATGTAATGATATCAATTTTGAAAATTTTAATACACGTAATTTTTACTTCTCCTATCTGTTTCTGTGGACGAAGTGATTGATTCTGATGTTTAATTTGACTTACCTAGTTTAACTTTAGTTTTATTAAATAGGTGTAAGTACTCGTACCTACCTTTGACTAAGAATTAATTACCTTTTTATTTTAAGATCATGTTTTGTAAAATTTATTTTCACTTATTTTTATAGTGTAGGTAGTGTGCTAAGTCTTTAAGAGGTTCGATTTCCGTTTTTTTTTATACTGGTGTACTAGTTTGAATACCAGGCACGATTTGTGTGATCATATAGCACTTTTGATACCATATCTAAATTCAGTAAGCCTCGATAAAAATATTGTAGCTTGTTTTAGAGAGTACAATGTAAAGTTATTAGAGTACGCTATTATACTATTTTATAATTAAGAAACAAATGAGTTTCTATTTTGTTTTCTAATTATGTGGGTGGCACGGCATGATATCGTTCGATTTTACCATTACGATAGAATAATGTAACAAAATGAAGTAAGAAGAATCTTTTAATTTCTCGCAAAGATATTTTCAGCATGACACATGTAAAATTAAAAACGACTTAACGCTCTTAAACAATATCGTAGAATACTGACGGATCTATATATGAAATATTTGTCAGATTTGTGAGTATTCTACGACTATGACGATATATACAAGTTGCTTAAATTTTGTCTAGTGACAAAAAATCAGTATGCATTCATTCGTTGCTATATGCTGATTTTTAGAACAATCTTGCAAGTCTTTCTATATAATTTTCCTTAACAAAAAAAAAAAAAAAAAAAAGACACAGTATGCCATCTATTGATATGCTTTTGTACTAGCAACACAATTAGCATAATGCAGTTCTTAAAGGCGAAATGGTCATTGCTGTGCCAACCACAGTGACAAGCGACTCATTTTGAACCTTATTGTTAGTTTTTTTTTGTATATTGTAACTCGATTTTATTGCGATTACGATAAGGTTCATTATAATTTTCTCATGGTTGACCATACAACAACTGTGTGAATAAGAATGTAAGCTTTAAGAAAACAGAATTTTCATGAAAAGGTTTTTTTCTTATTATAGAAAGAAGCTGTTGAAAATCATATAAGTATATAAATAAGGAATTAAACTTTGTTTTAATTGTATTTTAAGGTGCTTTATTGATCAACTGAATAGGTATGTGTCGTATCTTTGCTAAACTATTTTCGATCACAATGATCGATACTAGAATGTCATGTTTTTTTTTATGGGATGAAAATGAAATTTAGGTTAATCACAATTCTGTTCATTTATAAAGTAGGTTAAAAAAAATAGAAATAGGTATTCTTAAAAAGAGTAGGCGAGTTTGAGGGAGCGAGCGATATGCAAAGGTGCATTTAAATACACTTCGGCAACGATATCATAGATTTAAGCGGATTTCCTTGGACTCCGTCATATTCCTAGTTTACTTAGATTAAGAATACTTGTTTCTAAATTAAATTTAGTAGAAGTAATATGTGTAATCATCAATTTTTTTGTGAGTCTATGACTCGCATAAATCCTAATGGATTATTACCAAAATTAATTAACAATATTATATAAAAACATTCGGGCATATGTTAAAGAAAACACTAGTTATTATGAATACTTTAATATTTCTTGTTAGTTATTATTAATTTGTGATTTATTATAGTTTTGTTCGTATCTATTCAAATAAAGAATATTGAACAGAATTTGCAGACTTTAATTTCAATTCAAACATTATTATATTTAAGGTCGATTTTCAAGTGAATTTTTATTCTATCTCTAAAGCTAAAATAAATTAGTTATTATTTATACAACTTAGAATGGCAAACAAGCTGGCGGCCCACCTGATGGAAAGTGGTAACTGTCGCCTATAGATATGAGCAGTACCATGGACATAACAGAGTATACTGTTTCCCCCCCATGCGTTACCATTCTGAGGAGGAGCTATATCCCACCCTTCAAACCGAAACAGCCATGCAAACACAACTGCTTCACGCTAGAAACACGAATGGCACAGAGGTACCCAAGCAATCGACTTTTGTACAAAGTCTCCCTCTGGTGATCTACAATTATTAGTGGTCTACAACACAATACCTTCGATAAACTATCATTTAATTTTAAACCTATGATTGAAGCATGTTTTAGATGACTTTAGCATTCGTTCCTTTCTGCCTACCTCATAAACGATTTGGCACGTAGATAGTAGTTTCATTAAATGTATTACTCCGCGTCTTTATTCACAAAATCAGGATGAAATTTATTATAAATGTTACTTTTGGTTATTTTCTGTCTAAGGTACATTCTTTTTTCAACAAGTTTCTTTACAAACTTTGACATTTATAATTTTTTATCTTTCTGTATTCATGATTTATTGAAAATTCGTAAAAAAATACTATTGAAAATGCTTATATATATATATATATATATATATATATATATATATATATATATATATATATATATATATATATATATATATATTAAGTTAGAATATAAAATATTTTTATTTATTTATTAACCGACTTTATAAAATAAGGAAGTTCTCAGTTCGATTGTATTTTTTATGTTTGTTACTTACGTTATTTATGTATAAACCGATTTTGAAATTCTTTTTTTATCTGAATGGATATACTTTTAGATTGCTCCTATAGAAATTTTATCGAAATCGTCCCGATAGTCTAGTTTTTAAATAAAAATAGATTATTTTTTGCCACATTTGAAGCCTGTTTTTTTTTTTTTGTGGAACACAAATTATTATTACGTCACTTAAATTTCTACTCTATGTCTAAGATTAGAAAGGCTTAGTTTGTTTTCTTCTTTTTCACAATATTGGAAGACTGCTTAAATTTTCTAGCCAGTATTATGATTAAAGCGGTTGTAGCAACAAATACACCGATCAGATCGAGGTAGTACTTCTGGTAGCACGGCACGTGCAGCGCAGGCGAGCGGAGGTGTGCGGCGCCGCGCGTGCTCGCCACGTGCCGCACCCAGTGCACCAGCTCGCGGCCCGGCGACACCGGCCGGTCGTGGTATATGGCTGATATTTCTTTTGCTCTGATATTGTAGCTGAAAAGACAATTTGTATAAAATATCATCTCCATTTTAAAAATAGATAACCATAAGTGCACGGATAACAGGAGTTAGCTTAATCTTATCAATAATTATTATTTATCAGAAGGATATTGAAGGATATAGAAGTCATTTACTTCAATGCCTCTATCGTCTTCATGTTTCTGCTCTTGAAACTATGTTTACGTGACTATTTTGAATTGTGGAATATAGCAATGAAATTACAGGGTACAGTGGAGAAGCGGAAATGGATTGTTAGTAAAGGAATCTAAGAACCCCATTGCCAGTAATGTACCTTGTTAGATTCAGGTCTACGCGGTTCCCACTGGAAACCATCGTGCTTAATTTGTAACGAGTTAACTGATCTGCTTTAATCCTCACCTATCACCTTTTACTGGTGCCCCATCAGGGTATACCGTTAGCGCAAGTTGGGTTACTATTCAAATATCATGCATTAAAAAAAGCATTTTCCATGTCTTATAAGCTATAAAATATGCACTGCGAAAGTCTAAAAGTTAATATTACTATATTAATTTACTACATCAATAATGAAGTACCGCGTTTGTGATTTATTTTCATCCCAAAAGTTGACTGGTAGAGAATGCTACTAGCATTAAGTTCGCCTATTGTACCATATTTTCTATAAAGTTCTTTAAATAAATAATTTACCGTGGATTAGCCAACATTTCTTCTATAGCAATGATCAAGTCACTGGCAATATTCTCTGTCAGATCGACTCCAATCCCAAATCCTTTATCAACAGTAGACCTCATGTTTACGTACTGGTCGCCTAACACTGGTATTCCTATGATTGGTACACCAAAATGTATAGCTTCTGCAGTCGACAATTGTCCTCCGTGTGTTATGAATATTCGTAAATTGGGGTGTGCTGAAAGAATCAATTTTAATTATTTATTTAGGTATAGAAAGAGTCAACCCTTCCTTTTTCGTGGGTATTGTGAGAGGGGACTAGGGAAACTTAGAGATTGAGAGAGGGGCAGCAGTGTCCTTCTTAAAACATCACCAAGATCTAACTGAGGTTGCTAAACCGCCTGTCAAACGTACCAACTATTAACAAAATCCCCTCAACAAATAAATTGCCATAAGAAATAGTTTTGTTCCTTATAGCACACTATGGAGGAAGCCTATATTTAGGCAGTGGACAAATAACGGCTGAGATGATGACGATTTATTTATATGCTTTTGTATATTCACTTTTAATAGATATTAGATTATAATAAAAATGTACACAAGCGGATTGAACCCTTAAAGGGATTACTCAAGGGAACCATATTATTATTATCTGTGACTGTGTTGTTTTTTTTAACAAATAATAAACCTAGCTGACAAGCCAAATATTGCCAGTAATGTACCTTGTTAGATCCAGGTCTCCGCGGTTCCCACTGGAAACCATCGTGGTTAATTTGTAACGAGTTAACTGACCTGCTTTAATCCTCACCTATCATCTTTTTCTGGTGCCACAACAGATTAGTTATCGGGATAAAAAAAATATCCTATTTCTTCAGATGGGAGGAAAAAAAAATCATTTTTAAAATGTTTCATTAAAATCAGTTAAGCGGTTTCAGAGATTAGCGTCAACGAACATCGTGACCAGGATTTTTATTATTATATCAGAAGTTAACTGTCCACTATTGAACATAGGCCTTCCCATAATGAGAGTTAATAATAATCGTATATATACATATGTACGATTTTAGTATTTTTTTTTTATACAACTTAGAATGGCAAACAAGCTGACAAGTATGTTATGAAAAATGTATCTAAAATATTACCTAAAATGCCTTGTTGTGGCGCCCATTTAACGAGATGAACATTAGCAGGCAAATGTTCTAAATCTCCCTCAAATTTCCAGATTACGTCCTGTTTTAGTTTCGAGAACATAGCGAGCAATGAGCTCTTCATGTCGTCCGACATGTCGATACTTTTTAAATTCGATCCCATGCTAAAGTATATGACACCATGTTTAGCATTGTTCATGAGTTTTAATAAATCCTGGAATAAATAAATAAACTTTTATTATTAAAGACATTTTATGACATAAAATAATATTGTTACTTCGCCTGCAGTATTGATATACGCTGGCAGGGTATAAGTGTAGAAGAGTGATGATTCGTGAAGAACTCTCGGGTCAGGTGTCCCATCATGAAAAGAGTCCCATTAAGAAAAGAATCACCATGGGTACCGCGTGGAGGTCGACCTGACAGGTTATATTGCTATCAATGGCGGTTCCATTGATAGCAGTAAAATCTGTCATGTCTTTGTCCCAGCTTTTAACAATCCCTCCCCCTTTTGTTTAGGAATATAAATATAAATAATTTAAGAATTTGTTCTACAAAAAGATTCGACTTCGATCGTGGCAAAACAAGTTATTTTTATTTAAAAATTAAACTAATGAATTTATTTTGATAAAATTTCTATGGGATCAATTTGAAAGAATATCTTTTGAAATAAAAAGAAAGTATTTCAGGTCGGTTTATAAATTACGAAGTTATAAGGTAACCAAAAAAACCAACTGAATTGGGAACCTTTTTTTTTAAACCAGTTAAAATGTACTTACCGTCGGTAACGGCTGTACTTTCTCCTCAATGTGGTATCCACCGATATATTTGACATTTTGTGTTAGTCTGAACGGTGTTCCCATGGAGGGATGCGAGTTCAAGAGTACTAGAGATGCGTTGAACACTGTTTCGTCGTACGGGGGCATATTGATACCTCTTTTTTTCGCTATTGATGAATATACGTTATGATAAATTCGCCTTTCAAATAAACCGAAAATTACACTGGAAGGTATATTCAAATTAGAGAAAATGATTTTCTTTTAACTCACCTAACTTTATTATTTGATTAGTTGTTAAATAAAAGTTAGTTATAAAGTTCAAGTTTTAATTTCTGTAAATATATAATCTAATAGTTTAAGTAAAGAAATAAATAGAAGTATAAAAGGCGCTCTTATTGCTATGGCAATCTTTTACAGACAATCTTTGGTTGTCTTTGTCTTTGGTGGAGGAGTGAAATTATAGGGTAATAAATAAAGCACTTTAACACTCAGGAATGGGCAACCCATGAGAGATAGTATAAGTACCTATCACAAAACTGAAAACCTATACACAATTTCTCATAAAAAAGACTACTATTATGTACAAATGTAAATAAATGAACCTACAATCGATGGAGAAAGAAGGCTCTTGAGTGGTGACCCCGTACAGGCAAACGCAGTGTAGGACGACCCCTAGATGGAGTGACGACCCAAATGCATTACAGGCATCAGTGAGTGCAGGTGACTCAGGATCGTTCCTTATGTCAGTTAATGGGAGAGGCCTATTTTCAGCAGTATGTTTAATATTCTGTGATAAAAATTTATATAGGTAGATTGGAATATCGATTATTTATGTGCGTCTATAAATTTCCGATTAAATTGTTATCTAATATTTGTGTTATTAAATTATTAATGACGTAATGATTATGATAACTTGCTACTTACTATTTAATTATATATTTTTTCACTAACATATAGAGCTCCGCTATTCTCTCCCAAAATGAAAACGGGACTTTTCGGGTAGAAAATAAGTCCAAGTTGTATGCTGGGTTAGGAATTTCGTCTATTAACCTTAGTATTTGCCAGTGAGCTTCTGTAGAACCGATCCATATTAATGGACATTGAAATAGTGGCGCTATACTGAAAAATATTATTTTGTATGTAACACAGATAATAAAATAAATACTTATTAGACTAGTTTTTGCCCATAACTTTATACTTACGCTATATTTTTACGCTATTTTTTTTAAGTTGGACCTTCAGGAACACATTTGTAAATACCGCATTTTGGAACAGTAAGTAGTTTATGCGCGATTTCAAAATAAACAAATTTAAAACAAACAAATAAATTTCTGAAAATGGTTCTCTTAATAGGAGCAATAAAAACCCACAAATTCTTATATTAATTTTTTTTAAATATCTTCCATGTACAAACTGCGTCTATTCACACCTTTATTATATTAGTAATAAAGAGTGCGACATAAGATACATCTTACGTGAAAAGTCAATTTTTAATATTATTAATTTGTGAATTTTATTTGAATATTAGAATAGTATAAAGAAGATAAAATAAATAAATTATATATATATATCTCTGTTTCAATGAACAGTTTCATTTAAAAATCTTAACTAGTGTTTATGTTGTAGTCAATAAGCATAAAATTTTTAATAGTTAAATATAATTTAACTATTAAAAATGTGATCATAAGAAAAGTATTTTCAAGCAAAATAACAAAATTCCGAACAATATAGTTTGCTAAATCATAGGGAATGGCAGAAATCGATACCTATTACTATAGCTTAAAAAATGCTGTATAGCCCGGCATAGAAAGAGCCACCCCTTCCTTTCCTGTGGATGATGTGAGAGGCGACTAAGGAAACTTAATGATCGAGGGATGGGCAGTAACGTCCCTCTTAAAACATCACCAAAGCCTAACTGCAATTGTCAACCCCACCTGCCAAGCGTAGCAACTACTTACAAAACCGACTTATGGGGGAGGCCTATTGTCAGCAGTGGACGTTTAACCATTGATATGGCATACCTACTAATATAATAAAGCCGAAAGTTTTAAATGCGCTAACCTCTGTACTTACCAGTTTGACTTAGAAATCATAAAATAAAAGAAATCAATAAAATAGATGCCTACATATATAATATAAATAAATATTTAACTAAAAATAAATAAATAAATATAAACCAACTTACCCAGCAATAGCATCGAAGAAGAACCATTCCAACAAAACCACATCAAATTTTTGTTTAGGGTCAGACAAGAACTCTGTTACATTGTAATCCTCTAGAAATGATTTGTGATACATATATGTAAAATATGAAAAGACAATGCTGTCTCCCCAATTTCCTTTGCCCACTAATTGCTTGATTTTTATCCTCTCATCTAAGAAAAAATGTCAATATAAATTTAAGAGTAGGAATATGTAATTACTCATCTCAGAGTAAATTAATTCGTCGATTGCTTAGAACAAATTTTCACTGAAAAAATAAAACTAGATAGATACCTTTATATTGTTCTTCAATTCTATTTTTTAAAGGAGCAACGCTGACCTCCGTCAAGTTGGGATTTGTTCTTCCTTCGGGAAATGACGTAATATAAACGACCTGAAAAAGAAACGGTTTTAAACTCAGCTAAAACGATAAGATAATTTAAAAATCTTTTGAAGTCGAAATGATAATTATTATAAAGTTATTTATTACTAAATCTCTCCCTCGACTTTGCTCATATGTGGCAGTATATTAAATATCACATATGTTAAATTGAGACGTAAACTACTCATGTCCGAAATTACATTAAAAGCCGATCAGCTATTTAAGCGTGATTCAGTATCAATTATATGAACATTTTTACAGACATAAAAAATAAATATAATATATAATAATTGAAATTATGATATAATTATATTTTTTATAATACTAGAATATTTTATAAAAGATAGAGAATGTAAAGAGTAACGAAACAGTATGATCTTACCTCATGGCCAGCAGCCAATAAATGCTTCACCACACCTTTGCCCAGCAAGCTGTGACTTGGCGATGGCAGTGGGAACGACACTAAGATCCTTAGGGCTTCGTTAGTTGATAAAAAAGATAATAAAGCCAAATATATACAAGTTTTTTGTTTCGCCAACATCTGTAATGAGAATATAATTATTAAAAAAGAAATAAAATTAAAATTAAACGTATATAAAAATGCAAATAAATTATTGTTTGCTTGTCCTACGTCCAAAAAATTACCCGTTTCGAGAAAAAATAGATTATATCTCTATATGCTTCTATCTACATCATTAGAAATTACAGTCGTGAGTGCAACAATTTTCTATTTTTACAAATTTATATAACAAAAGTTTAAATATAATAAATAAAAGTTTATATATTTTTATTTCCTTTTATCATAATTAATTTCCCGTTACATATATAAACATCGAATAAAAAAATTTACATAAATTTAAAAAAATATCACTATGTAACAATCATTTAAATTAAATAGTCGGCAAATAAAGTGCAAATTTGAGTCATCATTCAACACTTACCTTTAATCAACTTTATTTAAAAATCGCGCGTGATTATTCGTCAATAAATATATAATTAATAATAAACAGGTCTGTTCATTATATAACAAATTTAACACCAATATGTCTGTTCTTGAAGTTTGAACACTTAAATACACTTCTTAAGGTATTATTTATTTAACAACATCGCTCCTCAACTACTGAGAAGCGGGTACACGCTTGAACGGTTTCCACTGCAGTGTACTGTGGGTGTGTGTAATTTGTTCGTAATACTATAGTTATTCATATCCTTATGCAATAACTTTAATAATTTTCTGCGGTTTTCCCTGCACAGAATCCGATGTAAAAAGTTCATTTAATTATTTACATTCTTGTGCTCTTTGGTAGCCAGTACTGACCCAAATATAAATTTATGTGCCCACTGGTAAACATAGGCTTTCCCCATAGATTGGGAAGTTATGCCAATAGTTGCCACGCTTGGCAAGCGGGTTGACAACCACAGTTAGGTTTGATGATGTTTTGAGAAGAATGCCGCTGTCCATCTCTCGTCCATTAAGTTTCCTTAGTCGCCTCTTATGACACCCACGGGAAAGTAAAGGATGGTCCACTCTTCACCAGGAGACCACACGGCATACGGTTAAGTGAATACTTAACTAAAGGAAAATAAATTTGTATGACCGACGCATGAATGGCAGTGCATTATTATGCAAATATTAATGTTACTACTTATATTACTTATAGTCTCCTTGGACTAGGTGCTTCCCCATACTGATGACGATACGTCAGCAATGATTTTACACGTTTATACTGTTCTTAGTTGAATAATACAACAGTTTATTAAATCTTTATACATACATACTTCAATAAAACACATATTACTTATTATAAATCACGAGGTACATCCAAATTAAAAATAATTGATCTTTAATTACCACGCACGACTTCTTACAAGTATGGCGTTTTATTTCGGCTTTTCTTCACTTGTACTAGGCTGTTGCGCTTAATTTTTCATTTCTTATTTATTTATACTTTAGTGTTGTCTATGCACGAACTAATGAGTTCCGACCAAAATGTAACATTTGTATGATATTCTGTAAATGACTAAATAAATTTAAGAAACTCTATTTAACATAAGACTAGTTATACCTACCCTATTTATAGCAAATAAATTTATTATTATACTTACACACTAATAATACATACAAAAATATGACAGTGGAAAGCAAATGTACTCGTACAAAAACAAGCTTAAGCTTAACAGCTTTCTGCAGTTATTTTCTAGTAAACCCAAAATGGAAAGGAACATGAGGGTCAGCGGGTAGAGCGGTGAACAATACTGTCATAATTTACAAACAATAAAGAAATAGACATATTTACGTTTATACATTGCCAATTATATACACATCACATACATCTTACATCATCATTCTGACATCTTAATAATGAGAAGGCATGGCAGGTAAAAAATAGGTATAAATTATTAACTTTGTACCTAATTTTTCTTTTGAATATTTTTGAAGTGGGTAAAATATATATAGGTATTTGTAATATGTATGTTCTAATAATAGCTACTTAGCTGATATGCTATAACTAATCTTATCTCGAAACAATAGGATTTAAAAACTGTGTATATGTTGCAGTCAAAACTCTTAACCAGTCAGAAGAACTATTGACTAGCATAATCAGTCAAAAGTAGTTTTGATTGTAAGCTTTAGTCAACAATACTTTTGACTAAAATAACAGTTAAAAGTATCTAACCTAACTTAACCGTAAATTTGCGGGGGGAAATGGATTGTTAGTAATGGAGTCTAACGAACCCATTGCTAACAATACACCCTATCAGGTCGACCTCCACGTGGTTCCCCCTGGAAACCATCGTGAACAATTCTTGAATTCGTCACGATGGGCTAACTGACCTGCTTCATCCTCACCTATAATCCCTCACTGGTGCCTCGCGGGCGGGGTTACCATTCCATTATCACCCATTAAAAAAAAACCGTAAATTTGCAGTTAAAAGTACTAATAACCAATAATTTTCAGTTAAAACCACTTTTGAACAACCTGTTTAGACAAAAGTACTTTTGATTGATTTTGCTAGTCAATAGTACTTTTGACTGGTTAAGAGTTTTGATATATTGATGATACGTTGTAGTGACAACCTCTCCCCAGTGTAGGTATCTGCTACACTAAGTTGAGGGGATTGTTACTAATGAAGACTGGTGGTCCATTTCCACTAACTATGCCCTATAAGGTCTAAGAGTGATCTGCAGGTAAATCTGTTATTATGAGCCAATTGACTTGACTTGATTCTCACCTATCTTTCACTGATACTCCATCAACGTATCTACATCGATAACGAGGTCTGTCATTAAGCGTAAGTTATCATTCAATTAGCTAACAAGGCAAACGCTATTTTGCCTTCTATCGTAGCCTATCGAATTGTATATAAAAAATTCTAAATCGGTTTAGAACTGATGGAACTACGAGATAAGAAACATAAAACAAATACAACCGAAATGAGAGTGTATTTCTTTTTAAGTCGATTGATTATGTTAAAAATAAATTGTTATTAAAAAACAATTGTTCTATATGTAAATACAAAAATGCACGTGACCAACGATAATAACTTTGTTTTATTATAGCGTTACATGTAGTGTAAGTAGGTCATACTTTCAACCGTGAAGCAGTTGTGTTTGCATGGCTGTGTTTCGGTTTGAAGGGTGGGATATGAAATGAATTTACTGGGTACAGAGGAATAACACCTGAGTCCTCAGGAATGGCAACGCATGGGGAGTATCATGAGCGAAACAGTATACTCTGTTATGTCAATGGTACTGCTCATGTCTATAGGCGACGGTTACCACTTTCCATCAGGTGGACCGTCAGCTTGTTTGCCATTCTAAGTTGTATGAAAAAAAACGTACATAAATTTATTGTAATAAACATTATGTTTATTGCACAGAAAATCGTTTGCTGAAATCTTACCTACTTATCAACAGATAAAAATGATAATTTACGTAATTTAATCCAAATATTACTTAGTATTATGAAGTAAATAGTACTGATTGTGCCAGTGTAGTTAATAGTTTGTTTTTGTAATTTGAGCAAGTTTTGTGTCGAATTTATGTTGATAAGGAAAAAGTGACGTCATCTGTCTCTTATGTACATAGTTTTTTTTTTTTTTAATGGGTAATAATGGAATGGTAACCCCGCTTACGCTATAAAGCAGAGGGCCTACCATGAAGTGTTTTCCGAAACTTCGGAGCCATAAGAAACACAAATTTGATGTTAAAATTACATAATACATGCCGTTTGGAAATATTAAAAATGTTAAAATATTGTTCTTTTGGACTTTTATGATAGGATGTATGACGAACGAAATGTTAAATTCCATTTATTGATCCGATTTTGGTATAAACAAAAACACAAAATTGAATTCGAAATTTCGGAATTTCATTTCATGGTAGACCCGCAGGTCAGTTAGCCCATCGTGACGAATTCCACTAGAATTAACCACGATGGTTTACAAGGGGAACCGCGTGGAGGTCGACCTGATAGGGTGTATTGCTAGCAATGGATTCATTAGACCCGATTACTAACAATGCATAACCTTCTCTCTAAGTATGTACATAGTTATGATTTTATTTCAAAGTTAAAATATTGTTTGAAAACATATAATTAGGGGGGGGGGGAAGGGATTGTTAGTAATGGAGACTGAGAATCCCATTGCTAGCAATATACCCAACCAGGTCGACCTCCACGCGGTTCTCCCTGGAAACTATCATAGTTAATTCCTGATGAATTCATCATGATGGGCTAACTGGCCTGTTTTTATTCTCATCGATCACCCTTCACTGGTGCCCCGCCAGCGTATCCCGTTAGCGCAGGCGGAGTTACCATACTATTTTCACCCATCAAAAAAAAATATAGAATTAATCAGACTCGACCCAAATACTGCTGGGAGTAAAGCTTGAAAGAAAAAAATTTGTTTATATAAAGTATAAGTGCGTATATATAACAAATATTCTTATAGGGAAAGGCATTGTTAGTAACGTCTAAAGGTCTAATGGCTCCATTGCTAGCAATATACCCTATCAGGTCGGCCTCCACGCGGTTCTGAGTTCGGAACTATCATCTTAAATTCTAAGTCTATTTATCACAATGTCTTTTTATCCTCACCTATCATTCCTCACTGGTGCCTCACCAGCGTATACCGATAGCGCAGGCGAGATTACCATTCCATTATTATCCAATAAAAAAAAATTGTTACAAATATTACAAATGTGAAAATGAGTTTGTTTATTGATTTGAGACCTTATAATGCCTTAACGGCTTAATTAATCATTATGAAACTTGGTATACACGTAGCATAGGAGAAGAATATAGACTATTTTTTATACCGGTCAGTAAATATATACCGGTCACACAAGCGAAGTCATATGTATTTTTTTTAATACAACTTAGAATGACAAACAAGCTGACGGCCCACCTGATGGAAAGGTTGGTTGATTGACCACCTGATTGGTTTCTACTATTGAACATCATTGTTTTATGGTCGTGTTAATTCATTGTTTGTTTACATTTTCATTAATTACTATCGAAACCAAACTATAAGTTTTTTTTAATAACACTTATATTAACTGAACCAATAAATGTTGTTTTGCCTCCTACCGGATATAATTTTTTTTATCGGGATAAAAAATATTATATGTATTTTAAAATAAGAAGAAAAAACAAAATCAAATTGATTATTTATCCTATTAACACACGTATAATAAATGGGAAAGTTTATAACGATGAATGGATGGTTGAATGAAGCATAAAGTACTCAATTGATTTCAATTAAAATTTGCTACTTTTTCTTTGATGGGTGAAAATGGAATGGTAACCCCGCCTGCGCTAATGGGATACGCCGGCGGAGCACCAGTGAAGGGTGATAGATGAGAATGAAAACAGGCCAATTAGCCCATCATGGTGAATTCATCAGGAATTAACCATGATAGTTTCCAGGGGGAACCGCGAGGAGGTCGACCTGTTTGGGTATATTGCTAGCAATGGGATTCTTAGTCTCCATTACTAACAATCCCTTTCCCCCCCAAAATTTGCTACTGACGTACGTTATATTCCAATCTAGCGGGCAAAATTGCGGGATACAGCTAGTATATTAATATGGCCATTTTCATCTTATTAGTCGGAATAATTACGTACTAGTAGGCCACGATTATGTCTATTTTTCAATTCACATTTTTTTGTGTACAAAATTAATGAAAATGATATTATAATAACGCTATCTCGCGACTGCATTGTAATCTTTTAATATTAATTTGTAGCAAATTGGTATAGTAGATTAGTTGGTAATAAGTAAAAATAATACAAACAATTTTTGCATTAATGTTATTTAAGAATTTACGTTTTTATTTTCAGAAAATGTTACGACACGCGTCCGCTGTTTTTGTAATTTTCATATTGCAAATGTGTGATGCGTACAGAATTTTGCTTTTATTTCCAATGCCTGGTTTAAGTCACAATATCCTGGGGGAAAATATGGCTAGACATTTACTAAATGCTGGTCACGAGGTACATACATATTACTTGATTTGAAGAATGTATATTTTATGAAATAACATATTTACTTTATTTAGCAACTACCTCTTATTTATTTATTTATTTATTTATTTTTACTATAAAAATCAAGATAACCAACAAGCGTACCAAAAACCATAAATTTTTTTTGTTATTTTTGTTTATTTAATGACTTTGACGTAACATTTTAATATATTTATATTGTTTTAATTTTTAGGTTATTTTTGTAACACCATTCATTAGTAAAAATTCTCATCCGAATTTGACTCAGATCGACGTCAGTGAAAATTTAAATGTTCAATCCCGTAAGTATTATTGTATTTTTCTACATATTTCTGTCTCTTTCTAATTTAATACTTTTATTTAACAAAATATTACGATAGAATGCGTTTATTATGGTTTGATATATATATCTAAGACAATAACATCTAGACAATAACGGGCCAATGTCCAGTAAACAAACATTTATATACAATAGTAGCCACAGACAGCCCTCTATGTCGAAGCTGTTTTGACGCCGAAGAAACGGCTGTTCACGTAATCCTGGAATGTGAAACTCCTCTCAACGTTTAGAAATCCTCGGAACAGTGAGGTCGCTCCGTAGAACCTTGTGAAGATCCCAGGAAGCTTTTGTGCTTCTGGGCGGAGCTGGGCTGGCTGTACTAGCCATAACTCATATGCACAATGGCCCAAATAAGAGGCTAAGCGCGAAAAATATATTAGGTTTACATTACATTACTCTCTATCTATGCTAAGGTCTTTCTTTGATACACTCCTAAATCATACAAATTAAAACAGTTTAATTATTCTTCTTCATTTTAACAACAATTTTCTGATTTAGATCTATACAATATACAGTCAATTTTAGACAATACTAGTCACCTAAGATCTCCTATAACAATGTTTAATTATATGGCCGAACTGGCATATCGGACATTAGAGAACTCCGATGTGGCCGAGTTGTTTAAGGACACAAATCAAAAGTTTGATGTAGTGATAGCTGAATGGATGTTCAGCGATATCTACGCTGGGTAAGTAAAGTCCAGAAATGGGAAATTACATGGCCAATTTAATTAATTTGAAAAAAATGGAATTTTTTAACTTGACTATACTTTTTGTGTAGTCTTTTAAATTTTATTGTTATAATAAAATCATATCAAGACTGTGTTTATACATCTAAGATATTTAAGAAAAAATAATATGAGGAACTATATTATAACAATATTATATCTTAATAAGATTAGTTAAGTAAATAAATAAGGCCAAAAAAATAATTTTTAGAAATTTTATGTCTGTGTCTTACATTACGCAAAATATACTCTACCAAATTGGATGCGGTTTTCACAGTTGTATTTCTGAAGGTCTAACTTAAATTCCGACGCATGAATATCGTAATACGCTATCTAGAAGTGGTCTGCGTTATAGGTTTTTTTGCTACTGAAACCATGCGTATAAAGCAGTGGACAAAAAGCTAAAAAATAAAATTAAAATAAAGCTAAATAAATATTTTTCAAAATAATAAAAATCACGCGGTTAGGGTTATAGCTAAATCCAAGTTTAATGTAGGGAAAAATACTTTTTTTGGTAGAGCAGAAGCCATAGTTAACTAACTTTGAAAAACGAATCTGTCTAATTTTCTTGAGACATTTCCTTTTAAGGTAGAGTGTTGCCCATCAATGCCCTTCCCTAGCAACAACCATACACGCCTAACATCTTTAGGAATTTTCAAGAGGACTAAAAAGAAAAATCGTCTACATGCCCACACAGTATATTTTGTTATGTCCATGGTTCATGATTTATAGATATCTTAAAACTATATAACCCTCAAGATGAGTGACAAACAGATCTATAAATAGATAAGTACGGGTTTGTTAATGAATGCATTAATGGAAGCTTTCATAGTCTCTCTGGTCTGTGACACTGTTGTCTATAAACAATCATGACAATTTACCAAATATTTCTACATAATATGGATGAAAAACCACAACAACAACTGTCGATAGATGTCTCTATTAGTATTACTATTGTAATGCCCCCAATCTCCGACTGTCATTTTGTTAACGCACGTTTTGCGTTCGGCACTCAAACGGTTAACATTAGACTCCGAGCAAACTTGTAATAATTTGCCTGATGGTTAAACACGTATCCCAAAACTTGCGTGAACAAAATGGCAGTTGGATGTTAATGGCTATTAGCCATAGAAGGTTCTAATAGTACTGTAATGTGCATATATATTTTTTTATTTAAAAAATTGTTTTAACTGTCTATTAATTATATTCTTTTGTAGAGAACAATGAAAAGTGTCTAAATCTGTTTGTCTTTTTAGGGTAGCAACTTTATACGATTGTCCGTTAATTTGGGTGTCTACTATGGAGCCCCATATGATGTCTCTGTCTCTAGTGGATGAACCAACAAATCCGTCATACACGGCAGACCTTGCGTCCAGTGCTATACCGCCATTTTCTTTCCTGGAGCGAGTGGAAGGCTTATTTAGTCAGATTTTAGTAAGGATTTTCCAGACTTTGTAAGTATATCTTAGAAAAAAAAACTTATTAACCTTATCAGTACCTATCTATACATATAAAATTGTTAATACTATCTGTCTATCACACATAACCAAAACTACTAAGAAAGCTGAAATTTAGAACATAGGTTTACTTCACCGTAAGTGTCCGCAAATTTTTGAAAATTAAAACTTAAATGGAAATAACACTCGCATGCAAAGCTGTGGCCAACTTCTAGTAGATTTCTATATAAAACCTTAATGTATGTTTTTGAATTTGTTATGCCAGTGTACCTGAATTTTAACAGATTTGGGCTATCCAATCATAAGACACAGTTTGGCCAGCAAGGATCTATTATTCATTGGGAACAAAAACTAAATAGTTGTATAGATATGTAAAATACCGTTAACAAACTAAACTGAATGGCGGCAGTAAGCATCCATATTGGACTCTGGTATGCTCAGAGAAATACGAGTATCCAGTGTTTGATTTTTCACGTATAGCCGATGATGACAATTTCAGAAAGATGATGTTAGGTAAATCAACGACCTGAAATCTTTATTTATGTTTTTAGCTATCTCAATGGGAAATATGAGACAGATTATAAAAGAATATTTACACCGTATTTGATTCAACGAGGGAAAGCTGTACCTTCATTTTATGATGTGGTGTCCAACGCGTCTCTAGTTCTAAGCAATTCGCACGTGTCTATTGGTCAAGCTATAAGGTTACCGCAGAATTACATACCAATTGGCGGATATCATGTGAATGAAGATGTGAAGCTATTACCAGCCGTACGTTATGTTGATGAAACATTTTCTTATTTTTTGTAACAATTTCTTGCATAGACAAATTTATAAACAATCATACAGCCCGCCTGATAATAGATTGTGACTGTAGCTGTTACATATACGCGTTGCTAACCCTGAAGAAAATGTGGTACGGACTTTTAGACAACCCTATGCTGTAGTCTCTATGAAAAAACTTATTGGATTTATACCCAAATGGTCTCAAGCCTTATGAACTTTGCAACGTGCATGATGCATGTTACCGCTTCTATTATTTATATTCTATAGATTTTATCAAATTACCAATTTAATTATTAGCAACAAACTCTTTCTATTACTAATTTTACGTTACGTTTACAAGATGATATTGGGTACATTATTATTCCAATCTATTATTTTTAAATAAGAATCATGTTTTTTTTTTATACAACTTAGAATGGCAAACAAGTTGACGGCCCACCTGATGGAAAGTGGTAACTGTCGTCTATAGACAAAGCAGTACCATGGACATAACAGAATATACTGTTTCGCCCATGATACCCCCCATGCGTTGCCATGCCTGAGGACTCAGGTGTTATTCCTCTGTACCCTGTAAATTCACGCCATATCCCACCCTTCAAACCGAAACATAGCCATGCAAACACAATTGCTTCACGGTTGAAACACGAATGGGACAGAGATACCCAAGCAATCGACTTTTGTACAAAGTCTCCCTCATGTAGAGCATGATACTTACTGTTTTGTTGTAGTATAACTAATATAAATATATATTACATTTATACTACTAGTTTCCTAATATAAATTTGGTATTTGCTCAATCTTAAATTTTCACATCACAAAATAAACATAATACTAAGATTTTTTACAAATGTAACAACTTGATAATGACAAATCTAACATAAATTAACTACAATTAATAAACTGATTTTTTTTTATAGGATCTTAAACAATTGTTGGATAATGCAAAAAATGGCCTTATCTACTTCAGCCTGGGAACGAACGTCAAGAGTAAAGATCTACCGAGCGTAATAAAACAAGGCTTGTTAGGTGTATTCGCTAGTCTGAAACAGACGGTACTATGGAAATTTGAGGAGAAACTACCTAACGTGCCGTCAAACGTTCGTATTGTTAATTGGGCCCCGCAGCAAAGTATTTTAGGTACCTAAGTTTATTTATTTATCTTTTTTCTTATTTGCTTACTAATATTATAAATGTAAAAGGAAATTTATTTCTCATTTAGAGCCTTTACAGCGTAACCAATTACTATGAAATTTGATAAACGTATACTATATGTATAGGCCTATATAGTGGGCATGTAGTCCCAGCAAAGAATGGGTCACCCCTTCCTTTACCGTAGCGAGATGGTGTACCTTTAAAACGCAACTAGAGAAACTTAATGGTCGAGAAATGGCCAGCAGCGTCTTTCTTAAAACACCACCAAAACTTGACTGCGGTTGCCAACTCGCCTGCCAATCATGATAACTACTGGTAAACTCCCTCAAGGGAAGGCTTATTTCAAGTAACCTGTTATGATACCTATGGTATGGTATTCTCATGCTGAAACACAGTCATGTAAGTACAGCTACTTGGGTGCAGAGAGGGGAAAGAGATTGTTAGTAACGGAGTGTAAAAGTTTCATTGCTAGATATGTACCTTATCAGGTCGACTTCCACGCAGTTCCTCCTGAAAACCATAATGGTTCCTTATGAAGAGTCAACTGACCTACTTTCCTTATCACCTATAATGTCTCACTGGTGGCTCGCTAACATATATTGATAATACACAAGGTTACTGTTCGATTCGTTCAATTTGCACCTATATCATTTCTAATATAAAAAAAAATTAGCGCCAGAAATATGTAACAGACAGCAGTGACAGACAACTTTTGTACTAAATCTTGCTTTGGTAAATGGAATATTTATAAAAATTTCAGCTCATCCGAATTGCGTTCTGTTTATCACTCACGGTGGTTTACTTTCTACGACCGAAGCCATCCATTTTGGAAAGCCTGTGATAGGGATCCCGGCTTTTGGTGATCAGTTTGTGAACATTGACAGGGCTGTAAAGAAGGGATATGCTAAAAGAGTAGATCTGTCCTACTTTATGGTTAAGGAACTCAAGCGTGCTATTATTGACGTTCTCAATGATCCTAGGTAAGTATGATTACAACTTATGAATCTTCCGTTGCTTGCTTATTAGGTTTTGCTCCATGAAATCAGCACCTTAATTATTGTGACAATATGGAACTAACATGGGAGCAAACTTTATCAACAACAAAAACATTATCATCATTATTATCCTGCCCTTATCACTATTAGAAGTCGATGTAATGTGTTTTTACTCATATCAGTCAAGGTTTTAGCTTTGCTTTGATCGCAAACCGATCTGCCGCTTACTTGATGTTATCTCTCCTTGGGGACTTAAAAACAATTATCAAAAATAGGTTCGAATTAGTGAAAAATATTGTAAATGGCGTAAAATAAAAAAAAATATAAACGAATTGAAAACCTTCCACTATTTAAAGTTTAACTAACTTAAGAGAGAAAAAACTCTTATAAAACTCTTTCAGCCAATGCAGTATTTTGTGTTTCTTTTTTTGTTGCGACAATATCTCAATTTGTAAATAAAAAACACTGTAATAGTTGAAATAGGTTTTAGTTTTTATAAATATGAGGGTAGTTTTTAAATATGAGGGTAGTTTTTAAATGACCATTTTCGTTGGTACAAAAAAGGTATAGATGCAATTTGATAAAAAAACTAACATTTACAGGTACAAAAATAAGGCAAAGGAGCTGTCAGCCATATACCACGACCGGCCGGTGTCGCCGGGCCGCGAGCTGGTGCACTGGGTGCGGCACGTGGCGAGCACGCACGGCGCCGCACACCTCCGCTCGCCCGCGCTGCACGTGCCGTGCTACCAGAAGTACTACTTGGATCTGGCAGCACTTATTATAGCTATTGTAATAGCTGTTAAACAACTTATTAAATGTTTGTTCTGTTCCAACAAGAGAAGTACAAAGAAGAAAAGAGATTAAATAAATTTATAATTTCCTATCTCGATCATTATTCAAATTTAAATCATCTTTGTACAAATAACATAGACTTGTTTACAAATACTTTTAAATCGTATTTTTTTTTAAATCTACTGCACAGTTCTGAAAGTTATCTGTTGAGAAGAGCCTGCAAAAAATTCAACGCTTACTCTTTTAAATCTTTATAACAATATGTATATATATTTAAACGTACTATGCCTCAAAATTACATGGTCATTAAAAAGCCTGTTTATTTATTTTTTGCATAAATAAAATGCTTATTTAAATAGTCAAACTGTAGGATATTGAGGATAGGCTTCTCTTATGAGGAAGAGAAGTATTTTAGTCCTCAGTAACTTCAACGCATTTTTTTTATACAGCTTAGAATTGCAAACAAGCTGACGGCCCATCTGATGGAAAGTGGTAACCGTCGCCTATAGACATGAGCAGTACCATGGACATAACAGAGTGTACTGTTTCGCCCATGATGCCCCCCATGTGGGTTACATGCGAGCTTTGATGCTGTTCATGTCTATAAGAGAGTTGGTACTAATTTTCATCATCATTATCATATCAGCCATTAACTGTCTGCTGAACATAAGCTTCTTCTTGAGGGGTTTTTGCAGTAGTTACCACGATTTTTTAAATTAATTTTCATAAACTTGTTGGCAATTCCATGTCAGATAAAAATATTCTGAAGCAATATTTTTTTATATTGTTTAAAACTATTAAAAAGACCTATATTTTTTTTAATGGATGATAATGGAATGGTAACCCCACCCGCGCTATCGGTATACACCAGCGGGGCACCAGTGAGGGATGATAGGTGAGGATGAAGCAGGTCAGTTAGCCCATCGTGACGAATTCAACAAGAATTGTTCACGATGGTTTCCAGGGGGAACCACGTGGAGGTCGACCTAATAAGGTATATTGCTAGCAATGGGGCTGTCAAACTCCATTGCTAACAATCCTTTTCCCCCTAAAAGAAAGACCTATAGTATTGGTGTATATAGGAAACATTTATACTACTATCAGATAATTGACCCGTGGCCGTGACTTCAATGACCTAACATGTATATTTGGCTACATTAGCCATTGTCCACCACATCACATAAAAACCATGAACATATTTTGAGTATATTTTGAGATAACAATAAATAAATCTTGCTTGAAATATTCATAATAATAAAACCAACGGCCCATTTAACAGACAGCAGTTACCATTGTAACACACAGTACACAATAATATCCAGAGAATTTCGACTTTATATTTATTTAAGTTTTAGCCACTTTTTCGAGCTAAATTCTTATTTGAACAGAAAAAGATGACTTTTTTTATGTCTGTCACTCTTACGTTAAGGTCTAATTTTTAGGATGTATAATTTAGTAGAAATATAAACAATCGTCAGTTACGTAATTAGAGGGGCGGAGGGGTGAACGTGTCAATTTCTGAATCATCTGGCACCCAACTCAGGATCAATTGCGGAGCTTTCAGCTATAAGCAAAAGGTGTCTGACGTTTCCTGGGAAATGATCTTCAAGACCCCAATGATATCTGGCAATGCTAGGTCTATCATTATCATCTCATCCATTATTATTTATTTTTATACAACTTAGAATGGCAAACAAGCTGACGGCCCACCTGAAGGAAAGTGGTAACCGTCGCCTATAGACATGAGCAGTACCATGGACATAACACAATATACTGTTTCGCCCATGATACCCCCCATGCGTTGCCATTCCTGAGGACTCAGGTGTTATTCCTCTGTACCCAGTAAATTCACGTCATATCCCACTCTTCAAACCGAAACTTACTTAATTTTGATATGCGTTCCGCTACAGTTCATCGACGAAAACCAAGGCCAAACCAACAGATGGCTATTGTTCATTAACCTTGATTTACCTCTATTCATTAGATACGACTAACAATCACCAGAGCGGCATATTAACGGTCGTTTTAAGGGGGAAAGGGATTGTTAGTAATGAAGACTGAGAATCCCATTGCTAATAATATACCCAACCAGGTCGACCTCCTCGCGGTTCCCCCTGGAAACTATCATGGTTAATTCCTGATGAATTCATCATGATGGGCTAACTGGCCTGTTTTCATTCTCATCTATCACCCTTCACTGGTGCTCCGCCAGCGTATTCCGTTAGCGTAGGCGGGGTTACCATACCATTTTCACCCAGCAAAAAAAAACGGTCGTTTTAATATTTTTTACTTCCTATCAGGTTGATTTCGTGGTTAACTTCTGGTTAATCATAATGAGCCATCTATCTTGATTTCATCCTCATTTATCATTGTTCATTGTCGGCTGAGTAATACTACTTGTTTCATATCTCATTTATTATATATATTATATATATATATATATATATATATATATATATATATATATATATATATATATATATATTGGCAACATTAGCAACGAAGATCTGTTACTGAACAACACCAACATGTCTTCTTCATATATTATAATATAATAAATGTTTTTTTTTCTTTATATCGGACTTATTTAATAATTGTTCCCTATCGCATATATCAGCTATCAGAGACCACTTCTTTTTTATCAGATTGCTGCTTAACAGCTCCACCAATCTTACCTTAATACCAAAAGTCAAACAAACAATTTTACCAGAGGGAGACTTTGTACAAAAGTCGATTGCTTGGGTACCTCTGTCTCATTCGTGTTTCAATCGTGAAGCAGCTGTGTTTGCATGGCTGTGTTTCGGTTTGAAGGGTGGGATATGGCGTGAATTTACTGGGTACAGAGGAATAACACCTGAGTCCTCAGGAATGGCAATGCATGGGGGTATCGTGGGCGAAACAGTATACTCTGTTATGTCCATGGTACCACTGTCCACTTTCCATCAGGTGGGCCGTTAGGTTGCCATTTTAAGTTGTATAAAAAGAACAAGCCCACTTTCCCATTTATAATTATTAATAAGGATAGGAAGGAGTTAATCATCATTATATCAGCCTTTAATAGTCCACTGCTGAACATAGATCTCCCACATAGACTATTATTAAGTCTTGAACTATAATCTGAAGGCCACTTCCCATGGTATTTGCCAATAATTTCACGTTTAGCAGGCGGGTTTGCAGTCTGGCTTTGGTGGTGTTTTAATAGGGACGCTGCTGCTCTCTTGACTATTAAGTTAGTCGCCTCTAACGACACTCATAGGAAAGGAAGGCGTGGCCCATTCTATACCGGGATCACACGGCATTTTATATATAAATTGAAACATTCTATAAGTATAAACAACTTTTTAGATAACATACATAACAGGGTTTCCTTTGGAAAATGAAGACGAAACAAAACTGCGACAAATAAACATAAAGAGCAACTTTGACGCATTTCCAGGTGAGTTCTTGAAATAGTCTATTATTTAAATTTTTCTACATTATCATATCAGCCGTTGTTTATTGCTAAACATAAGTCTATTAGGGGGTTTTGCCAGTAGTTCTCACGCTTGGCATGCGGGTTGGCAACCGCAGTTAGGCTCTGGTAATGTTTATAGAGGGACGCTGCTGACCATCTGTCTACCATTAAGTTCCCTTAGTTGCCTCTTACGACACCCATAGGAAAGTAAGGGGTGGCCTATTCTATGTTGGGCCACAAGGCAAATTTGCTACATACAAAAGGTGCGCGTAGCAAACGAAAATAGGTATTTTAATTTAAGAAAAACAAATTACACAAATAAATCTTATTTATGTAGTTTTTTATTATTATTATTATATATAGCAGCAGTATTTCCGAACCGATACAACATCATAACTTTCAAAAAAATAGCACATTCTTTTTTTAAAAGGTTGGCAGCACACTTGCGACTCCTTTGGTGTTGAAGGTGCTAATGGGCGACGGTAGTCACTTACCATTTGGTGAAGCCCATCCCTGTGTTCTAAAAATTAAATAATAAATATACTCACGACACGACTATATTCCCTAACGAGTTAGACAGAGATACGTACTTGTTGCGAACGTAATATTCGACATGCCTATATTATTGCATAGGATACAACGTGATAGAGAACGACTCTATCACCGCCGTCAAGATTTGTTATCAATGTTTTCATTCACCGGACAGTTAGTCGGCAATTTAAATTATCCTTAAGTGTTTGTTCTTTGCCAGAATCGAACTCAGGACTTTTGCACTCTAAACTCAACATAAAACGATGTGTTTGTGAGAGATTTGAGTTTTGATAACATAATTAGAAATAATAGGAAATATTGTATATTGAATAATCTGTTGAATTAACATTAATAAATGTTTATTGCTAGGTAGTGAGTTCTATACAAGGCGGTTCTACTTCATGTAATTTTTAATATTGAATTGTTAAGAGTCAAGATTCAAGATTTATTTATGTGTAAAACATGCGTATAAATACATGCAGATGTTGACAATATAATATCGTTCGGCATGTTTAGCCTGTACGCCATACAAACATATGTCGTTACACAGATAGTTCACATTATACATCAAGTCCATTTTATACCATTAATCGTCATCACATTACAATTTTAAATACATTTAAATAAATAATAATTGTCAAGCAAGAATAAAAGAACGATGTCACAAAAGTTAAGGATTATTATAGATTAAGCAACATTTGAGGGAACATAATCTTTTTTAGTTTATGTGCCCAAATTCATAATTAATAATTAAAGTTACAAACTCATATTGGATCAATTATATTTTTTTTAACTCTGTGTATATATCTGGCTGTATGTATCGTATGATAGAATTAAATATTTAATTAAATAACATTAAAAATAAAATGTTCTGTAGTATAAGAGCCCTCGAAATTAAAAATAAATTAAAAATACTTACCATCCTTTTTTGACTTGGTACAACAGTCGTCAACATAGAAACCTCTGTCCCATTGGCAAAAATAAAAGTAAGTAAGAACTCGTATTATTGCAGATGGTGGAGCTTTTGATATTAGCACTGTCATTGACAAAGGTATAGAAGTAAATGACGCTCAAGCTATGCAAGACTTTGCTGTGTATAATGCATTCATGACTTTTGAGAACAAAGATGTCAAAGCGCTGATGGAAGATCCCAAACAAGAGTTTGATCTCGTGATTGCTGATTTATATGAAACTGAAATATATGCTGCGTAAGAATTTTTTTAATTACTCATATCATAATCGCTTCACTGTTGAATATAGGCCTCCTGCATAAACTACAATAAGGAACGCTCCCGTACCAGTTCTATGCATTGATTTCTTACAACACATTTGAGATGGAGTGACTCCATGTATAGTGAGAAGTCCTCACACTTTATTTGCTTATACGGGATTGCCACTCGATACTGTTTTTCCTCATTGGTACCACTTCTTCAAGCTATATGGTCGAACCATTGACACTTCAAGTTGCTGATCCGTCGGGTTACATCGGTCGCTTTAGTATCTTTAGTAATGCCAATATGGAACTCGAAAGTCTAACCTTATAATTTTGTGTATCTTAGATTTTCAGCACTTTACAATTGTCCGATGATTTGGAGTTATTCCATGGGAGTACACTGGCAAGTTTTACGGCTGATCGACGAACCGACCAATCCGGCGTACACAGCTGACTACCTCTCGTTTAATTTACCACCGTTTAATTTTATTGTGAGGCTTCAGGAATTATGGGCGCAGATAAAGTGGCAATGGATAAAATGGTTCGTATTGTAATTTTCTGTTTCTGGCTTTCAAATTATTGAAATTTAGAATATTTGGATGATTGCTATTCGGTTGCTATTGTACGGGAGGGCAGATAAGGCTGTCTTTTGATGAACAAAACCTTCACGTACAACGTAGGAAGCCTAGAAACTCTTAACATTAGAAGGCAACATTCTCATATGAACAAAAAATAGTAATTCCTACCTGGTAAGAACTATATTTGTTTAGTCATACTTATTTTCATACTGCTCATGTCTATAGGCGACGGTTACCATTTTCTATCAGGTGGGCCGTCAGCTTGTTTGCCATTCTAAGCTGTATAAAAAAAATGCGTTAAAGTTTCTGAGGACTAAACTACTCCTTTTCCTCATAAGAGAAGCCTATGCTCAATATCTTACAGTTTGACTATTTAAATAAGCATTTTATTTATGCAAAAAATAAATAAACAGGCTTTTTAATGACCATGTAATTTTGAGGCATAGTACGTTTAAATATATATACATATTGTTATAGCGATTTAAAAGAGCTTACGCAGCATAAAAAAAAAATATCTCTTTCAGTCAACCCAAAAAAAATGTATGTGACAAATTAAAATTTCAGGTATTCAACCACACCAAAAGAAATATATACATATGAGAAATATTTCGGCCCACTTATAGAGAAACGAGGCAGAACATTGCCGAATTATCATGAGTTAATTTATAATGCTTCGATGATACTGGCCAATGACTACAACGCGTTCGGTAATATACCGAGTACCCCACAAAACTTTAAGTTGATTGGTGGCTATCACATTGCAACTCACACACAACCACTGCCGAAGGTATACCACTCACCGTAATAAATTATAACATCTCACTGGGCTGAGCACAGGTTTCTAATAAGAAAAGCCAAATTAAATCAAATTAATATTTTGGGAATGTTTTGGAAAATAAAAAGGAATGCTACCTCATAGGCGACGTGCTGAAAAAGGACGAAATTATAAATACCCATAACTAGCAAGCGTGTATGAAAAGATTGACGAATGTAGAAGAAGCGAAAGATGCTTGTTTGAATAGAAACATTTGGCATTCCATTGTTTCTGCCTACCTTAATGGGAAACAGGCTTTTATTTATTTTCTTGGTATCTGTATTCCTTTTACTTTAGCATTTACATTAGGCATTAAGAACAAGGAATAACGAAATCTCTGATTAGTCATATTATAAATGCATTTATTTTTTTCTTAATTGTATCCCGCCGATTCACCTACATCCATCAATAAAAAAAGTATCCTATACGAGTATGCTAAGTTAGGATATAACCTATGCGTGTATCAAATTTTATTCCAATACGTTTAGTATTTTTTCTATAAAAAAGTATTAAATATCCATCTGCCCATTCATCCATCTTTACAAACTTTCGCATTTATTATAGGATTGTGTAATATCTAGTAAGATCATTATTTGTTTATTTTCAGGATTTGCAGAGTCTAATGGACAGTTCAACAAACGGTGTTATTTATTTCAGCATGGGTTCAACACTAAAAAGCAAAGACATACCTAAACCTATAGTTGAAAATATTCTAAAAATATTTGGGAGTTTAAAGCAAACTGTAATATGGAAGTTTGAGGAGAAACTACATAATTTGCCCAAAAACGTACATATCATGTCCTGGGCACCACAACCAAGCATTTTAGGTTAGTATACTGATATATATATAATGCTTAAAAATCTACTTTAAAACCGAGATTTGGCAATTCCATCTTCAACGTTCATTTGCTGTTTTGAATCTATTAAGTTACACTTTCGATTTCTGAGTACCCTAGTGTAAAGGTAACATTGTTTCTCTTTCAACTCATCCAAAATGTTTATTCTTCATCTCCCACGGAGGCCAGTTGTCATCGAGCGAGTCTGTTCACTTTGGAATACCTATCATCGGCATACCGATTTATATGGACCAATTCGTGAACGTAGAGAAAGCAGTCAGTAGAGGTTACGCTATCAGAGTTCATTTTACTCGTAATTTAGCGAGCGACTTGAAAACAGCTATTGACAGGATGCTTAATGAGCCAAAGTAAGTAAAATCCTTATCAAGAATGGCCAGTTCCACTAGTCCCTACCAACTTTCCCCCTGGGGGTAAGAGAGGGTTTTTTCCACCTCTTCTCAGTATTGCGTGTCTAGTAAAGATATACCTCTTTTCACTGCCGATATTTTTTTATTAATAATTACACATACAGTCTGATAGAAAATCAATAGTACAAAAAGGGTAACCTATATAACAGAAATTTATTATTTTCTGAAGGAGAACACAGTGTATTAACGTTTTTTAATATTTGGCTCCAGATACAGGCAGAGGGCAAAGGAGCTGTCAGCCATATACCACGACCGGCCGGTGTCGCCGGGCCGCGAGCTGGTGCACTGGGTGCGGCACGTGGCGAGCACGCGCGGCGCCGCACACCTCCGCTCGCCTGCGCTGCACGTGCCGTGCTACCAGAAGTACTACCTCGATCTGATTTTTTTACTTACTATAGTCAATATAACCTTCTTTGTTGTAATAAAAATTATTTATAAGAAATGTAAGAGTAAAAAGAAAGAAAAAAGTAATTAAAACCGTTTCAAAATATATTAAAGATTTTGAAACGGTTAAAGATTAAAAGATTTCCGATTGTCATCTCATTTCGGTAACGAAGGTTCATTGAAAGACAAACATTTGAATACAATTTATATTAATAACATAATTACATATATTTAATGTCAAAAAATAAAACTTATTGTTTAATCGGAATCACAAATAATAATACTAGGCATTAATACTTAACAATATTCAATTAATTATAATAAAAATTGTATTATCATTTTTTATATTAAATGTAAATTAATTATTCTCAATTATTCGTTAATAAAGATGTATTCGATTATTTAAAAAACTGCATTGTAATTAATTTTTTTATTTTAATAAACAATTGAAAGTAAGGTTTACATAGTATTTTTGATAACAGTCTGATACGATTTGATGACGATTTTATAGTTGATCATTTTATAGTTACTTTACATGCACTAACATATATTAACTTAGTAAACCTAATATAACAAAAGTACGTGAAATTAGTAATGCATTTATTTGCATAAGAAAGTGATTTTCATGTTTTTTTTTTTTTTTTATATAATTCTTTATTTTATTTTATTGCAAATCACAACATGAGAATTCTTTGTTTAACTCACAAGATAAATTAACCACAATATTTTTAGGAACAGAATAAGAAAATGTCTTGACAATTATATCTACCATAATAATATACATAAAGATTTTTTTCAATTGAACATACATTATTATTTCTTATATATATATAGACACCATTTATTTGCAATTAAATTATATTAACCATCACCATTTAATTATCACATTTGGTCAAAGAAAATAAAAATTAAAAATAATAATAACAAGTAAATAACCCCCGTACTGATCACATTGCGCGGAAGATTGGTCATAAAAGTCAATGTAACGCCATAGAACACTCGCGTCCAGTGTCTATACGGACGCTAAAACTACATATTAAAATTTTTATTGTAGAGATTGGTTTATAGAAGTGCACTTCAAAATCGATCTAAAGCAATCTATAAAATTAATGTTTTTAAATAATATTTCTCAAATTTTTGAGATACCGTCCATACTGTGTCTGGCCAAAAAAAAAAAGAAATAGAAATTAGCACTTCTAAATTGGCTGCATTGTTACATAGAACGATTTTTTTGTAATCAAACTAAATGATTCAACTTAACATTTTCAACTCAACTATTTTAATATATAAATAAACATGCATTTATATATTATAATTAACAACAATTGAAAGTCGTATACAAAATTATTATTGTTCTCAAATGTAAGCAAATTATAACGAAGCTAATACAATTATTATAAATACCATTTTATGTTTGGTACAACATGACAGGACCAAAGTGATTTACATCTATCTTACTTCCAATATGTACTTCTAAAAAGAGTCAACAACATATGCTACATGTCATTTTATTTATTATACCGTAATCAAATTATATTCGAGTTAAAACATAAATTATTCTTTAACGTAAGGAAGAAACTGTTTCTAGGTACGTTAATGACTAGTTTTGTTTTAAAAACTAGTAAAATTTCAGATTGTTATATTAATGTTCAGATTTTTTTTTACATTTTCGATTTTTAATTTACGAACACATACAGAGTTAGATAGAGTATTGGTAGGAACATTAGGTGTCAACAATCACATGATATTCAACACGTCCTGATGGAATGCGCCAAGAACAACCACGAGAGGAAAGAAGTGATTAATAAGTTACGGATTAATAAAGATAATATAGGAATGTTTCATGCCATTCTAGCAGACCCCTCGTCTGACGACGCGAGCCTGGTGTATGATATGTTTTTTTTTTTAATGGATGATAATGGAATGGCAACCCCACCCGCGCTATCGGTATACATCGGCGGGGCACCAGTGAAGGATGATAGGTGAGGATGAAGTAGGTCAGTTAGCCTATCGTGACGAATTCAACAAGAATTGTTCACAATGGTTTCTAGGGGGAACTACGTGGAGGCCAACCTAATAAGGCATATTGCTAACAATGGGGCTGTCAAACTCCGTTGCTAACAATTCCTTTCCCCCGGTGTATGATACAGTTGGATGAAGGTTTTAATGTAGCATGTAATTTTAATATAACATCTGACCATAAGTTATTAGGTTTTCTCTCTCTCTCTTCCACCTATGTAAATAATATAATTGTTCCACGACATTCCTTTCGTTCATGTTATTTGATTTTGTGGGTGGTATCTTTTGATTGTTAAAATATATCGAATGATGTCCTAATTAAGGTATGATGGAACTGACGTGCCTAAAAGGACAAAAGTCCCTAAATAAATAAAGATAAAAAAAAAATATAAAGGAAGAGAACAGTTTGAGAAAACAAAAAATATCCTTGAAACATTCACATCTATCTAGCATGAAGATTCAAAATTGTTTAAATTTCAGAAATAGGTTTACTGTATTTAAATATTTCAAACTGCTTTACATGCTCTTTTTTTTATTAAATTATATGTATTACGTTGTTATAATTCTAATATATAATTGCGTGCTTAATAGGAATAATAAAATGGGTCCTTAGATCTTATTAACTATCAATAGATAGATTAGTCCCTTCAATTAAAGCACATATTGTCAGATGTCTAATTAGAAATAAAAATGATCGCTCAACCTCATTGTCAACTCTTGTGAAAGCTATGACTCGTGTTGTTATTCTCGAGGAAACTGGGTATTTTACCTTCCTTAACTATCCTTAATGCTTGCAGCACCCTCGCCGTATCTAATTCCTTTTGAGATGCTTTTTCATTATCTAGACATAACTCTCCCATTCTAGCATTGAACTGCTCTATTACTTTCACTCTATAGTCTATGGTAGAGGCAACAGGGTTGGCAGTTAGCCAGAGATATTCTAAACAAGGCAATTTACATATATGTTGGACCTCTTCAACATCAGTAACGAGGTTGCAGCTTAAATCTAGGCTTTCTAGGGAATATAACCGTGAGAAACCTTGCAGAGAGACAACTTGGTTCTGTGATAAATCAATTTTGACGATGTTACCAATTTTGGCATGCCAGTTCTCACACGCTGAGAACTTGTTCATGGATAGATTAAGTATTCTTAATTCGTGCAGGCTTGATATATCACAGAGTTCCGTTAGTCTGTTGGAAGAGAAATTGAGTACTTGTAATTTTGGTACCAATTTGATCGCCCAATCGACTTGATGTATGTTGTTGCTGGCGAAGTTCACTTTTGTCAGCTTTTTCCATTTCTGTAAAACAATTAATACTAATTACTTGATGAAGAGAACTTTATTCATCATCATCATTATCATCATATTAGCTGTTATCTGTCCAGTGCTTAACATAGGCCTCCCTCAGACTTCTACAAACAACAGGGCCGTTTCTTATGATAGTTTACCACTGGGGGGGTTTTGCCAGTAATTGCTACGCTTACAGGCAACCGCAATTAGCCTTTAGTGACGTTTTAAGATGGACGCTGCTGCCCAACCTTCGCCCATTAAGTCCCCTTAGTCGCCTTTTATGACACTCTCGGGAAAGGAAGAGATGGTTCCATTTTATGCCGGGACCACACGGCAACTTTATTACCGGAAGAAAATTATGCGTTTCTATAAATTTAATGCCAATTTTTGCAATACTGAAAAGTTTTAGTGAACTTTTAACTATGTTATTTCAACCCAGGATTTGAGATGGAAACACTTGAAGGGAAATAAAGGGATAGTATTTTTGATAGTGTGTATTATCTATATAACTAAAACCAAAGTTCTGGAATATTTCGGGCAAGTATCTATCGGTAGATAGATAACGATATGTGCAATAGGTTACTAATTTGGAATATTTAATATTGCTACAGACAATATTTTATTTTTTATTTTATTTAACTCTTTATTGCACCATATATAAAAATATACAATGACAAGTGAATAATTCAAGTGAAATACAGTAACATAATTACAGATTGAAATATACATATAAAGGTACAAAAGGCGGTCTTATCGCTAGGGCAATCTCTTACAGATACAATAAATTAGTATTATAATGAATTGAATGTGCAATTAATTACGTCTATAATTTGAAGCAATTCTCTATAATGATTATGACCTAATTGTAGACAGAAAGAACATAAACATATAAATATACAATAATTTCTCCACTGAGTCATCATACGATCAACACGTGTCTGTTTCGAATATTAACATTGATTTATCATATTGAGTGTAACCTATAAAATGACTATTTGTATTTGATAAGCTTGTAAATGTTGTATATTGATAATGTTTGATGCGCAGTATCGTAAGCGAATGGGTGCAAATAAAGAATTATAATAGGTCAGAGGTCAATTATCAGTTGGGGCAACTCGACATTTGACATAATTTCAGTCATTGATCATTCAATGCTGAGTGTATATCTCAATCAGACAGTCATAAAATTTAGATATTTGCCTCTTTTAACTGCTTTTAAGATTTCCTAGTTAAATCTAATAATAGTTTACTCAATACTACATTTGTCTTAAGGCTACCACTCTAAACCTTTTTTTTGCATTATAATATTGTGTTAATAAAGTATTTATTCTATTTTGAAGACGAACAATTAGTTGTATTTTACGTTATTATTTTATCAACCAACTTCAAAATGGAGTAGTGTGCTGATTTAACTTATTTTTTCTGTTGTATATGTTACACAATAGGGGAGGCCTATGTTCAGCACTAGATAGATATCTGCTGAGATGGTGTTAATGATGATGATATATTACACAATTTTTTTTTTTTATTGAAATATGTAATGGTCACAAGAGTAATCCTATGTAGGATGTGTACAAATATTATTGATTCTAATAAGAAATATTTTGGGGGTTTACAAAAACAGTATTCTTCACAAAACTCAGGTGTTATTCCTCTGTACCCAGTAAATTCACGTCATATCCCACTCTTCAAACCGAAACTTACTTAATTTTGATATGCGTTCCGCTACAGTTCATCGACGAAAACCAAGGCCAAACCAACAGATGGCTATTGTTCATTAACCTTGATTTACCTCTATTCATTAGATACGACTAACAATCACCAGAGCGGCATATTAACGGTCGTTTTAAGGGGGAAAGGGATTGTTAGTAATGAAGACTGAGAATCCCATTGCTAATAATATACCCAACCAGGTCGACCTCCTCGCGGTTCCCCCTGGAAACTATCATGGTTAATTCCTGATGAATTCATCATGATGGGCTAACTGGCCTGTTTTCATTCTCATCTATCACCCTTCACTGGTGCTCCGCCAGCGTATTCCGTTAGCGTAGGCGGGGTTACCATACCATTTTCACCCAGCAAAAAAAAACGGTCGTTTTAATATTTTTTACTTCCTATCAGGTTGATTTCGTGGTTAACTTCTGGTTAATCATAATGAGCCATCTATCTTGATTTCATCCTCATTTATCATTGTTCATTGTCGGCTGAGTAATACTACTTGTTTCATATCTCATTTATTATTATATATATATATATATATATATATATATATATATATATATATATATATATATATATATATATATATATATATATATATATATTGGCAACATTAGCAACGAAGATCTGTTACTGAACAACACCAACATGTCTTCTTCATATATTATAATATAATAAATGTTTTTTTTTCTTTATATCGGACTTATTTAATAATTGTTCCCTATCGCATATATCAGCTATCAGAGACCACTTCTTTTTTATCAGATTGCTGCTTAACAGCTCCACCAATCTTACCTTAATACCAAAAGTCAAACAAACAATTTTACCAGAGGGAGACTTTGTACAAAAGTCGATTGCTTGGGTACCTCTGTCTCATTCGTGTTTCAATCGTGAAGCAGCTGTGTTTGCATGGCTGTGTTTCGGTTTGAAGGGTGGGATATGGCGTGAATTTACTGGGTACAGAGGAATAACACCTGAGTCCTCAGGAATGGCAATGCATGGGGGTATCGTGGGCGAAACAGTATACTCTGTTATGTCCATGGTACCACTGTCCACTTTCCATCAGGTGGGCCGTTAGGTTGCCATTTTAAGTTGTATAAAAAGAACAAGCCCACTTTCCCATTTATAATTATTAATAAGGATAGGAAGGAGTTAATCATCATTATATCAGCCTTTAATAGTCCACTGCTGAACATAGATCTCCCACATAGACTATTATTAAGTCTTGAACTATAATCTGAAGGCCACTTCCCATGGTATTTGCCAATAATTTCACGTTTAGCAGGCGGGTTTGCAGTCTGGCTTTGGTGGTGTTTTAATAGGGACGCTGCTGCTCTCTTGACTATTAAGTTAGTCGCCTCTAACGACACTCATAGGAAAGGAAGGCGTGGCCCATTCTATACCGGGATCACACGGCATTTTATATATAAATTGAAACATTCTATAAGTATAAACAACTTTTTAGATAACATACATAACAGGGTTTCCTTTGGAAAATGAAGACGAAACAAAACTGCGACAAATAAACATAAAGAGCAACTTTGACGCATTTCCAGGTGAGTTCTTGAAATAGTCTATTATTTAAATTTTTCTACATTATCATATCAGCCGTTGTTTATTGCTAAACATAAGTCTATTAGGGGTTTTGCCAGTAGTTCTCACGCTTGGCATGCGGGTTGGCAACCGCAGTTAGGCTCTGGTAATGTTTATAGAGGGACGCTGCTGACCATCTGTCTACCATTAAGTTCCCTTAGTTGCCTCTTACGACACCCATAGGAAAGTAAGGGGTGGCCTATTCTATGTTGGGCCACAAGGCAAATTTGCTACATACAAAAGGTGCGCGTAGCAAACGAAAATAGGTATTTTAATTTAAGAAAAACAAATTACACAAATAAATCTTATTTATGTAGTTTTTTATTATTATTATTATATATAGCAGCAGTATTTCCGAACCGATACAACATCATAACTTTCAAAAAAATAGCACATTCTTTTTTTAAAAGGTTGGCAGCACACTTGCGACTCCTTTGGTGTTGAAGGTGCTAATGGGCGACGGTAGTCACTTACCATTTGGTGAAGCCCATCCCTGTGTTCTAAAAATTAAATAATAAATATACTCACGACACGACTATATTCCCTAACGAGTTAGACAGAGATACGTACTTGTTGCGAACGTAATATTCGACATGCCTATATTATTGCATAGGATACAACGTGATAGAGAACGACTCTATCACCGCCGTCAAGATTTGTTATCAATGTTTTCATTCACCGGACAGTTAGTCGGCAATTTAAATTATCCTTAAGTGTTTGTTCTTTGCCAGAATCGAACTCAGGACTTTTGCACTCTAAACTCAACATAAAACGATGTGTTTGTGAGAGATTTGAGTTTTGATAACATAATTAGAAATAATAGGAAATATTGTATATTGAATAATCTGTTGAATTAACATTAATAAATGTTTATTGCTAGGTAGTGAGTTCTATACAAGGCGGTTCTACTTCATGTAATTTTTAATATTGAATTGTTAAGAGTCAAGATTCAAGATTTATTTATGTGTAAAACATGCGTATAAATACATGCAGATGTTGACAATATAATATCGTTCGGCATGTTTAGCCTGTACGCCATACAAACATATGTCGTTACACAGATAGTTCACATTATACATCAAGTCCATTTTATACCATTAATCGTCATCACATTACAATTTTAAATACATTTAAATAAATAATAATTGTCAAGCAAGAATAAAAGAACGATGTCACAAAAGTTAAGGATTATTATAGATTAAGCAACATTTGAGGGAACATAATCTTTTTTAGTTTATGTGCCCAAATTCATAATTAATAATTAAAGTTACAAACTCATATTGGATCAATTATATTTTTTTTAACTCTGTGTATATATCTGGCTGTATGTATCGTATGATAGAATTAAATATTTAATTAAATAACATTAAAAATAAAATGTTCTGTAGTATAAGAGCCCTCGAAATTAAAAATAAATTAAAAATACTTACCATCCTTTTTTGACTTGGTACAACAGTCGTCAACATAGAAACCTCTGTCCCATTGGCAAAAATAAAAGTAAGTAAGAACTCGTATTATTGCAGATGGTGGAGCTTTTGATATTAGCACTGTCATTGACAAAGGTATAGAAGTAAATGACGCTCAAGCTATGCAAGACTTTGCTGTGTATAATGCATTCATGACTTTTGAGAACAAAGATGTCAAAGCGCTGATGGAAGATCCCAAACAAGAGTTTGATCTCGTGATTGCTGATTTATATGAAACTGAAATATATGCTGCGTAAGAATTTTTTTAATTACTCATATCATAATCGCTTCACTGTTGAATATAGGCCTCCTGCATAAACTACAATAAGGAACGCTCCCGTACCAGTTCTATGCATTGATTTCTTACAACACATTTGAGATGGAGTGACTCCATGTATAGTGAGAAGTCCTCACACTTTATTTGCTTATACGGGATTGCCACTCGATACTGTTTTTCCTCATTGGTACCACTTCTTCAAGCTATATGGTCGAACCATTGACACTTCAAGTTGCTGATCCGTCGGGTTACATCGGTCGCTTTAGTATCTTTAGTAATGCCAATATGGAACTCGAAAGTCTAACCTTATAATTTTGTGTATCTTAGATTTTCAGCACTTTACAATTGTCCGATGATTTGGAGTTATTCCATGGGAGTACACTGGCAAGTTTTACGGCTGATCGACGAACCGACCAATCCGGCGTACACAGCTGACTACCTCTCGTTTAATTTACCACCGTTTAATTTTATTGTGAGGCTTCAGGAATTATGGGCGCAGATAAAGTGGCAATGGATAAAATGGTTCGTATTGTAATTTTCTGTTTCTGGCTTTCAAATTATTGAAATTTAGAATATTTGGATGATTGCTATTCGGTTGCTATTGTACGGGAGGGCAGATAAGGCTGTCTTTTGATGAACAAAACCTTCACGTACAACGTAGGAAGCCTAGAAACTCTTAACATTAGAAGGCAACATTCTCATATGAACAAAAAATAGTAATTCCTACCTGGTAAGAACTATATTTGTTTAGTCATACTTATTTTCATACTGCTCATGTCTATAGGCGACGGTTACCATTTTCTATCAGGTGGGCCGTCAGCTTGTTTGCCATTCTAAGCTGTATAAAAAAAATGCGTTAAAGTTTCTGAGGACTAAACTACTCCTTTTCCTCATAAGAGAAGCCTATGCTCAATATCTTACAGTTTGACTATTTAAATAAGCATTTTATTTATGCAAAAAATAAATAAACAGGCTTTTTAATGACCATGTAATTTTGAGGCATAGTACGTTTAAATATATATACATATTGTTATAGCGATTTAAAAGAGCTTACGCAGCATAAAAAAAAAATATCTCTTTCAGTCAACCCAAAAAAAATGTATGTGACAAATTAAAATTTCAGGTATTCAACCACACCAAAAGAAATATATACATATGAGAAATATTTCGGCCCACTTATAGAGAAACGAGGCAGAACATTGCCGAATTATCATGAGTTAATTTATAATGCTTCGATGATACTGGCCAATGACTACAACGCGTTCGGTAATATACCGAGTACCCCACAAAACTTTAAGTTGATTGGTGGCTATCACATTGCAACTCACACACAACCACTGCCGAAGGTATACCACTCACCGTAATAAATTATAACATCTCACTGGGCTGAGCACAGGTTTCTAATAAGAAAAGCCAAATTAAATCAAATTAATATTTTGGGAATGTTTTGGAAAATAAAAAGGAATGCTACCTCATAGGCGACGTGCTGAAAAAGGACGAAATTATAAATACCCATAACTAGCAAGCGTGTATGAAAAGATTGACGAATGTAGAAGAAGCGAAAGATGCTTGTTTGAATAGAAACATTTGGCATTCCATTGTTTCTGCCTACCTTAATGGGAAACAGGCTTTTATTTATTTTCTTGGTATCTGTATTCCTTTTACTTTAGCATTTACATTAGGCATTAAGAACAAGGAATAACGAAATCTCTGATTAGTCATATTATAAATGCATTTATTTTTTTCTTAATTGTATCCCGCCGATTCACCTACATCCATCAATAAAAAAAGTATCCTATACGAGTATGCTAAGTTAGGATATAACCTATGCGTGTATCAAATTTTATTCCAATACGTTTAGTATTTTTTCTATAAAAAAGTATTAAATATCCATCTGCCCATTCATCCATCTTTACAAACTTTCGCATTTATTATAGGATTGTGTAATATCTAGTAAGATCATTATTTGTTTATTTTCAGGATTTGCAGAGTCTAATGGACAGTTCAACAAACGGTGTTATTTATTTCAGCATGGGTTCAACACTAAAAAGCAAAGACATACCTAAACCTATAGTTGAAAATATTCTAAAAATATTTGGGAGTTTAAAGCAAACTGTAATATGGAAGTTTGAGGAGAAACTACATAATTTGCCCAAAAACGTACATATCATGTCCTGGGCACCACAACCAAGCATTTTAGGTTAGTATACTGATATATATATAATGCTTAAAAATCTACTTTAAAACCGAGATTTGGCAATTCCATCTTCAACGTTCATTTGCTGTTTTGAATCTATTAAGTTACACTTTCGATTTCTGAGTACCCTAGTGTAAAGGTAACATTGTTTCTCTTTCAACTCATCCAAAATGTTTATTCTTCATCTCCCACGGAGGCCAGTTGTCATCGAGCGAGTCTGTTCACTTTGGAATACCTATCATCGGCATACCGATTTATATGGACCAATTCGTGAACGTAGAGAAAGCAGTCAGTAGAGGTTACGCTATCAGAGTTCATTTTACTCGTAATTTAGCGAGCGACTTGAAAACAGCTATTGACAGGATGCTTAATGAGCCAAAGTAAGTAAAATCCTTATCAAGAATGGCCAGTTCCACTAGTCCCTACCAACTTTCCCCCTGGGGGGTAAGAGAGGGTTTTTTCCACCTCTTCTCAGTATTGCGTGTCTAGTAAAGATATACCTCTTTTCACTGCCGATATTTTTTTATTAATAATTACACATACAGTCTGATAGAAAATCAATAGTACAAAAAGGGTAACCTATATAACAGAAATTTATTATTTTCTGAAGGAGAACACAGTGTATTAACGTTTTTTAATATTTGGCTCCAGATACAGGCAGAGGGCAAAGGAGCTGTCAGCCATATACCACGACCGGCCGGTGTCGCCGGGCCGCGAGCTGGTGCACTGGGTGCGGCACGTGGCGAGCACGCGCGGCGCCGCACACCTCCGCTCGCCTGCGCTGCACGTGCCGTGCTACCAGAAGTACTACCTCGATCTGATTTTTTTACTTACTATAGTCAATATAACCTTCTTTGTTGTAATAAAAATTATTTATAAGAAATGTAAGAGTAAAAAGAAAGAAAAAAAAAGTAATTAAAACCGTTTCAAAATATATTAAAGATTTTGAAACGGTTAAAGATTAAAAGATTTCCGATTGTCATCTCATTTCGGTAACGAAGGTTCATTGAAAGACAAACATTTGAATACAATTTATATTAATAACATAATTACATATATTTAATGTCAAAAAATAAAACTTATTGTTTAATCGGAATCACAAATAATAATACTAGGCATTAATACTTAACAATATTCAATTAATTATAATAAAAATTGTATTATCATTTTTTATATTAAATGTAAATTAATTATTCTCAATTATTCGTTAATAAAGATGTATTCGATTATTTAAAAAACTGCATTGTAATTAATTTTTTTATTTTAATAAACAATTGAAAGTAAGGTTTACATAGTATTTTTGATAACAGTCTGATACGATTTGATGACGATTTTATAGTTGATCATTTTATAGTTACTTTACATGCACTAACATATATTAACTTAGTAAACCTAATATAACAAAAGTACGTGAAATTAGTAATGCATTTATTTGCATAAGAAAGTGATTTTCATGTTTTTTTTTTTTTTTTTATATAATTCTTTATTTTATTTTATTGCAAATCACAACATGAGAATTCTTTGTTTAACTCACAAGATAAATTAACCACAATATTTTTAGGAACAGAATAAGAAAATGTCTTGACAATTATATCTACCATAATAATATACATAAAGATTTTTTTCAATTGAACATACATTATTATTTCTTATATATATATATAGACACCATTTATTTGCAATTAAATTATATTAACCATCACCATTTAATTATCACATTTGGTCAAAGAAAATAAAAATTAAAAATAATAATAACAAGTAAATAACCCCCGTACTGATCACATTGCGCGGAAGATTGGTCATAAAAGTCAATGTAACGCCATAGAACACTCGCGTCCAGTGTCTATACGGACGCTAAAACTACATATTAAAATTTTTATTGTAGAGATTGGTTTATAGAAGTGCACTTCAAAATCGATCTAAAGCAATCTATAAAATTAATGTTTTTAAATAATATTTCTCAAATTTTTGAGATACCGTCCATACTGTGTCTGGCCAAAAAAAAAAAGGAAATAGAAATTAGCACTTCTAAATTGGCTGCATTGTTACATAGAACGATTTTTTTGTAATCAAACTAAATGATTCAACTTAACATTTTCAACTCAACTATTTTAATATATAAATAAACATGCATTTATATATTATAATTAACAACAATTGAAAGTCGTATACAAAATTATTATTGTTCTCAAATGTAAGCAAATTATAACGAAGCTAATACAATTATTATAAATACCATTTTATGTTTGGTACAACATGACAGGACCAAAGTGATTTACATCTATCTTACTTCCAATATGTACTTCTAAAAAGAGTCAACAACATATGCTACATGTCATTTTATTTATTATACCGTAATCAAATTATATTCGAGTTAAAACATAAATTATTCTTTAACGTAAGGAAGAAACTGTTTCTAGGTACGTTAATGACTAGTTTTGTTTTAAAAACTAGTAAAATTTCAGATTGTTATATTAATGTTCAGATTTTTTTTTACATTTTCGATTTTTAATTTACGAACACATACAGAGTTAGATAGAGTATTGGTAGGAACATTAGGTGTCAACAATCACATGATATTCAACACGTCCTGATGGAATGCGCCAAGAACAACCACGAGAGGAAAGAAGTGATTAATAAGTTACGGATTAATAAAGATAATATAGGAATGTTTCATGCCATTCTAGCAGACCCCTCGTCTGACGACGCGAGCCTGGTGTATGATATGTTTTTTTTTTAATGGATGATAATGGAATGGCAACCCCACCCGCGCTATCGGTATACATCGGCGGGGCACCAGTGAAGGATGATAGGTGAGGATGAAGTAGGTCAGTTAGCCTATCGTGACGAATTCAACAAGAATTGTTCACAATGGTTTCTAGGGGGAACTACGTGGAGGCCAACCTAATAAGGCATATTGCTAACAATGGGGCTGTCAAACTCCGTTGCTAACAATTCCTTTCCCCCCGGTGTATGATACAGTTGGATGAAGGTTTTAATGTAGCATGTAATTTTAATATAACATCTGACCATAAGTTATTAGGTTTTCTCTCTCTCTCTTCCACCTATGTAAATAATATAATTGTTCCACGACATTCCTTTCGTTCATGTTATTTGATTTTGTGGGTGGTATCTTTTGATTGTTAAAATATATCGAATGATGTCCTAATTAAGGTATGATGGAACTGACGTGCCTAAAAGGACAAAAGTCCCTAAATAAATAAAGATAAAAAAAAAATATAAAGGAAGAGAACAGTTTGAGAAAACAAAAAATATCCTTGAAACATTCACATCTATCTAGCATGAAGATTCAAAATTGTTTAAATTTCAGAAATAGGTTTACTGTATTTAAATATTTCAAACTGCTTTACATGCTCTTTTTTTTATTAAATTATATGTATTACGTTGTTATAATTCTAATATATAATTGCGTGCTTAATAGGAATAATAAAATGGGTCCTTAGATCTTATTAACTATCAATAGATAGATTAGTCCCTTCAATTAAAGCACATATTGTCAGATGTCTAATTAGAAATAAAAATGATCGCTCAACCTCATTGTCAACTCTTGTGAAAGCTATGACTCGTGTTGTTATTCTCGAGGAAACTGGGTATTTTACCTTCCTTAACTATCCTTAATGCTTGCAGCACCCTCGCCGTATCTAATTCCTTTTGAGATGCTTTTTCATTATCTAGACATAACTCTCCCATTCTAGCATTGAACTGCTCTATTACTTTCACTCTATAGTCTATGGTAGAGGCAACAGGGTTGGCAGTTAGCCAGAGATATTCTAAACAAGGCAATTTACATATATGTTGGACCTCTTCAACATCAGTAACGAGGTTGCAGCTTAAATCTAGGCTTTCTAGGGAATATAACCGTGAGAAACCTTGCAGAGAGACAACTTGGTTCTGTGATAAATCAATTTTGACGATGTTACCAATTTTGGCATGCCAGTTCTCACACGCTGAGAACTTGTTCATGGATAGATTAAGTATTCTTAATTCGTGCAGGCTTGATATATCACAGAGTTCCGTTAGTCTGTTGGAAGAGAAATTGAGTACTTGTAATTTTGGTACCAATTTGATCGCCCAATCGACTTGATGTATGTTGTTGCTGGCGAAGTTCACTTTTGTCAGCTTTTTCCATTTCTGTAAAACAATTAATACTAATTACTTGATGAAGAGAACTTTATTCATCATCATCATTATCATCATATTAGCTGTTATCTGTCCAGTGCTTAACATAGGCCTCCCTCAGACTTCTACAAACAACAGGGCCGTTTCTTATGATAGTTTACCACTGGGGGGGTTTTGCCAGTAATTGCTACGCTTACAGGCAACCGCAATTAGCCTTTAGTGACGTTTTAAGATGGACGCTGCTGCCCAACCTTCGCCCATTAAGTCCCCTTAGTCGCCTTTTATGACACTCTCGGGAAAGGAAGAGATGGTTCCATTTTATGCCGGGACCACACGGCAACTTTATTACCGGAAGAAAATTATGCGTTTCTATAAATTTAATGCCAATTTTTGCAATACTGAAAAGTTTTAGTGAACTTTTAACTATGTTATTTCAACCCAGGATTTGAGATGGAAACACTTGAAGGGAAATAAAGGGATAGTATTTTTGATAGTGTGTATTATCTATATAACTAAAACCAAAGTTCTGGAATATTTCGGGCAAGTATCTATCGGTAGATAGATAACGATATGTGCAATAGGTTACTAATTTGGAATATTTAATATTGCTACAGACAATATTTTATTTTTTATTTTATTTAACTCTTTATTGCACCATATATAAAAATATACAATGACAAGTGAATAATTCAAGTGAAATACAGTAACATAATTACAGATTGAAATATACATATAAAGGTACAAAAGGCGGTCTTATCGCTAGGGCAATCTCTTACAGATACAATAAATTAGTATTATAATGAATTGAATGTGCAATTAATTACGTCTATAATTTGAAGCAATTCTCTATAATGATTATGACCTAATTGTAGACAGAAAGAACATAAACATATAAATATACAATAATTTCTCCACTGAGTCATCATACGATCAACACGTGTCTGTTTCGAATATTAACATTGATTTATCATATTGAGTGTAACCTATAAAATGACTATTTGTATTTGATAAGCTTGTAAATGTTGTATATTGATAATGTTTGATGCGCAGTATCGTAAGCGAATGGGCGCAAATAAAGAATTATAATAGGTCAGAGGTCAATTATCAGTTGGGGCAACTCGACATTTGACATAATTTCAGTCATTGATCATTCAATGCTGAGTGTATATCTCAATCAGACAGTCATAAAATTTAGATATTTGCCTCTTTTAACTGCTTTTAAGATTTCCTAGTTAAATCTAATAATAGTTTACTCAATACTACATTTGTCTTAAGGCTACCACTCTAAACCTTTTTTTTGCATTATAATATTGTGTTAATAAAGTATTTATTCTATTTTGAAGACGAACAATTAGTTGTATTTTACGTTATTATTTTATCAACCAACTTCAAAATGGAGTAGTGTGCTGATTTAACTTATTTTTTCTGTTGTATATGTTACACAATAGGGGAGGCCTATGTTCAGCACTAGATAGATATCTGCTGAGATGGTGTTAATGATGATGATATATTACACAATTTTTTTTTTTTATTGAAATATGTAATGGTCACAAGAGTAATAATCCTATGTAGGATGTGTACAAATATTATTGATTCTAATAAGAAATATTTTGGGGGTTTACAAAAACAGTATTCTTCACAAAAAGAAACATTAATATAGGAAATATTTCAAGTTTGTACATTTTATAATTTCAGACATATTTGCAATATTATAAAAGAAATATTGTATTAATGAATATTTTCCTCATTTTTTTTATACAACTTAGAATGGCAAACAAGCTGACGGCCCACCTGATGGAAAGTGGTAACTGTTGCGTGAGCAGTACCATGGACATAACAGAGTACACTATTTCGCCCATGATACCCCCATGCTTTGCCATTCCTACGGACTCAGGTGTTATTCCTCCATACCCAGTAAATTCACTCCATATCCCACCCTTCAAACCTAAACACAGCCATGCTTTAGGGTTGAACAGAACAAGAATGGGACAGAGGTACCCAAGCAATCGACTTTTTTTATTTTTGTATCAGCCAACAATAATAGCCGAAATAATTAAGGCACACAAAAGGCCAATAATAACAATAATAATACTAGAGAAACACTTACAACAGTATCTGCAATACTTGATGGGTCCTTGTGTAGAATATCTACAAGTAGAAACTCATTGAGTGACACCACATTAGCCATTAATATAGACAAGCTCATTAGTGTATTGCGAAGAGTACCTGGAATATTGTAAAAGTTGTTTTTTAATGGATGAAAATTAAATGGTATCTTACCTATATTATTAGTTTATGCCGATATACAGAAGGTATATATAGGTATATATATATATATATCTAGGTAGATAAATAGATAACCTTTATTGTTTGCTTCAAAAGATTACAATAGTAAACTTATTATAGATACAAACAATTACAAGAAACAATCACATAGAGAAAACAATGGCTGGCATTATTGCTAAAAACAATATGGCTGCCCATACAATATATGTAGATATAGTAGGTGAAGATGACGTCAGGACAGCCAGTTGACCTATGATGACAATTTCACTAGGAATTTGCTACAAGCAATAGGATTGTTAGTATTCACAAATGCTTGAAATTCCATGGGACAATGACAATGTAATGAATATGTTATTATTCTAAGGTAAATGGGTGATTTTTCAATTATTGTACATTATCAGAAGAAATCAACTATTTTTTGAAAATATCCCTGGGCAAATCATATGACATATAGACCCAAACCAATAAAGCCTCTAAACAAAGTACAAATAAATTTATTGATACAATCATTATACCTGGAACAATTCTATCAATATACCTATATTCATACCTTGTCTAATGGGGCAGAGGTTGTAGTATTATGGGCATTAGACAACTAGCATACATTGAAAAGGGGGGTAGGGTGAGTAGTAGAGTAGCAAGTATCAAGAATCAATAGCTCCATTGCTAACAATACCTTATCACGTTGACTACCCCTTAAAACTATAGTTGTTAATTTTTGATAAATTTACTACAGTTGGCCAACAGACCAGTTTTCATCTTCATCTATCATCATTCACTGGTGCCCCTCCAGCATATGCTAATAGTGGAGGAGAGGTTACCTTTCTATTATCACACAAAAAAACTGACATTTAAACACTGATATATAATTTTTTTTAAAACATAATAAAACAAAACAATTATTTATGAATACAAATATTCAACAGTTACACTGACAGGTCATCATATTAATATCACATATGATGATGATATATGATAATGATGAGATAAATATATGATGAGAAATATGATAATAATCGTATATATTTACATATTTCTTTAACTTACCAACACTCTCTATGCATTCCATAGGTACTCCTAATATCTTTAAATCCACTAGAGACTTAAATGGCACAAGACTAAACTTTAAATTGTTAGGTATGATATTGCTTGTTCCATATTTCTCATAATTTCCTTCCACACTCACTGAATGAAGGTGTGAACAATAGTCCAATATGTGACTAAAGTCATACATTTGGTCCACTTTCTCTGTAGGTGGACAGGCAGCTTTTAATCGCTGAGTTATTGCATGAAGCTGAAATAAGGTATTTATTTAATCATATATATTTTATTGCACCAACAATATAATCTACATTTTTGTACTTGATAAATAAGTATCTTAAAGGAAAGCTTTTTAAAATTGGAATCTATGTATGACAGCATGGTGATAAATATAACTATTCATGATTGTAGTAATAACAGTAATAAAATACCTCCAGTGGAGTAAATTTGTGTGACTTTTCATTTTCTAAGAATTTATCACCTTCTAAATATAATGTCTTGGCTAACTCTTGCAGTAAAAAGTATATATCATACAAATGAAAATGTAAAAAATGAGCAAATTCATAAGGCATAGACAGCCTTAAATAATTGAAGATGTTCTTGAGATACACATTGAGAGCTTCGCGCCTTTGCTCTACGAATTTGGGAGTTTTGTTTCTGATAACTTTTTTGGGTGGTAGCAATTCTTTTGCCACCCCATGGTTTGACACCAGATATTCATGGAGTTCCAAAAAGTCACTGTAGCGGTGCAAAACGTTCCAGTTGACGGGACCCACTCCGACGTTGATTGTGTAGTACGTAACACCATCTTTTGTTGTAGCCTCATCTACACTCACTACACTATTGTTTCTGTGGTCTACAAACGAAGACATATTTACGATAGAACGAATGAGCAGAACTGTTGAAACTGTTTGGCGGGACTATACAAATGCAGTGTTTAATTAGGTGTTCACATTTCGCGTGACGAAATATTTGGAAGCGGTGATTTCCTCAAATTCCACGAATTAATAATAAAAAGCAGCACAAAAATTTAATGTTTGTAATTGATATGACAGATAACTGACAGCTTCGTGTCTAATGACATTGACAATTGTCTTGGCATGAAAAGGGACTCAAATTACAAATTCTTAATAGAGTATTTTAGATAAATAACTATAATTCACTATCTAGTTCACCAAGTTAGGATACTTATGAGAAAGTTGTCTGCAGGGGGCCAAAGAGTATATAACCAAAGGACACAGAGGGCATGGGTACTACCTCTGTGAATAGGTCCAGCTGGAGACCAATCCTGATTTTGTGTTTCTGTAGTCAATCAAGTTTTGTTTACATGACTGTTTCAATTTGAACAGTCGAATACGTTAGATAAATTATACAGTAATTACACAAGCACAGAGGATGAAATCATAATACTTTAATTCTCAAAAATGAGAACGAGCGCGGAGTCTCGTGGGCAGCATATTCTATAATATACACAGTGTTGCTCATAACGCAATGGTTCCTACACCTTCATAGATATATTAGAGAAATATCTGAAATATCCATGTACATAAAAGATCTTCCATGTCTTACCTACATTTCATGTATCAATAGGATTAACAGAAATTGGATGTTAAAAAAAACGCTAAGCTAATGGTTGTTAGTGTTTGCATGTGTTTCGGTTTGAAAGTTAGTTTAATATAGCAATGTTCATGTCTACAGGCGACGGTTACTACTCTTTATCAGGTAAGTCGTCAACTTATCTGCCATTTTAAGTTGCAGAAAAAAAATGCTGCTAATATTTCTATCTACGAAAAGAATTGTGCAATGAAATATTAAAAATATTACCAAATAATTTAGTAAAATTGTTATTAGACAATGTCTGTACATGTGAGATATTTAAAAAGGAAATATAAAGGGTCTTAATAAGCCTAAGAGATGCCAAAACAATAATTATAAGAAATTTTGTGTCTGTGTTTGTTTCGGCATTATGCAAAAACTTGCATCAAATTTGATGCGCTTTTCAGTTGTTTTGAAGATCTGACTTAAAGTCTATATGTACCTATATATTATTTTGATACGCGATACGAAAGTAGTCCATTTTATTGATTTTCCTACATCTGAAATACGTACGGGCATAAGGATAATCAATAAAAATAAATAATACTGTTCATTGTTTTTATTTTATACCAGTAATATAAAACAACACAAATCTGAGCTCAAATCAGGATGTGCACTTATAATTAAAACCTGCATAGACGATGAAAACAAAAATAAGTTCTTTATATCGAGTGGATCTGGAAATACAAATTGATTGTTATGCAACTGCGACACAATTTGCATGTTGCCTTGATCCTAAACATAAATTTACCAAAAAAAATTCTCATCTATGCAGGCCTTTACATAATGTATCGACGGTTATTACTTTACATAAGGCGGGCTGCAAATTTGAAGTTTAATTATCTCACACGATGTGGCCAGCATGTATGTACTTATCATTCAGGAAGTTGTTGTGCGAATGAATGACTTTCAATCGACAACTGTATCACACAGGGCCTAGATAAATGGTAAGTAAATAATTCCATTTCAAAATGTTTATGTTACACTTTGATTTTATTTATGGTTAAATAAAAAAAAAACTATTTTGTTCATTTTAAGGGGGTAGCGTAAACCTATTTTAGTATTTAAAAATGCAATTATTTATCTCTTGTTTATTTATTATTATCCGCAGTTTTGTAGATGATTTTATAAAATTATTTCCTGTTATAATTTATAATCTTGGCAAGGTTGAGGTATTGCACTCTATTGATAGGTAAATTCATGTATATTATATTAGATTAATTAAGTAATTAGATAATACCATACAGGTGATGTCTTGTAGGTAAAAAATAAAAAACTTTGCAGACAAACATACATAGCAGTTGATGTAAGACACTACAAGTCAAAGGGGTATAAGGGGTATTTCGTCGATTCTTAGTATAATGTGATTAAATAATGTTTAACTTGCCTGTAAGTTCAAACGGAACACTTTCAAGCGATTCTTGAAACGCGAAAGAAATTGGCGAGCTATTATTATTATTTAGCTTATTTTGTTGACTATATGAAATTAATCATAATTTAAATATTAAATTACGAAATTAAAAAAAATACCTCAAGACTTTTGTGAAGTAACCATTATAACCCTTTACCGTAAAGATGTTAAGATTTTGGCAGAAGGACATTTGAAAATAATGTCCAATACTAAAATTATTTACAGGGAATTTGATGCTGTTTGAACGTAGTCACGTAGCAGTAGTGATGTTAAGGTATATTTTTAATTCAATGGATGGTTTCTGAACATATTTATTGATATTCAGGAGGAATAAAATAATGTAAATATTAATTCGCATTAATTACATACATTTATTTTTTCCTAGGACGGAAAATTTGTGTTACATATAAAAGGACGCCAAAAGTCTTTCAACTCCGATTTTAGCTATAGTTTTTTTTTTACATATTGACTGAAAATATAAAATTTTATGTTTTGTTTTTTATTTATACTTTTTATTACATGAAAATCTTACAAACGGCCATAACTAAAAGGACATTATAAAACAACAAAATACATAGGAAAACACAATTAATCGTTTTACGAAAATAACAACAAAACTATCTGGGTCAATGAAATAAAATTTCTCAAAACACATACAAGATATAAATTGATTTAAAGTAAATTGTGATAAAAATATTAATACATTCATTAATTAAATTAACATTATTTATAATTTTATAATAATTCCACATATAATACAGACAAATATATTCTTATTTTGTTTTCAACAAAGCTATTTGGGCTTGCCTAGACGAAGGACGAGTAGCAATTCATGAAAATGTTATAAAACTTATTTGAAAGTGTTACTGATTATTATAAATTCATTATAAACTCAGTAATCATGTTAATGAGTAATTAGTTTATAATGCGCCCCATCTTTAGTGCAGCACTTTGTCTCTGGTTCTAATTTTTTTTTAAATCAACGGAAGTAACATGCCGGACAGAACTTCGCTAATATAACTTCGCGTTTCGTTTACAATACATGTTTTAAAAGAAACCGTTAATGACACTCGTCTGCGCAGGTCCATAGAATGTCGAAAAAATCATAATAATTTATATTGTAAGAAATAAAAATCAATTTCACTAAACCACGACGTATACTGTTAAACACACGATATTAAAATTTTAAACTAAGTTAAATATTGTAAAAACACGTAAAAAATTTATATACAATAAATAATTATCCAGTGAATAGGGTATTCTTTTTGAACATCATAAAATCACAGTTCAAAATTACGTTCATGGCAATATCGTTAAAAATAATAATTGCATTTAGGTTATATTTACAAGTAAGGTACTTAGAATTAAGTAAGTGATGCTTAAAAAATCCTGTTAAGTATATTTTACCAAAAATATTCATTAATTCCTTCGCAAAGTACGTAGGTAATAAGGCTTTTTTTTTAATTTACATGGTAATATGAAAAAAGTAGTTTTCCAGTACTTGGTAGTTTTAAGTATAAAATCTACTCAAGTTGATGTAAATAGATCTGTTTCTACTACTATGACCAATCTCAAGATTTCTTTATAGAACATTATTGTAAAATATACTTAACTACAATCAAATTAATGGTCTTATTTTTACATTAAAAATTAATTATATTAATAAAAATATTGTTTACTTATAAACATTGACATTTCGTTGATTTTTAAAAAGTACATGAGCAAAAATTCAGATAAATTCTGGTAAGAAATTGCAATAACTATTCTTACAAAGTTAACAACTATTGCACCAAGTAACATGCTGTGTCTAATTGCAAATTATTTTAAATTTATTAAATTTTTGTGTTTAAATAGGCATTTTAGTATGCCTAAACTGCTCAAAGATATATTACCTGTACAAAATCAAGTTATCGGTTCAATGTAAGGGCATAATTAACGCAATAATTAGACAAGTGAGGCCTATAAAATCAAAGGCAGCTAAACGTTATAAAATCGTAAAAAAAAAAAAAAAAAAAAACTGTGACGCCATCTAGTTTAATTATTTAAACACGAATTGGTGTATTCAGTTTACTAATAAATGCAGCAAAATCTCTAGCAAATTCCGTTCAAAAACTGAAATTTGGTATCAAATACTAGTTGTATTTGATACCAAATTTCAGTACCTAGTAATAGTCATTTCATACCAACTACTAAGAATCAAATATAGCTAGCTAAGAGTTAAGCCCGCTAATTAGAGATTTGGATCTTGGATTTAGCTGTCTTTGATTTTATAGGCTTGTGAAATTGCACGAATCTTAACTAGGCACGAGTATTCTGAAATCACAGACACACTAAAATTTATTGTTATAGATAAAAGGATAGAGGCCTTTGGCACTCGATTGTCGATAAAACTGGTATTCTATGGTGAAATGGACCTAACACTTTTAAGGAAGGATAAGGGCGTAAAATATTCTTGTAAAAACTCCTTTTTTTACTTATAGCAAAATTAGTAAAACAATGTTTATAAGTAAATTATAAACTTAACTGGCATTAGACATCGTATTTTGACTTCAATGCACATTATCACAATGAAACCATTTGACTTTTGTCCTATATTACAGCTGACACTAGGACATCATGACATATGGTAATTTAAAAAAGATACATTATTATTTATTATAATGTAAAACCTCTATTCAATAAACTTATTTCGACAACGGTGTTCTCGTCTTACAGTATTTTTAGAAACAAATGTAAATTTTGTTGACAACTGGCAAAATTACTGAAAATTTCATTTTGATTTAATTTAATTTAAAATAATAACTATTACAACGCTTGAATCCTTAGTATGATGTGCGATATATTTTTAATTGGTTTCACTAAGTGGCTGTATCTTTTGTCACTTTTTTTTTTATAAATTAACAACTTATCTTGAAAGGAAGAGATGAAATATTTCAATTTTTTTTTTTATCATACATAATAGGGGTTTCGTATTACAGAAAGTCAGTCTGACGGTGATGCCTAACACGTCTTAAAATATTATTTAATTGAATATAAAATATTGTTCTCTATATAAAATTAATATGAATCTACATTTAATCTTAAAATTCGCTACCATATTTACAATATTACCTTGTTCTCTAAATTTTAAAAGGCAAACTCATAAGATTAAAACAACTTATTATTTACGAAGGCGGTGTTTGTCTGTGGACGTTTTATTCGCTGTAATCAATCACTTGTCTCGACTGAATTACAGAATTAGATCATATACCTCAATATCGGAGTATCAAAAAAACAAGTCAAAATTTGGGTAGACCAAAAATAACGTCATGCTGGTACATTTTTTAAAACACAAAAAGCGCGCCATTTTTCGGTGTTGCTATTAGATTTAAATTTTTCACATTCGAGTGAACGTTTTTAAATTTGTATTAGGAACTATTTTTATCTATGTCACATGAATGTACGTATTGCCTATATGTTAATAAAATGGCGGTCATTGTCAATGATACTGACAAGGATTACATATTTTAAGACTATTGTAAGATTTTTTTATTTCTCCCACTTTCTGAGTAATAATTACATGTTATGGTATCCTTTTATATATACTTATAAATAAAAACGTTTACATTTACATTGCACGTGAGGTATATGACCTAACAGGATACTTAAAATAATTGAATTTGATGATTGAATTCTGTTGAACACGCCAAAACATATCGAATTCATATTCGCACAGAAATATTTATATTATTATTTACATTAATAACAAAAATGTTCAAAATTTTCAGCAATCGCTTTATTACTGTACAGTATAGGATACCAGCTATGTTTCCATTCAAACATAGGTGGTGTATTCTAGAAAATTCTAAATTTAACACACTCTTAATAAAAAATCAACTCAACTTTAAATTAGTAAAGAGTTTTAGTGATGTATACATTTAAAAATGTTTAACTATTTACTTAAGAACTTTTAAGATAGAGTAAGCCTTAGAAAAATAGAAGACTTGTTCTTAATAATGTCATAAAATATGTTCATTTCTAAGACTGGAACTCTGTCTACTAATTTTGAGTGAACGTTTTATTCAAAGTGCGATAAGACGGACTATCGATATCGTTTTGTATTTAGTTACAATGTTCAGACAGCCTTAATTTAGGATGATAATGTTTAGACGAGAGTGTCCCCGGCTTTTGAAGGTGTAGCGCTATTTTTGAACCCGCCAGCGGCGATGGCCCTCAGTCATAAACCTACTGTTCTAATATAAGTATCGTCCTCATAGTTTTGTGCTGAGAGTCTTAAAGCGTGTTCCTCTGAGAGCGCGGCTAGTTCCTTTACCCACTCGTCTAGTATCACCGCATTGAGTACGGACCGGAGGGTGATGGATTGGTTCCAGTACTCTTCTTGGGTGAATACGAGTCGTTTCTGAGGACTGGCGTGATAAGACGCGTTGTGTAGACTATGAGGTCCGTGTGGTGATGAGGCTGGCGATATAATTAAATGTCAAAAGTTTGTTTAAGAAGTAGCTACTAATATTTATGTACTCTAATATATTATGTACTAATATTATTATTATTATTATATATATACGAAATATAGTTAGTACTCACTTGAGGATCGCCTAGTGAACATGTTTGAGAGGCTGCTGGAGATACTTCTCCGTTTGGACTCCATTCGCTTGAACGGAGACTCCTCCTGCTTCTGTGACGTGGACTCGGTACGTGTGTGATCTGTATCATTATATTATGATGTTAGATTACCAGCTATATATATATATATATATCTATATCTGGTAATCTAACATCTGTGTTTTTGAAGAGGTTTGAAGAGTGGGAAATGGTTTAAATTCTTTTTATTCTGTGCATATTCTACTCGTTTCCATTCAGGGTTTTCTGAAAGAGAACTCTTAAAGAGTTAAATTCGCCTATTGTACATAGTTCATTATTTGTAAAGAAAGGAGAGAGAGAGAAAGAAAGGAGAAAGAGACTGTAATTTATTTCCATCATACAAAAGTACAACATTGAAGTAAGTCAACAGAATCAATAGATATACATATTAATGGAACAAAGAAGTAGAGTGGACTTGTTATGGATATAAAAAAATATATATAACAAATTCATCTTTCTGAAGTAGATTAATAAAACATTAATTAAATAACTTACTATCGTCACTCGGTGGTCCCCGCGACTTTACCAACGCCATCTCCCGTTGTATGAGGAACACCCGCGCTTTATCTACTAATTCAGCAGTGTTGTCTAATTCACTGGTCAGTTCATCTACTTCCTCTTTTAATTTGCTTAAAATCTGTAATAGAAACATTTCATTATACATATGTATCAGATTGCAATCTTAAAAGGAGAGTAATATTTATCGAATTTCTGGCTCAACATAGTATAAACAGCTTAATGGATATTTTTAAACTGCTGAATCTGTTTCAAGCGGCGATTATACTATAGACGTTATAGTGAACTCTCGTGTGACCGGTCCGCGTGGCGTACTCGCGAAACGGTAGTATGCGAGTACTAAATTTAACATCCTACCGTGACCTGTGGAATCAACTGTGTAAGACCAACGCCACAAGCGTACGAAAACTACCTACTAAGAAGCGCCATTGACCGCGCGGTATAGGTATTCCATGTCGCATGGAGCACAGTACGTCGTAAAATTTTTAATACATTGCGCGACGTCAAAATTAAGAATCGTTAATTATATAACTACGGTGCATCAAACCATTCGTCTGAATTAGCTGTTTTAGTTTTGGCCAATCTGTCCCTTCCACCCTGTAAAGATTTGTTTGTAATGGGTGAGCTCAAAAAATTTTGTACCGATTTTAAAAAAAATTCACCTATTATAAATTACATTATTAGTGAATAATGGTTATATACCATTAAAAAAATAGAGATCCTTATAAATCTTACAATAATGGAACCCAAAGTATCAAAATATGCCTATTAAAGCTTAAAACTTATTTTACAGTCGGGTTTTCTATTTATGTTATGTTTCCATGATGGTAACAAAGTGTCTCACCTGAAACAGAGAAGGCACATTTGGCTGGAGCACGAACCCTGGACATAGGAGTAGTGACGTCAGCAACGGTGTTGGCAACGACGCCAGTTTGGAGAGCACGCTTGTCACCCGACAGTTGGTAGTGATGTCCGACTCGAGGAAACACGCTGCCTTCTTTAGGAGATAGCTTAGAAGTGGGCCTGAAATTCATTGAACGAATCACTTTTTATCCCGGTCAGTAAATATATCCCGATTACGCGAACGAAGTCGCGTGTAAATGTAAGTTATAATATACACTAAATGACTTTGTAGAAAAGTTGTTTGATTGGATACCTATTTACTTGTGTTTATACTTGTGATTGAAGGGTATATAAGGGAATATGGCAGTGAAATTACAGTGGAAGGAAACATAGCATCTAAGTCCTCAGAAATGATAAAGCATGAGAATTTCCAAGGGCATTTTTGATGTCTATAGTACTGTAGATGTCTATAGGCGACGGTTGTTTTTTTCCATCAGGTAGGCCGTTTAGCTGGTTTGCAATCTTAAGTTGTATAAAAGAACTATACAAATAGAGACCATACAAACAAAAAAAGTATTTGTTACAAATTACAGAATATTTTTGTAGGTTGTCTGGAAGATATTGACCGCCTTTTGCATTTTAATTCTGTAACACTAACTTTTGTAACATTTTTTAATTGGTGTGATAAAATAGAAATAAATAAATAAAAAAAGGAACTTTATAGAAATAGAATAAATAAATATTTTATAATTACAATTATTTATTCCTTTCTTTTACACTTTATTGCACCACTTAAAAAAAAATAGTAAATATTTATTTATTTACTTATTCATTAGTACAAATATGTGTACATGGCGGACTTAATGCTAAAAGCAAGTAAATATTAATGACTAATGACACAAAAGGCGGCCTTGGCGCTAAGCAATCTCTTCCAGACAACCTTTGGATAGAGGATATTGAAAAAAAGACAATTATCTTACCGATTATGGATTCGGCGCTTGTCTTCCAACTCTTAAGAGAAGGCACTTCACTCTCATAGGTAACACTGTTCTCGCTTTTAGAGAAAATCTTTTTAAACGACTCTTCGGCAAATTCCTCATTATCTTCACTCTCTTCGAGCCTATAATGAAAGCTTTCGTAATCACTACTCTCTCCTATCGAAGTCAAACTATCGTGATCTTTCTCCTCGGTAACTTGTTCAGTACTTTTTTCTTCTATTATTTCCACTAATGAGGTCAGACTGTGTTGTTCCTTTTCCGACGTATCGCTAGTCTTGAGCGTGTCATAACCGCTAGTACACGATATAAGGCTGTCCTGCTCTTTCGCAACGTGCGTATCAGGCTCTCTGATTTCTTTTGAGTTGTTATTCGTTTCTCTTTTAGGTGACGTCGGCGCTTCGTATTTGGACGTCCAATCGGAACAGGCTATTGTTCGAGATACAATTTCGAATCGTGCGTCGCATAAGTAGGCGTGGTAGTTGCCGAATAGTGTTTCGTTTGGATTCTGAAATGAGGTATATTTAATTTTCAAGGTGGCATACAAAAAATAGCTGACCTGATAAATGTTCCTGCGTCCTTTTTAGGTCATTTATTGGTATAAAATCCTACCCACAAGTTGTAGCAAAATATACACATTTACAAAATATCATTAGAATCGATTGAGCAATTTCGTACATTAGCGTGAACAAATATCATAACGCGGAATTTTATATACAATATATGTGTTACACAATCACACCAACTGATATGAAAGTTAAAAGATCCTGTGGTTGAAGACATTAGTCCACTAGTGCAATGGATGATAGGCGTTTAGATGTACACAGTAAATCACTGTCGTTCTTCTAGTAGCCTGTTCTATTAACAAGAATTTAAGAGCTTCTATTAAATATAGATAGATGAACGCGCTGTGTTAGTTCGGAAGATAAGGAGACAAGCTTTAGTTGAAACAGGACTAATGTGTGTTTCGGGAAATTGTTCAATTTTACTATTAAAACACTCTCTTAGATAGATGCTAATGATTTCGATTTCTATATGAAGGTAACTGTAGAAAAAATATCTTACCCCATAATTAAATTTAACTTCCTGGACTAGATTGTTCAACACTATATCTTCATTGAAACCGTTGATTCTTCTTGTTTCATCTTCTCTTTTGAAGTCCAAAACCCGCCTCCCACTGACTGCCAGCTCGTCTACCCATTCCCTGGTCTTCTCCAATGGTCTTGAACAGCATCTTGGGGTTAAACTTAGGAAGGCCATGGCGGCTTCTCTGTAAGGTTCTGGGTCGGCGATCTTGTGCCGGTGTGTGGCCATTAAGTGATGACCACTGAGGAGGTATTTGAAGACCAGCTCGATCATGACGTCTTCGCAGTTCAGATCGATTAGTGTCTCCATCAAGGAGAGAGACACGAGGGACAACTGTAAACGAAACGTTAGGGTTCTAATTTAGTTTCATTTACTATAGTATGGGATTTCTTTTATGTCTCCACACAAATGGGATGGGTTTTATAATTATCATAATAATACATTAACATCCCATTATAGGGAACATATTAATCTACAATCACTGCTCTAGTCAGGTGGTTAGGTATTGTTTTTATCGAGTTTTTATCTGCACTGTGGTAGTATGATTTATTCCCTGCTCACTGCTTACAACATTCTGGGGTTGGAGATGAAATTAAATGGCAATACATTGTATTCTTTGTCTGTGGCTGAATTAAATATTTTTTATTTATAATAAAATAAATAGTAGAAACAAGTAGTAGTTCTGCATAAAAGGTTTTTTTGATTATTTCTTACTTTTCTGCTTTCTAATCATTATAAATGACAAGTGTTTATTCTTCCACATACCAATGAAGGACGAGGTTTCTTTAAACAAATTTTTTTTTGGCAAAACAACTTCAATTGTCACAGAATTAATATAAAAATAGCATAGGCAACATACCTACAAAAGAATATAGACAAATTGGAAACTTATTCCTGGCCCCGGCCTTAAAAAGTGTAGCACACGTCGGTACCTGTTCGGTGCCGTCGAGCCGCGCCAGCAGTACGTCGGCGACAGGCCGGCCGTCGTAGCGGTACGCGAACACGAAGTGCAGCGCGGGCCGCAGCAGGCCGCGGCGGCCCACGCAGCGCAGCAGCAGCTCTAGATGCGCCGCGCCGGCCGCTTGTTCGCCCGCGCCGCTCTGCAACCCCGGCTTGCTCTATGCGGGCGTGCACATTAGTGGCCGACCACGTCACGGGGTTGTGGCATTATGGATTTTATTTGGCAGAGACGGTAAGGTTGAATTTCGGATGGGTGAACGGTTGGTTTGTGGAGTTTTTTTTTTTGTCTTGCTAAGTTGTGTGTTTGTGGCGAATGTTTCCTTTGAGTGATTTGTAATATTTCTAACTAAATACGATCGATTTTGATCATTTGTTCTGCAAATTCAATAATTATTGAAAGAGATCTCTTTTAGAAATACAATGTACGTTTACACCAAATTTTATGACGATTAGTTAACCATTAAAGAGTCAAGAGGTAACAAACAAAACTCACTTTCATATTTATAATATTTGTAGTAATTAGTTTCTACGGAAGAAATATAATTAATACCACAAAATTTAACAAAAGATTACAGCGTTGCGAATCTTAGCATGTCCATGTATGTATGTATAAGTGTATATGATTAGTGTGGAAAATACTGAGTTAACAAAAAACATGTTAAGCCATAAAAACTGCCAAGCTCTGCAAGCCAATTGCAACCATGATACCACAACATAGAGCATGAAATCACTCACTGTCATAACCGTTGACCTCGCTCGTGATCCATACCAATGTGCTTGTCCAATCCCGTGCGTGCATCAAAGCCCAATAACGTTTTCTTTTTCAAACGCGTTCCGTTTCACGCATCAACAGGTGAACAATGTTTCTTATCTGTTACTAAAACTTTTCTGCATCGAAATTTTTTCGAAATTTGATGAATGAACGGAACGTAATATTGCATAATAAACATATATTTGATCTATTTTAAATTGATAGTTTAATTGATAAATATAATATAATAACACATTAGCAACAAATATACTGAGTGAAGTCGACATCATTAGAATCCTTTTTTTTTTATATCACTGAGGTGGTAAACGAGCATACGGTCCACCTGATAGCAAGCGGTTACCGTAGGCTATGAACACCTGCAAACCAGAAGCATTACGCGAGCGTTGCCAACGCTGAAGAGACCTCTTTACCTCTTTTTTGAAGAACCTTATTTTGCAATTGATGGTAGTGTTTCTCAAACCAGTGAAAATTATCATTTTTCCCGATTTAATTTGTTTGAAAAAGAACAAAAATTATCACGATTTCACTTGTACAATAATCATTACTATTTTTTACGAATTTGGAGTACAAAATACAAATTTTTGGAATTTGATATATAAAGCTGTATATTTGTTGCTAAATACAGGTTTAAATTTTTATCTATGTAATATTTCAATGGAATACCAGATAATATATAAAGTCATATTTCGTGATATAATTTTTTAATTTGATTTTTAATAAAAATATATAAATAATAATAATATATGTAAAATGTTATGTAGACAGAGAGTCAAAATAATATCAAAATAGTACATAATAATTTAATTGTATATTTTTAGTGACAAGTATACGATGTTCTATGTTTAGTAGTACATTGTATATAATATAATATATAATAATCTCAACAAATCAGTTTATATATTTCGTTATGTAATTACTATTAAAAAACTCGTGCTATATAATATAAAAAATCGGTGCAATATTATTAATAATAATGATTTACACAACATGTTATCTCTTCACCTGCCAGTACTGCAAGAAATATATTAGTAAGTTAATATATTGTAATATATAAAATTAGTCGTGTACAGTTGTTCACATTTAATGGGTCAATCTGTGGTGAACTGTACTAACATATTAAGTTTTATACACAAAAACTACAGGAAAACATATTAAATAAATAGACGTAATTAGAATATATATGTTTATGTCGTTTAAAATTTCAGAGAGATATATTCAAAAAATTTTTGTTATTCTTTAATTTATTTTAGACCAAAGTTGATGAAATTTTATGATTATTCTGTTTTTTTTTATGTGGTCTTCTTTATGTTATTTCTTTATGCACTATCCGCTGTCTTTAAATAAATAAATAAATATAAACAGATTTTAAAAAACAATAACTATTTTTTTTTATCTAATTAGAATTCAAATATAATGAACGAATATGAACTTCATGTATGAATTAACACAACTTAAAATTACATGATTCCTATATAATTATGATAATTGTGAAATGAGCAAATAACAAAATGTATGTCAACAGAACGTTCCCCATTTTAGGGATGAAAGTACATTAAATATTGACTGAGGAAATACCAATTTCATTCAATATTTTTTTCATCGTGCTAACAAGTAAAAGAGCCAGACTAGCTGATCAAAATTAAGCAGATGCATTATAAACAAACACCCAGACAAGACTTTTTAGAATTTAAATGACAACTAGAGTATTAAAATGTGGACTTTTTTCAGTGTGATTAACAGAAAATCCTAGTAGAATTTCAGTGAACCACACTTATTAAACTTTTAATTAAAATTAAGTTTGAATATTTAATTAATTATTTGGTAATTAATTTTATTCCCATTTGATTAAAAAAGAAAAATATCAAACGTCAATATTTACAGTACTTTCCTTTAACACCCTGTAAGCCTGGGACGTCTGTATTATGAATTTTTTTTTCATATATCCATATGATACCAATGTCACCTTATCCCAGTCACACTCCCCATTGACAACTTCACTCATCCCGCAACCATAGAGAAAAGTTTCAAGTTACCTGCAGCAACGCTGGACCTAGCACCGGCACCAAGAAACCTTGGTACAGAAGGTCGAGGAGGTGTTTTTTGATGGACGGATGTGCCACCTGGAACAGATTATGAGTTATTTATTTAGTGATTATTGAGGTAAATTATTATAGCCATAGACAATAAAGTACGCGCAGTTGACGCTTTTGTGTGTCATAAAATTAAACATGTGAAAGTATATAGTACAATTGTTAATAAGATATTGAGAATTTGGTAGTGCTAAAGTTTGTGGTATTTTTTATGGGTAAAAATGGAATGGTAACCCCGTCTGCGCTAACGGGATACGCTGGCGGAGCGCCAGTGAAGGGTGATTGATGAGAATGAAAACAGGCCAGTTAGCCCATCATGATGAATTCATCAGGAATTAACCATGATAGTTTCCAGGGGAACCGCGAGGAGGTCGACCTGGTTGGGTATATCTTATTTAAGGTAAACTATACTAATCAAAATAGCTTTAGAAAAAAACCTAATACAATTACACAATTATATAATACATCAGCCAATGAACTTTGCGATGAAGTAAATATAGAAAAAGTAACGCTATAATTGAAAATTAAAACATCAAAGCAAACACACCAAATTCTGAAAAACCAAGTCTATGGAAATAGTTAACTTTTTGACAGATAAAATAAAAACTATTCACGGTATTATCCTTAAAGCCAAGTAATTCTATGGTTCTTGTGACAATTTGTTTAGACTGATTATTTTGTTTAATTTCGCTACCATTAGTATGTGTGTGACTGCCAACACTAGTATCAAAAGTTCTATAATCTTAGCTGTCAATCTGCGACAAATAAATTACGACTAATACGCCCTCTGGTGTCAATTTATCATTGATAGTACTAGTACTAATTACTTATGGTTTACTAGTTGTGCTAGATATACAATTGTATGTGACCTGTGCGACGGCGTTGCAGAACTCGAGCGAGTCAATGAAGAGCGTGAGCTTGTGCACTTGGTTGACGTCGTCGGGCGTGAGCCGGTACACGCGCTCGCCCAGCGTGCGAGGCAGCAGCGAGTACAATCCGCTCAGACCTGGGAACGAACGTACATTTTTTTTTATTTTTATTTTTTACAGCACAGGGGGCAAACCAGCATGCGGCTCACCTGATGGTAAGTGACTACCGCTGCCCATGAAAATTATACTACAAAGTTGGCAAACTAGCGTACAGCCCGTCTGATGGTAAACGGTCATTGTAGCCTATAGACGCCTGGAACATTAGTTGTCACGCGTTGCCGACCCTGAACAAACTTTAATATATATTTTTTGTAGAACCCCATACTGTAGGCTTTAGGGAAAACCTCGACAGGGAGCTTATTCCAGAGCCTGAGCGTAATATTATCATAGATATAAACGTTTTATTTTCTAAAAACAAGTATCCCATGTCGAATCGTGATATTAAATAGCCTTATTGAGGAATTAGCTATCAAGTGCAAAAATAATTGTATTGTATTATAGTCTTTATTGTACATACTTTACATTGGACACATTAAAAAGATTTAAAACACAATGGCGGATTTATCCCATAGAAGTTCCTCTTACAGTCAACTTTTAAGAAGCAGAAATAAACTATAAACCCGACTAGTAGTTTCAGAGATTAGTGCATTCAAACAAAAGTAAAACAAGTTGGTTTTGTTATATTATTATAGATGTTGGATGAGATGTAATCGTTTTACATTTTTTTTCATACAACTTAGAATGGTAAACAAGCTGACGGCCCACCTGATGGAAAGTGGTAACCGTCGCCTACAGACATGAGCAGTACCATGGACATAACAGAGTATACTGTTTTGCCCATGATACCCCCATGCGTTGCCATTTGTGAGGACTCAAGTGTTATTCCTCTGTACCCTGTAAATTAACGCCATATCCCACCCGTCGAACCGAAACACAGCCATGCAAATATAACTGCTTCATGGTAGAAACACGAATGGGATAGAGCTACCCAAGTAAACGACTTTTTTACAATCTCCCTCTGGTAAAATTTTAGAATGTTTAAAATTTATTTAGAATGTCTGGATTATTATGTTTCCTATATGTATATATATACTATGTTGCCGTGTGCCACCTCTTTCTTTCCCGTGGGTGTTGTAAGAGGCAACTAAAGGAATTTAATTAGTCGAGGGATAGGCTGCAATCTTTTTTAAAACATCACCAAAGCCAACTGCGGTTGGCAAACCGCCCGCCAAGTGTGGCAATAACTAGCAACCCCCCAAGGGGGTGGTCTATCTTCAGCAGTGAATAGTTAAAGGCTGATATGATGATGTGTATACCACTCACCAGTAGCGAGTACAGGACACGTGTTCCCGGCGAGCATGTACTCGGCGAGCTGTGTACACCGGGCGGACATGTTCGCGCACAGCAGCAGAGCGTCGCGCGCCGCCGAACCCGTGCTGCCTTCCCGGTGTACCGACGTCAGTAGTAAGCGTACTATGATGAACCTATATGTATATATATAACAATAATACATAATTTAATTGTTAGTAATGGGGGTTTGCAACTCCATTTCCAATAATATGCCATACAAGGTTGACTTGTTCGGTTCTTGGTTCGGACTAAATCGGTTGAGTTTTTGAGTTAATTCATTACAAACATACAAAAAAATATTTCTTCTTCGTAATATTAGTATTCAAAATAGATACATTCTATTTTTTTGTTGGATGAAAATGGATTGGTAACCCCGCCTGCGTTAACGGGATACGCTGGCGGGGTCGACCTGGTTAGGTATATTGCTGGCAATGGGATTTTTAGTCTTCATTACTAACAATCCCTATCCCCCCGGTACGTTCTATTTGGTCATAGAACGAATTTGCATCAATCGTGACAGAACTATACACTAATATGAAACCAACAGAAATATATTTTTTATTAATATATCAAAGTGGGGTTATTGCCCTAATTTATCACGAACTTCTAGGCCCTACAATACTTTTAGTACTTATATGTTACATAGGTAAATAATAAACTTACTCAGCCTGTGATCCGTTCTGCGTGTGAGTTGTCAGAAAGAAAAGGTCAATGAACTTCATATTCTGCATCAGCGCCACGCACAGCTGATTCAGTACAGTCACCAACTGACCTAGAAACAATGCAAATGCAATACTCGCCTAATTATAAACATACAACAACTAATAAAGGGTCTAAACAGTAATTGTCACTGTTTTAACAATAACTGTCAGACGGTTTCTCTTTAAAAAAAAAAAAAGAAAATGAGTTAAATAAAACTATTTTTTTGTCGTTTCTGACCTACATTTTTTGGGATAAATGTTTAGAAAAACACTCCCTGGCGCCTATTGAAGTCGTAAATTTCTAGGCCGGTTTTGTTATGTACGAAGACGCAGCGTATGGGTAGTATGGGGGAGGCATATGTTCAGCTGTGGAAAGTTAACGGCTGATATAATAACAATAATAATTATCCAGAGGGAGACTTTGTACAAAAGTCGTTTGCTTGAGCACCTCTGACCCATTCGTGTTTCAACCGTGAAGCAGCTTTGTATGGCTGTGTTTCGGTTTGAAGGGTGGGATATGGCAGTGAATTTACAGGATACAAAGGAATAACACCCGAGTTCTCAGGAATGGTAACGCATGGGAGGGTATCATGGGCGAAACAGTTAACTCTGTTATGTCCAGGGTACCTACTACTCATGTTTGGCCGTCTGCTTGTTTGCCATTCTAAGTTGCATAAAAAAAACCATTTCGGTGCATTAAATTTTGTCACTGAATTTGGTAATTACAATAATAAAAAAAATATGTTTGTCAGTCAGACTTCGACAAAGAGTTTAACGATTATCATTCAGCTAAATCTACTAGTAAATATATATATATATATATTTACTAGTAGATATATAGATTGTCAAACGACTGTTGAAGTCAAGGTAATGTATGTGATATAACGTATGTGTAGGTCGCCTGTAATCGTACGCTAGACCACGTATTAACATTCACGTATTGAAATGTAATCAATGTTACTTGAATTACAATTATATAAATACACTGATAGAAATACAAAACATAGATTGCAGTTTTTTTATTGAATGAAAATGGAATGGTAACCCCGCCTACGCTATCGGTATACACTGGCAGGGGACTAGTGAGGGATGATTGGTGAGGATGAAAAGGCAGGACAGAGTTAGCCCATTACGACAAATTCAACGATAAATTACCAAGGGGCACCGCGTGGAGGTCGACCTGATAGGGTATACAGAAAGCAACGGGAATTAATTTACTCATTAATTATTATTATTCCGATCATTCTCCATCGCTTCCCCCATAGATTGCAGTTTGTAATATCCCATTTTAGAATACGGGCATATCTCTGTATGATAATAACTACTGGCAACTGGGGGGAAAGGGATTGTTAGTAATGGAGACTAAGACTCCCATTGCTAGCAATATACTCAACCAGGTCGACCTCCTCGCGGTTCTCCCTGGAAACTATCATGGTTAATTCCTGATGAATTCATCATGATGGGCTAACTGGCCTGTTTTTATTTTCATCTATCACCCTTCACTGGTGCTCCGCCAGCGTATCCCGTTAGCGCAGGCGGAGTTACCATACCATTCTCACCCATCAAAAAAAAAAAACTACTGGCAACTTTTCAACGGATTTCAATAAAGATTGGGTCTCACAAAAAACCAGTTTCAATTCTGACAAAATCAGATATTTTGATTTATAAACATAAATTACTGAATTCGATTTTGATAAAATTTCTTTGGGAACAATCTTTAGGTATATCTTTACAGATAAAAACTAATTCCAAATCGGTTTAAAATAGACGGAGTTATGACAAAAAAAAAAGTAAAATACCTTATTATATTAACGGCGAATGTTTCCTAAATACTAGATTGAAAATATTTGAATTTAGAATGCGGAATCATGTGTTTCAATTTAAATTAGCAAGATTCGCTCCAAAAGGCGAAACAGCAGCTTCAATTGTTATAAAATATTAGGCCAACATACCATATGGATTGTAAAAGACTTATCAAAATTGGCACATAAAAAGAGAAAACACTATAAACTTACTTTCTACATTAGGTGGTGGCAATTCATTTCTGAAGCCGCTGAGGAGTTTCAATAGAGGCCTCAAAAAGGGTTCCGCAGCGATCACCTGCAATGATATTAAAAAGAGATGTGTTTATTTTGACCTCGACGGTGTAGCGGTTCAATATGCTGTATCACTTTCTGATTGTTGTGGGTTCGATCCCCGCACAATACAAACAAATAAATTATGATTACTTCTGTATATATTCGTATGAGTATTCAATATTATCATCATTTCAGTCATTATCCATCCACTGCCTCCCTGCAATGTATTTGAGGTTGTCACTGTCTCGTCGTCCTACACTGCGTTTACCTGTATGGGGTCGTGATTAAAAATCTTTCTTTTTAATATAATATAATAATAGAAATAATAATTAATATTTATTTACATCCACATAGAACGTTTACATGTTATGGGCCCAGAGAAAAAATGTCTCCATAGAGCAAGACAATGCAAGTCAATTACTTTTAAAAGAGTACCTGTGAACTGTAATGAGTGATGAGAATTCCGAATAGTTTGAGTTGTTCCAGTCGCACTGCATTTTCGTATCTGTAAACAAAATTAATAATTAAAAATAATGATTACATAGATCGAAGTTTAGCTTCTTTCCATTCATCATCATTATCATATCAGCCGTTAAGCGTCCACTGCTGAACATAGTCCTCCCTCATAAGGGGGATTTAGCCAATAGTTGCCACGCTTGGCAGTCGGGCTTTGGTGATGTTTTAAGTGAGACGGTGTTGTCCATCCCTCAACCATTTAGTTCCCTTAGTTGTCTCTTACGACACCCACGGGAAAGGAAGGGGTGGCCCATATGCTAGATCCCTTAACCGTTTATCCATTAGTCTTAACTAACATTATAAAGATAAAAATATTTGATTTTTTTGTTTGTAATGGAAAAACTCAATAATATGATCTATTATGGTTTAACACTGAGATCGATTCTCAGGCGTCATTTCTCTGAACTTATCTCTTATTCTGATATTTTAATTTGATAGTTTCACAAAATTATTGTTTAACGGACCGTCATAAACTAAATTGACAATAATTTTGTTTTAAACTTATTAGAAAATTAGTTTGTATTGGTCCTAAGAATAAAGGTTTCGCTGTGATATTAAATTTAAATTTTTTAGAGTTAAATTTCGAATCGACAGTGTATAACATGGGCTATATTTTTTTTTTATACAACTTAGAATGGCAAACAAGCTGACGGCCCGCCTGATGGAAAGTGGTAACCGTCGCCTATATACATGAGCAGTACCATGGACATAACACAATATACTGTTTCGCCCATGATACCCCCCATGCGTTGCCATTCCTGAGGACTCAGGTGTTATTCCTTCGTACCCAGTAAATTCACGCCATATCCCACCCTTCAAACCGAAACACAGCCATGCAAACACAACTGCTTCACGGCTGAAACACGAATGGGACAGAGGTACCCAAGCAATCGACTTTTGTACAAAAGACTTTTGTATTTAGAAAAAGTGTGAAGCTGTGGCGGGTTGCTATCATCATATATACATTTAAAGCTTATATTTTGATAAAAACATGATTTACTATTGGTTTCTTAGTTGTAGATCTTACATGTCGAGCATTTCGAACTTTGGATAGTCTGTCTTATGACAGACTAATTTCAAATTCAAGAACTTTTACCACCTTATTCACAAAAAACGTCAAACCTGTGATAAACCTATTTCAGCTATTGAACTATTTTGTCTCTTTCCTTTGTACTAAATTCTCAGTTTTAATGAAAGTGATAAAACAGTGAAATAGTTAAAATAGGTCTGTAAGAGATTTTTATGAATAAGGGAATAAGCCTGTAGTTCGCAGTAATAGATTAGGCGACGTATACTTTGTTATGGTCATAGTAATGTTCATATCTATATGCGATGGTTACCATTTTCCATCAGGTAGGCCATCAAGTTGTTTGCCATTCTAAGTTGTATAAAAAAATATTAGACCACGGGATTTCAAATTGAATATCGAATTTAGTACTCAACTAATATAGTTTAAAATGCAATAGCAATTAATTAAAAAATATTTGCTATCAGAATTCCGGTGAAGTTTGATTATTACTGAAAGGTTGATAAGGCCGTTATAATTAGGTTTTGCACTGATAATATTGTTTGCTAGAAGTCTGTCTGTTTAGAACAATGGAGAAATTTATTGCTATAAAGTCGCTGCATCTTTTTATATAAGAAAGGAAGCAGACACGCATAGTCTGAAATCTGATGACTATAGAAACCTGCAAGATTAGTGGCAATATTAATAGGACGGGGGGGATTGTTTTTTATAGTGGGTGAAAATGGAATGGTTACTTACCTGCGCTATCGGTATACACTGACGGAGTACCAATGACAGATGATACGTGAGCATACAGTGCAAGTCAGTTAGCCCACAATGATGAATTCGACAAGAATTAACCACGACGATTTCCGGGGGAAACCGCGACCTGATAAGGTATATTGCTAGCAATAAGCTGTTAGACCTCATTATTAGCAATCCCTTTCCCCTCGGGGAGGGGAGGGGGGGGGGGTGATTGTTAGCAATGGGGACTAGCAACTCAATTGCTAGCAGCATATCCTGTCAACCTCGTGGTCACTTCAATCGTGGTCATCGGATGACCAGACGGGACGAGAGTCTCCACCATTTTGTCGTAGACATATCATTTATGCGCTCAATGCTATTTGTTTCTTCTTTTATCATACGTACGGCCAAGGAGTGAAATTGTCTCCCTGGTTACGTTTTACCTACTAAATATAATCTAGACCAAAAATTAAAGGGAAATGTGAATAGGCTATTTAGGGTCTCGTGTGCTCCATCTTAGACTACATCATCAATTTCGATCAGATGAGATCGTTATCAATCACAGAACCCGTTACAGTAAAAAAAAAAAAAAAAATTCACCTTGTATAAATTTCTTTAAAATTTTTTTAAACCAGATTTATTTTTTATCTTTTACCTTTTTAGTTTTATAAATTAGTTATTAAATCTCGTCTGCTTGATACGGGGTTTTATTGCGTTTTTTTTTTTAATTATATATATTTCACACAAACTGTTGAATAAATTAAATTTTGATCAATCATCCGATGATTGATTTATCATTATAGGCGGCGTTTATATGAACGTAACTATAGAGACCACACCTAATGTAGTTCTAAATATTTAAAATGTAATAAAAATGAAACTTGATTGTCGTCATTAAATATGTAATTAATCCAACATACTTGTGGTCTAATGAACACACCAGATACATAGCACATACCTATTAATATCACAAGGAAAAATTACCTATGTATGTAGGTACAATTCATACATCCATACATAATAGTTTTTTTTTTAATGGATAATAATGGAATGGTAATCCCGCCTGCGCTATTGGTATACACTGGCGGAACACCAGTGAGTGATGATAGGATGTGAGGATGAAGCAGGTCAATTAGCCCACCGTGACGAATCTCACAATAAATCAATCACGAGGGTTTCCAGGGGGGAACCACGAGGAGGTCGACCTGACAGGGTATATTGCTAGCAATGGGGCTATTAATCCTCATTTCTAACAATGCCTTCTCCCCCCTATATAATCAAGTATCCTGGTATTATCCAGTATTTCTACATGAAATCTACTGCTGAACCAAACACAATGAAATTTAGTATACACGTACTATATGGAAAAGAGAAAGACATAGGTTATTTTTTCCTGGTCAGTGAACTTATCCCGCTGACGCGGACGAAATCACGGGTAAAATCTTGTCTACTACAAATACAATTAAAAACTAGTTTTAATATAAGTACGAATTATGTAGAAATTATAAAATTTTTTTAGAACCTCGAATAAATATTCAGTCGAAACCAAAAAATCTTGAGCTGATCTTAGGATCAAAAACTGACACGCAAAGTATATTTATCAGAGGAAGACTTTGTACAAAAGTCGATTGCTTGGGTACCTCTGTCCCATTCGTTTTTCTACCGTGAAGCGGTTGTGTTTGCATGGCTGTGTTTCGGTTTGAAGGGTGGGATATGGCGTGAATTTACTGGGTACAGAGAAATAACACCCGAGTCCTCAGGAATGGCAAAGCATGGGGGGTATCATGGGCGAAACAGTATATACTGTTATGTCCATGGTACTGCTCATGTTTATAGGCGACGGTTACCACTTTCCATAAGGTGGGCCGTCAGCTTGTCTGCCATTCTAAGTAGTATAAAAAAAATGCGGAAGAAGCGAGAGGTTTGTTTGAATCGAAGCATTTGGCGTTCCATTGTTTCTGCCAACCCTAATGGGAGACAGGCGTGATAGATATGTATGTATGTATGTAAAAAAAAAATGCAGTAGCGACATTTATTTATATTCATATCTGTATTTATGACTAATTTGTATTCCCACTAGGTGCTTAGGTATTTGTAATTACGTGTATTTGCATTAGCCGTTGGTTCGTACTATCTTATTATAATAAGTAGTAGATTATTAAAGAGGCTATACAATTATTACTCATGCGTAACTATATGCAAATGCGTATTCGTAAGATCGTATTCATTTCCTGTCTTATAGCAATTGGATTTCTTCAAATATAAATGATAATAAATAATAGGAGTTTAAGTACATTACGTTTCAAAAACAAATACACATTTCAATTGTGGCCAAATCAGTTATTTTTATTTAAGAACTAAACTACTGAAGTAATTTAAAAATAATTTAATTTTGTGAGAACGTTCCGATTTGGCCTACATGCCTAGCCGCGTGTCACGAGTCTCTGTCTCAAACAGATTTCATATAATTGAAATCTAAAATTAAACTGTTCCTTACCACATGCACGCGTTAGCGTTTTTGATAGCTAATAAAAGTGTTTATCATCTAAATTAAAAACAAACACAACTTGAAACTGTTCTAATGAAATAACATTACTTTTTTAAAAAACAAAAAAGAAAAATCGAAAAAGTTTGACTATGCCAAAGATAAAAATATAAATTTCTAGCGTATGCCAAAATACAATAATTAGCAATGTAACTAATAGTGTATAGCGATTTAAATATAAGTAATATAGTTTGTTTTTTATAGTTAGGGAAGCAAACGAACAGACGATCCACCTGATGGAAAGCGGCTGCCGTCGCCCAAGTACTGTACACCATCTAATTGTACACCTTTTTCCATGAAACAATATAGATTGAATATAAAATAATTGATCTTTACATGTCCTATACGGAGGTCAAGGATATGGCCTGGGATAGAACTGGCTGGAAGAAGATGCATGAATTAGTTGCACCGACAAGAGGAAACTCTTAAATGAAAAGAAGAATACAATTCCAAATTTCGCCATGTGTGTCCCGGCATAGAATGGGCCACCCCTTTCCGTGGGTGTCGTAAGAAGCGACTAAAGGAGAGCGAGGGATGGGCAGCAGTGTTCCTCTTAAAGCATCTCTAAAAACCTCATTGCGGTTGCCAACCTGCCTGCCAAGCGTGGCAACTACTGACAAATCTCTCCATTACTTATAGGGAAGGTTTATGTCTAGCAGTGGACAGTTAACGGCTGAAATAATAATAATAATATAATCCCAAATAGTGATGTTATACATAAAACTTAAGAAATATAAGTTGTTTATAATCCGTTCTATGACGTATAAATAAAAAAAAATAGAAGTGATTACTTTTTAAACTTACTTGCCAGTACATATCGCCCATTCGTAAAGTTTGTCCAATAGGTTTTCACTAAGTAGGTGTTCGAGGCAGGTCGCTTGACTGATCCTTGTGTTAATCTCCCGCGCCCTTGCTTCCAGCACCAGGAGGGTTGCCAACTGTTCCAAGTGGTTCACTACTCCCAATACATCGTCGTGAAGGTGTTGAGGCTGTAGACAAATAACTCTCTATTATATGTTGGTCCTGACAGTCATATGTATGTGTAATTTGGATTTCCAGGGGAGAGAATCGTTAGTAACAGACTAAGAGTGGGACTAGAGGCCCCATTGTTAGCGATATACCCTGTCAGATCAACTTGTACGATTCTTTTGAAAACTAGTTCCTAGTGAATTAATCATATAAAATTTTACCATTGTCTATTTGATCACATAGTCTATGTATTTTTAATCGACTTCAAAAAAGGTGGTTTTTAATTAGGTGACTATTTTGTTTAAGTTTGTTATCTTATAACTATGTCAGTTATAAACCGATTTTGAAAATTCTTTTTTTTTATCTGAAATAATATAAATTTTATCAAATTCGGTTCAGTTCTTTAGTTTTTCATTCATACTGATCTTACCACAATTGATGCCCCTAATAATTCTCAAATTCAAAATTTTTGTCCAAGGTCCAAAGACAATTCTGTGATCATTAAAGACTAGGCATTTTAATGATAACCTTATGATTCACTTTCAATAATACACAGAAAATTGAGGTTTATAGGTTGCAAATTAAAGTTCATTATACCGCTTCAAATATATATTATAAGTGATTACAATACAAGCTCGTTACATATCGCACTTGAACGAAAATAAAAGTTTATTTAAATTATGAAGACATGTAAAATTGAACCATATATGATTATTGAAAAGATTGAAATTTGGAACATTTGTTAATAATGTACATATTGACTCATGTCTACATGCAGTATGTGGGCTAAGTAAATATAATAAAAATTAATTCACTGGTTTAGCTAAGGATGCGCAGCTAGAGCTAAGAACGAAACTGAGAAATAGGCTTCAAGTGTTCTTTCTACATTGAAGCTTCATAATACTTTAAGAATTAATGTAGAACAACAGAATGATGCCAATGCCAGGAAACTAAGCTATTATTATTTGAGTAATTTATTATATACTAGGTATTTTTCGCGGCTTTTCCTGCATTAATCAGTAAATAAAGAATCATATGTCTTATGTTGAGATATAACCTGTGTATTAAATTTCGTTTAGCTGTTTAAACATAATTAGGTAACATACAAACATTTTTATAAAATTTCACATTTACTATATAAGTACTTAGTAAATAATTAAAATTAGTAAGTAAATACTTCGGCGAGTATATATTCGCTATTGCAAACGGCGGCAAAAATTGGCATAGTAGAACAAAATCATATAACTTAAGGCTCGCACGCGGTACCTCTATGAAGTGGCATGACGGGAAGCTTGGATGTCGCCGAGTGGTTTCTTGTGATGTATATACTAAACAACCTACGTAACGAAGAAATTCTTTTTCGCTGCCAATTTCTACCATAAATCGATCAATTTATCGATCGACTAATTTATAGATCGCGCAAAGCCCAGTTAATTTTTTACTTCGTTCTGAATCGAATCTCCGAAAATTTGACAATTGCAATGTAAGTACTTTTTTCTTTTAATTTGGAATGTCAAACGATCTAAAGGAATACCTTATTAGAATTAGTAGTAGTAGTAGTATAGGCTCGAGTGGTGGGTGGATGTTTTGTACATAGATTATGCACTTCTTGGTAGTGCAAAATGGTCTACTAGAGAATGAATTATGTAGTTTAATATTACCTGTGATTTAAGAATAATATCATGAGCCTGTTGCCAATGCTTGCAGAAAGAGTTAAAACATGCTTGTGGCTCATAGTCGTGCCGAGGGTCGAGAGAGCGAGACAGCTGCCGTGCGAGTGAAAGGGAAGTATTCCGCAGCCAGCTCATGATTCCTTTTTAAATCATTTGTGTATCTGCAAAAAATACAATGCATTTTATGAAAATTAATTAAAGTGATTATATATTATAATCACATGTTAATTTTAAATATAATAATATACTTTATAGTAAGTCCTTACTAATATTATAAATATGAAAGTCAGTTTGTTTGTTTATTATCATATAGTGCCTGAACAGCTTAACTAATTACTATAAAATTTGGTATACACATACTTTATGGTATGGAGAAAGATATAGTCAAATTTTTGGCTCAGTCAGTAAACATATAGCGTCACGCGGCCAACTTTGCAGTATATTTGTACAATTTTGGCAGTTTAGCATGATCAAATAAACTACCAATACTAATGTAATGTGCAGAAAGGTGTCTATCATATAACACTTCTTTATTCAACATTTATGCATTTTATGAATAATATATCAATTTTAATTACTAACACTTTTTGAATGATACATCATAATTTGTATTTTTTAATGTGCATTTAAAATTAAAATAACATGATTATATGTATAATAAGCTAAATATGAATTAAAAGGTCATAATAACTTTCACTTTTGATCATAACGTCAAAAGTTTCCCCACACCAGTACACAATTGTTACTGAGAATCTGATAACTGTAATGTGTGAAAATATAGACAATATACAACAGAGTACCTGTAGTGAAACTACATTGTCATCACACATGTTGACTCATACAAAACAAAATGCGATTCATGCATGAACAAGTAAATTTAAATGTAAACAAAACCTTGACTTTTAGAAGATATTAGAATCAAATTAATTAAAGAGTATGTACTTTATAAAACTTTTTGGAATTTCATTATTTAATAAGGAATTCTCCTCAATTGAACTAAAATATTACTCATAGAATAAGTTAGATACAAAAAAAAAACACAAAAAACATATAGCATCTATATTGTTTTTGAACTTTTAAAGCATTAAAAATTAAGTAATAATTTTCTGAATTTTTAAGATAATCCTGAATTCTGAAATGGTAGTTTTTGATCGGAAACAAACCTTTGTAGATTTTCATAGATATATAGATAAACCAACCATAGATACAAAGTATATTTTCATCTTAAATTATAAAGGGAATTCATCCTCATATGCTTCAACCTAAATGCTTACATAAAGTGCAGTTTCAAAGGAATTCTTTCCTGTGAACGCTCAGGCTGTGGAATGAGCTCCCTCTTAATATATTTCCTAGAGACTATAGTATGGAGTCTTCAATAAGGGCATATTAAGGTTTCTTCAGAGTCATCAATATGTGTGATACAGCTCAAGTGTTGCAGACGTCCATAGGCTACAGTCACCATTTACCATCAGACAGGCTGTATGCTTGGTAGCCACAATCATAGTGTAAAAAAATACAGTCAAAACCACAGTATAAAGTTAGTAAATATATAGTAATACACTTTTTACATTTAAAAATGCAACAAATAGAAAGTGTTTAATTACTAAAAAGTATTATTAAATAAAATTTACAACAGTTACTATCACTTCAGTGATAGTTTCTTGTTTTCAAAACTTTCATATGTACATGTAATTAAAACTGTTTATACATTGATATACTGAAAAATTCTAGATACTCTTAAAGAGTAAATTAAAAATAGAGAACAGTTAAATAAATTTTGTACTCATTTTTTACTATCTAGAGACATTTTAAATTTTTTAATTTAAGATTTTAATTCTACTCAAACCTTGTCCTATTATGACCATTTTTTTAATTTAAATTTTGGACAGTTTTATGAGAAAATATTGTATGGGAATATGAATCTTGGTTTTTTATTTGTATACTTATATTGAAAAAAATACAAGAGTACTTTGTTCGATGAGGTATTGACAGTTAGTTCCTTTGATTGAAAAACTAGCTCCATCTAGTTTTTTGGTGAGTTTTTAAAAATACTTTTAGTATTTCTAAATTTCATCAAGCCCTCTAGACAAGTGGCATTTGAATTCGTCGATGGAATTGATATTGCTAGCGAGTATGTGAGGTAGAATGAGATAGCAACACAGGATGTCTCATTCCAACTCATCAAGGAATTCGCTTGCCACTTGTCTGTCAGAGGGCCAGATCAGACTATGTATAGTCTATCTTTTAATTACTATATTAATTCTAATTTTTAGTAAAAGTTTATTAATATTTTTATTTTTACTAATACCTATAATAAAGTGGAAGACTTTGTTTATTTGAGAGCACTAATCTTTGGAACTACTAATCAGATATGAATTTTTTTTTCACATTTAAGAGCTCATTTCTTGAGGAATGTTACTATTCAACATCATGATATAATCACAAGCAAAGTCGGCAGATATAGCTATAAACATATTATACTAAAATGTATTATTTGATATTCACACAGCTAATACATTTATAGGTAATAGATAATAAAAAAATTAGAACTATATATATTGAGACTAAAAGAATTATTTGAGATTGTGATTGTAACTTCATTTGTATAATGAATCTATATTTTTTCCTATAGAATTGACACATTTTCAACCAACTTCAAAAAGAAAGAAAGTTCTCATTTTGGTTCATTCAGTTTGTTTATTATCTCATAACTCCTGTCAGTTATAAACTGATTTGGAAAATCCTTTCTCTATCTAAATGGGACCAGATACATTTACAAATTGGTTCCATAAAAAAATTTATTAACTACTGAACATTAAGTAGTTTAGTTTTAAAATTGAAATAATTGATTTTATGACAATTGAACTTAGTTTTTTTTTTATAGACCAATATTATAAGTTATTATACTATAGTAATTACATGTTCAGACAAGGAATAAGATTATTACCATATCAAATTTAATCAAAATGTTTACAATAGTTTCTGTATGATGCATGCAGACAGTGTATTTAATTTTATTATATGCATAGATAAATATTATAGTTTTTATTATATGTATAGACATGTAGAAATGTAATGGAATAAAACATAATGATATATATATTAAGGAATGTACTTAATCACAGAAAAGTTTCAATAGTAAAATTGCACAATAGACTAGGTAAATTAGAGATAAAATTTATATACATTTTCACTTTCTATTAAAATATGTTTGTTTGAATAGTTTAAATTGATTAGTTATCTATTACGACTAAATAATTAATTCTGTAGATTAACGCAGTAGTTCTATCTCGAATCTAATAAGATGAACAAATAAATAGACCTTGACATTATGTTTTCATAATAACATGGTTTGTAAAAACTTAAATTTTTTTGCTATAACACAATATTTAAAAGTAAAAATATTAACTTGATACCTTTAAAGGAGTTCCAAGATGAAAATAGAATCTGCACACCACAAAATAAACCACAAGAGTTACATGATCTGGATTACTCTTGAAAATTATGTCATATATATCTTTAAGGATGTCCATTCAAAACACTTCAAAATAAATTGTATCACACACTTCAACACTGGTATTGTAGTATGAAGTATTGTTTAACTTAAAAAGTGATAATTATGTTAAAAAAATTTAAAAAATCTAAAAAGAACAGAAAGAGAAACATACGTGACGAGCAAATGACAACATTGAATGATTGATTGAATTGAATGATGTGGAGTGATGATTCATGGATTGACTTATTAAAATGACATTGACATAATAGTCCAATATCCAAGCCACAGAGTATTTTTTATAGTTTCATTTAACAGATATAGAATAATTCATATTGATTCGACCAGGTAACTACAGCAGTCATCATAAACATAAAACATAAGACAATAGAAAATCGATAAAAAAATAAAATAGGCATATTATGAGGGCCAGTAATACACTATAACTTATTAGTATATTGCTATTAATTTACCTGTTAGATTACATTACTAACAATCCTTATCCCCCCGAACTGTGGTGTTAAGTTTCCGTATTTTGTTGCCGTATCCAACTACCTTTCAAATAAAAACAAACTCAAAGCACAGCTGCTTTACGGCTGAAACACGAGTAGAACAAATGTGGGTGCATAGGTATGCAGACTATTTTGTACAAAGTCTCCCTAATGCTAATTGCTGAAATCGCTTAAGTATGTATGTATCTCTATGCTTTTATTGGTAGAATTCTATAGTAGAACTTGTTAGACTTTGTAGCATATCAACCTATGTAGATGAAACTATGGTTACCTTTCTGTTACTGGCTAGTTATACTTACGATAGATGTCATTCTGTATCTAAATAAAATTCTGTATTTTTTCCTTTGAACAATTCACACTTATTTTTTCCTAAATATCTTTAATAAATAACACGGACTTTATTTATCATAAAGTAAACGTTACGTGTACTGAAAAAAACCGTCGAACAATATATATTTTGAAGATTAACACCGGGTTCTTCATAATTGTGATTGATTAAACTTCAGTTATCGCCATGGACGGATCTACAAAGTTTCAAGTCTTACCACTAAATGAACACAACTGGGTCACATGGAAATTTCAAATAAGACTAGCTCTAAAAGGTCATGGTCTCCTACATGTCGTCGTTTAAGACTTCGTAGACAAAGAAAGAGCTACGACTGCTGAGCTTGAAAAGTATGCCAAGGAAGATAGTACAGCATTTCTTATTATAACGAAACTTGACACAAGAAAACATCATGAAGGTGATGCGCTTCCATACAAAGAGAAGCTTGGTTGGAACTTCACCGAATTTATGAACAGATACAGAAGATCGAGCCTTTGATTTGATTATGACCTTCTTCAAATTCGTAAAGGATCCTGCTGACAATATTGGTACGCATTTATCTTTATATGGAGAGATTTATCATTAGAAATGAAGAAAGAAGGAGTCAAAGAACTACCAGAAATCTTTCTTATGGGCAAGACTCTAGAAAGCTGTCCTGATGAATATTTCCAGTTCATTTCAAGTTGGAAGCTGCTATCAAAAAAAGATCGAAGTATAGAGAAATTGACTGCCCACCTGTGTTCTTTCGAACGAGTGTACAGTCTCAGGGGACTCACGGTCAAGTAGAAGATGCTCTCATGCTTACCGGAAGTAAAGGCAAGTCTAAATTTCGAAAGAAGTCATGTCAAAGATAAGTCGAAGAAATGCAATTATTGTGGTCTAAACAATCACTATATATGATATATATATCAGATGGACGTCCGTTAACATCAATGGAAAAACCATCAACATCAAAACAAGGTTACCTCTAACAACAATAAATGCAAAGCCAACATGATGCTAATGTCGATTGTTGAGGTGAACGCTATAGAAATAGTGATAGTAATCAATGGTATATAATGGCGCAACTAGTCATGTCAAAATCGATCAGATTTATTTGAGGATTTTGAATCATTTGATAGCAAGTCACATACAGTGACAACAGCAAGTACAAACAATTCCTGCTACTGGCAAAGGATCAGTAATAGTTGAAGCAGATATTTATGGTCGAAAACAACTCATAACATTAAATGAATGGCTTGTTCCAAAATTTCAAAAAACCTTTTCTCTGTCTTAGCTGCTCAAGATTGGTTAACTGACAGTACGTTTGTATCTAAAACAAACAGCTGTCAATTGATTGTAGATGGAGAATACTCTTCTCGGAAAAGAAAAAATATTTTATAAGCTGAGATTATGTAACAAACCATCAAATCCGATCAAGATAAATGTCAATTCAGTGGATGCTATAAACATGCTAACTCTATCATGAGAGGTTTGTACATCAAAATAAATCTGGATTAAACTCGTAGAAAATTAGGTATCATATATAATGATAAGACTTTAAGGATGTATATATGGAAAAGCTCATCGTTTGAAATAACGAGAGACGGGATGTCACACACTTCAACATATATGGTACGTATGTGGTCCGTTTGTTTAACTTTTCCAAATATCGTTATTTTCTACTATTAAAAGACGATTTTAAAAATATCGCTATTTATTCTTAATGAGATTGAAAAGAAGTCCAGAGAAAATTGGTACAATTTATAGCTCAAGTGAAAACACAGACATGTTATCATTGAATTTTTCACCGATAATGGAGGCGAATTCGTAAATGATAATATAAAGAAAATTCTACAAAATGACATCGTGCATAATTCACTATGCCGCATACACCACAGCAAAACTCAACTGAACGTATTTTGTTGAAGCTGTCAGTTTCATTTAAGAACTACCTGAAGGCTTATGGGCTCAAATAACAAGAACAGTTGTTTATGACCAGGTAACTACTGGTCCTACTAACACAGATAAAACATAATGGTAATAGAAAATCGACTAAAAAGAAAATAGGAATTATACGCTCATGTACCGATACACGCATAACTTATTAGAAAGCATAAAAAAGGGTTTCTTATTAATTTACAATGATGATGAAGGATATCGCATTTGGGAACATAAAACTCTTTCAATTATTAACTCGAGAGATGTAATTTTTGACGAAAAGACACTTAATCCTGTCGATTTCCTAGATCTGAAGAAAAGGTCTCTAGATTAATATTGATCCCAACTACTGTCCCGATTTTGCAAATAAAAACAAACTCAAACATACAGATTGTTCTTAATAACTATGAACATTTTGATACTACTGAATGTGAAGATGAGGTTACTTCTTCAAACATAGATAATTTACCACAGATTGACACAAATCAAGAAAACGTATCAGAGGACAATTTAATAAGAGAAGATACTTTATCTCAAGAAGAAATTCTTAATGAAGAGCCTCAAGAGAAAAATGTAGATATAGATAAAATCACTTTGTGTCTTTCAAAATTAAATCCTCCACTGTTATTTTTTTGTGTTGAAAATGTTTATAACCAAAGAAGAACCAAAGACATTCAAAGATGCATGAAGTCTGTTGATAAAAAAAATGGCGTAATGGATGATGAATCATTTTTCTGAAAGATGATATTTTGTCATTACCCAATGGACGAAATATCAATAAATGGGTATTTAAGATTAAAAATCTGATGTTTTACAAGTATAAAGCCAGACTCGTTGCTGTTGGTTACTGTAAGACAACGTTGATTACAGCAGACGTTTACGAAAAAATGAGTACAATTAGATTACTATTGATGGAACTGCTCGCCAATATGATTCTTACTCAAGACGTCTCTACCCATCTTTATGGAAGCTTATATGTTAAGCAACCTGAAGGATATGATGATGGAACTAACAATGTATGCAAGTCGCAGTTTATATGGACTGAAACAAGCACCATTGTGCTGGAACAATTGTATTAAAGACTTTCTTCTAGAACAAGGGTTTGTAGCTGGAGAAGATCCTTGTTTCTTCTCCATGAAGGGGGGAAAGGAAGGTACTACTAAACTTTATGTTGACGATGGCATGATAGCAACATCATATACTGATTAATGAGTTAAACCTGGTAAACGTTAAAATTAAAATAATAAAAATTCCTATTACTTTCTGGGACTTGAGATAGAAAAACAGAAAACTATATAAAAATACATCAAGGTGCCTATACTAAGAAAGTCACTTACAAGATTTGGTATGCAGAATAGCAAAGCTGCCGCTACACCAATAGTTAAAGAAAATTGAGAGAAGATTTTAACAATGCATTTCCTTACAGAGAAATGTTTTTCGCATACCTTATGGTAGGAACAAGACCCGATATTGCCTATGCATTCCAGTTGCCTATATATTAAAACTCCTACAAAAACAGATATTACAAAAGTGAAACGTATTTCGCTATTTGAATGGTACAAATTACTGCATTACCTACAGGATAGATACAAAGAAACTATATAAGACAGCGATGCTGATCATGGTGGTGATCTAACTCTGGAAGATCGACTTCACCTAGATGTATTTATGGAGGTCTTATCATCAAGAAATAAACATCAGTAGCGATTTCAAGCATAATTATTAATTTAATGTGCTAGCGAATCCAGAGAAATAATATGGCTTAAACGTTTTATTGAAGGTATAGAACAACCAACGAGTATTCCTATTCTGTACTTAGATAACGAATCAACCATCAAACTTGCATTAAATCCACCATATGAGTTCCACAACAGAACGAAACATATTAAGCTAAGTTTCTTTATTCGAAAGGTTAGCTGATGGGAATATGAAGATTGCAAAGATAGATACTGAACATCAAGTTGCGGACATGTTCACCAAGGCACTCTATAAACCAAGATTGGTGATGCTATGCCAACAAATTAATGTATATACATAATTTATAGATACTAGATCCTGAGAAAGGAACCATGAGCTTCAAGAGAAGCTGTTAGACTTTGTAGCATATCAACCTATGTAGATGAAACTATGGTTACCTTTCTGTTACTGGCTAGTTATACTTACGATAGATGTCATTCTGTATCTAAATAAAATTCTGTCTATTTTTTCCTTTGAACAATTCGTAATCTTATTTTTTCCTAAATATCTTCATAATAAATAACACGGACTCTATTTATCATAAAGGAACTTTGTGTTCTTTCAGTGTCCTCTTCTGTTATTTGTTTGTTATTTACTTTAAATATGTTAAAGTATCATAAATAAAAAAAAAAATTTACTAATTTAATATTTTTCTGATATAGATGATATTTTTCGTCGAAATCAATAATTAAGAACCAATCTGGAGTGTTTTAATTCCTTGCTTGCTGTAAGACAACTTTACAGCATGCATTCACGAAAGAGTAACTTGAATAGTCTATGGAACCCAGCCGTTCATATCCGAAGATCTCCGAACACCATCTTTCTTATTTATGACGGTGCCGCGAACACCTACAGCTCGCGCTCTGTGGATCGAGGCGCGTAGTTAGACTAGCGTTCGCGTTACAGCCTCCTAATACTAGGGGTCCTGGAAGGTCCCGAAACTAATCGAGCTTTCCCAACCATATTACTTGTAAGTTAAACCGGTAGTTATTAAAATATAATGTGTACCTCTGGTATTACCTAGCTAGCACCTAGCTCATGGGCCGTGGTAGTCACTTACTGTCAGGTGACCCGCATGATCCCATGCCCCCTGTGTTATAAAAAAAAAACTTACGAATCTTTTAACAATGTCTTTGTATTCTTACTTACTCTAATGTTTTTATTCCTTTTTTGTTTTAGTGGTGAGGTAGATAAAATTTATTATATTCCAGTAGCTATATATTAAAATAGTCTAGAAATAACTAGATACTGTAATTTAATTATAACTCTGTCACCATACTGTATAAACCACCATACTATATAAGAACCTTCATTGCAACCTATCTACTTGCAGAACACAGATCTAATTTTTCTTTTATCAAGAAATAAATTACGTTTCTGTACATAATTATTATTTTAATGTGGGCTAAATATCATAAGATTTACCTGTAATTGTATAATAAAATTTTTAAATTAGACTTTTATACCTTATTTCCGACAAACCTCGTAGTTGTGTTTTTTTTTGACACTTCAGCATTTTGATAGATTTTGACGAATTATTAGAAGAGTTTATTATTTTATTGATTTATTTTGATAATTATATTTTATTTTACTATAAAATGAAAGCATCCAGACTGGGATCCGTCCAATCAATAAAATCCATTCGGTCCCTTAAATCTGTGCACAGTACTTTGGGTGATGATATGAAAAAAAAATTTGAGACATATCTCCCTGTAGTTTGCAAAAATTTTCCTAACGAAATTCCTTACCCCGTCATTGTTAAGAAGGAATATCAGCGCGGTAAGTTGGATCATTTAGATTTTAATGGCCTGACTTCTCATTTTCATCTATTATATTATACCGTTAGCACCAGCGGGGTTACCATTCCATTTCCATCTATTCCATCATTCATTAAAACAATTTTTCATGTGGGTTTGAGTTTGTCCCTTGGTAATACAATTTATTACAATGGTAATCCTTACTAATATTAAAAATGTGAAAACTCTTGGCTTTTGACACTTTAGTCAAAGATCTCGTTACATAAAATTATCGACATTATTAAATAATATTGAAAATATTTCCACAATATTTAAAGACGATTAAAAAATCGGCCTAGATTCAGTATATAAAGAAAGTTGATAATTTCCATCTTTTGTATGTTTTCATCATCCATGTTTTCAAGAAGCTACAGTAATTAAAATACTAGTTCTGTGTATTTTAGGAGGGTTGCGATTCACTTACCTTAGCTTTAGTTGTTGCTCTATTATTGTACTTAGATTAAGATGATAATATGTTTTCAGATGACTTTTTTCAAACACTTAAACAAGAAGAAACTGTTAAATATAAAAAGATAACTGTTAAACTTAATGATATAGTCAATAAAGCTATTTCACAAGTAGACGTAGAAAAACATGATGAAAAATTAACAACTGGTGCTAGCACTGACTCCGAATTATTAGCCAAAGGGAATACTATTTTAATTACTGCTTTATATGACAATATGAAACGTCTCGCTGAAATAGTGATTTACGATATGAAAGTGCCAAGAGGGTTAATTCAAATTATAGGGTACTTAGCACCGTCATATAAAAGTTGATCAAGTTGACGATACGGTCTTGTCGTATTGATTTGTATACGATTCACGAATTAGCTAAAAAGCTTCCGCTATCTTCAATTACCGATGTATGCCTGGATGGATCCTTAATACCAGAAGGAAACTTTTATATTTTATTGGACACTAAATATGTGAGGTTAAAAATATTTCTCTATGCAGATGTCAAATCAACGATGAAGTTTGTAAGTTGATCGCATTGAAATTATGCAACCCGTGTCCAGCCGAGAAGAGTTTATTGCTTCTGAATCTGACATCTAATCACATAACGGATACAGGAGCGAAATATTTAAGTCAAGCTCTAAGAACAAACAGACATTTGCGGTATTTGAACTTAACAGATAACCGTATTGGTGATGACGGAGCTGGCTGCATATTTGACATTTTAAAACGTTTTCCCTTAACGTATGATGAAAACACAAATAAACGGAATAGGTATATGGAATATTTAAAAACGAGAAATGCAGTGTATCTAAAGTACTTGGATGAATTATATGCTAATAGATCATATGACGAATATAGTCAGAGTAGTAAAATAAATAAAAAAAAGAAAACTTCCGCAACATTTCTGAAGAGTAGAGCTAGTTCAAGGCAAGAATCTAAAAAAGAAAAAATGCCCATTAGCTTGGAAGAAAGTAAATGTAGAGCAGAAATGATAGCTAGGGAGTTGGTTGGACCGTTCCGTCATCCATTTAATAGTGGTTCCGTAAAGTTGGAAGATGGCCAGTATTACTGTGTTGGTAATATGGTACTTTGTTATTTGAATTTATCCTACAACAATTTGACCTATTTGACTGTCAATAAACTTTATAGTGTATTACAATATCAATCTGAAGCAAAAAAACTGAATGAAACTGGATTAATGAAAGTTATTTTAGACGGCAATTACATGCCAATAATTTGTGAAGAATATAATATTATTGTTAAATTTTTAAATAAAAGTTTATCTAATTTTGGAGGAAAACTGTTTTCAGAAATTGGTAAAAGAAAAGGTCGTATTGGTGCAAGAATATCAATGGTACCTGAACGTAATATACCTAAGAAATAAAAAGTCATAGAATTGCTTAATCACTTACATTTTATTGAGTATGAAATGTTTATTTACAAAGTAGGTATAAAAATAATATTAATTTACATAGGAAATGTTTTTTCGACTACAGTTGATAAGTTACTCAACTAATACGATTGGTAACTTCATGGTCATTTAATCACATTTTTGTAAGAAACTATGTAACTGTTATTTATTAAAAATATTAAATTAAAAATTCAGATTTATTATTATCTTATTTATTCTAAAATAATTTGGATGATAAGATGTTCCTAATTTAAACAGCACCGACCTTTCCGTTCGTTTTTTACATAGTGCCTGCACTGGCTCCTAAGATTAATTTTGGCAAATCTTAACCACTAATTTACATTAAACAAAAATAATATTACTATTTAAACTATAAATAAAGTCTATTGATACACATTATTAGAATTACCAGTTAAAATTATTTAAAACATCAGTTTCGAGGTGGGAGATATTCTCTGTTAGGCTGTGAAGGCGGAAATCCTGCATTGTTTTGATTATCTTGAGGTCTTCCTGAAGAAAAACTGGGGCCGCTTGGTCTTCCCGATGGGTAACCTTGACTACTTCCAGGATAACCGGGACTGCTTTGTGATGGCGGGAAGGACGTGGGTCCTTGAGAAGGACCTTCTGAACCTGGGCTGCTAGGATATGATGAAGATTGTCCTTGTGACGGAGTATTCCCTGGATACGAAGATGGAATTTGTGGAGAGGGATTGTTTGGATATGAACCAGAAGAACCTTGAGCCCCTGTGCCACTCGGATATGATGATGATCCTGAGCTTCCTTGATATAAGCCGGATGGTGTTTGTGGCCTAGAGTTAGGATAGTTTCCTAATGAATCTTGAGGTCTTGTACTTCCAGGATATGCACCCGATCCTTGGGGTAATGAGCTCCCTTGGTAGTTTCCAGTTGATCCTTGCGATGGTCCAGGTCCTTGTAGGTTTTGTGTATAATCATTATTTCCACCATTATAATTTCCTTGGGAAGATCCAGTTATAGAGTAGTCGTATAGATTTGCGTTAAGTCCATAAAGACTAGGAGCAGAATTACAATCAAATTGATTCCACCAGACGCAAACAAAAACTTGTTGAGAGAAAACTGTTCCATTAGGGCAGAGAAAATCATAAGTTATATTATTAGCACAAACATGGAATACTTGACAACGAGTTTCAACATCGGCGTAGTAACCAGGGTAAGCTTGAGCGTCACACCTAAATGAAGTTTGAGGGATTTCTGATAAAATTGGATAATCTATATCGGGGTTTCCGGGAATGGCTGAATAATCACCTCCTTCATAAGCACCAGTATTATCGCTACTGCTTCCAAAACCCTGAGTACCAGACTCAAATCCAGGAGAACTCGAACCGAAATCTTGTGAACCAGGTCTAGATCCAGACCCAGACCCAACCCCTGGACTATTGGAGCCAAATACAGAATTGCCTGGTCTGCCAGAGTTATCGGGTCCAAAATGGGAATTTCCTGACGCTGTTCCAGTTTGACCAGGATAATTTTGATCTTGTCCAGGATATTTTGAGCTTCCTTGGCTAGGATATCCACCTGAAGATGATCCACCAGGTCTTTGGAAAGATGGACTTTGTCCCGGATATCCTGCCTGAGGGCTCTGTCCAGATGAAGGGTAGCCTTGATTTCCTAGACCTCCTGATGGACCAGATGAGTGACTCGGTGTTGATCCAGAAATAGGGCTAGTAAAGTCTTCATTGTGAGGTCTACCCGGGAAAGAAGGGGATGTTGGAGAACTTGGGTAACCACCAGAAGGTCCTGTAGGTGCTCCCACTGGTCGGCTTGGAGACGTCCCTTGTCCAAATGGAGTGTCGGGTTTATTATACTCGTATCCACTTTGAGCGAGGGTTAGAGCCAGTAACGCTGAAAAGACAAAAAGAAATTTTTAAAATCAATGCACAATACATGTAGTTATGGGATGCCATATCGAAATGCAAAATTGGCGAAAACGTAATTATCTTATGGCGATATATTGTGATTTATAACTGACTTATTTGTTGAATATCACAGAATATACGGTGACTATCACAGAATATATTGTATCTTATTATGGACTAAGGTATGAGCATAAGGTAAGAGGAAGGTAATGCTTCCATTCTGTGTAATTTTACATATTCCGGTATCCATATCATTTTCCATATTATTTACAATCTACTATTGTAAATATTTATATTTTATTAAAGTGACCGTGTTATCTCGTCTCTGATAAATCAAAGGCGAAAATCAAAGTTTATATATGAATTATTCATCAGCATTAGTCTGATAGCTTTTAAGGTCAGAATACTTATTCCTTGTTCTCATTACAAGTGGTACAAGACAAGCACAAAGCGACATCGTTTACAAGATGAGATCGCGTGAGAGCCGTCCCCCATTAGATCGTTTCGCAAGTGATCCACCTAATGGGGAAATTGTCCTTACGTAACGCTGTTTTGGATCACTGTAACATATTAATTATGCGTATGGTTAGCGTTAAAAATAAAAGACTAATTATGCGAACGTACTAATCTTAAAATGGATTTTGGTGACTGATGCTTTTCTATTGATGTACCTATCAATTGTACGTTATGTATACTTGTATTTGGAAAACAATGTGGCAAGGGATGAATCAGATTTTAGATTATGCCTATGGATATGAAATTATGGAAACAATTGAAAGGATGAGTTCCTATATATATATACATATATATATACATATATATATATATATATATATATATATATATATATATATATATATATATATATATATATATATATATATATATATATATATATATATATATATATATATATATATATATATATATATATATATAGATGAATTTATTTGTAAGTGTTCATGATTATATCATATTGTAAGAGAGTTCTCTTTATAATAGAGCGTTTCCAAGGATTTTTATTCCATATTACATGGATAAACTGGGATTTTTGTTTTTATTAATTTACCAAGTAAAATTACCAACAAATCTTCGTAAGATTATTGAAAATATCAAAATTTCGAGTACATAATAAAGTTTTATAAATGCATATATATAATGTTTTTATATATATAATTACTTATTATTTATCTCCTACATACCTACTTAATATGAAAATTTAACTACGATGCAATTTCAATTTTATAACTAAGAAATAGATTTATATTACACTAAACAAATATAATCGATATACTATTGTTTTGTGCTTGAGCAACTAGGCAATTAGGTGCAAGAAGTTTACTGTAAGCCACAATGACCAAATAAAGAATAAAACCAAATTAGTAATACGTTTGCGTGAACAGTAAACTTAAAGTTGAGTATAAAATAGTATAAATTAAATATTCCAAAGTATCTTTGATAATTTCAAAAATGCTGTGTAATGTGAATAAGAAACATGTTAAAAAGACGCGAAAAGCCATGTTGCCTATAGACATGAGCAGTACCATGGACATAACAGAGTATACTGTTTCGCCCATGCGTTGTCATTCCTGAGGACTAAAATTCATTGCCATATCCCATCTTTCAAACTGAAACACAACCATGCAAACACAACAACCAGAGAGAGACTTTGTACAAAAGTCGTTTACTTGGGTACCTCTGTCCTATTCGTGTTTCAGCCGTAAAGCAGTTGTGTTTGCATGGCTGTGTTTCGGTTTGAAGGGTGGGATATGGCGTGAATTTACAGGGTACAGAGGAATAACACCTAAGTCCTCAGGAATGGCAACGCATGGGGGGTATCATGGGCGAAACAGTATACTCTGTTATGTCCATGGTACTGCTCATGTCTATAGGCGACGGTTACCACTTTCCATCAGGTGGGCCGTCAGCTTATTTGACATTCTAAGTTGTATAAAAAAAATAAAAATAAAACTGCTTTACCGTAGAAACACTAGTGGGATAGAGGTACCCAAGCAAACTTTTATAAAAATTCCTACTCTGGTACTATTATTATTATTATTTAGATACTTTAGTATTATTTCATGATTTCTTTCATTTCATGATTTATTATATAGATAATAAAGATTGATGAATGTGGAAGAAGCGAAAGAGGTTTGTTTGAATCGAAGCATTTGGCGTTCCATTGTTTCTGCCTACCCTAATGGGAGACAGGCGTGACAGATATGTATGTATGTATGTATGTATAATAAAGAATGAAATAAAAGAGATCAGTGATTTTGGGCTATAACAAGCAATAACATAAATTAATAATACTTGAGCTTAATTGCTCACGTCAGCGTAATTTTTAGGTGTCGGTCACGTTGTGATTAGGGCTTTTGTTGTTAGTCAACGTTTTGCAAGTGACATTGAGATTGCCTCATGCGATGCGATGGAAAAATCATAATGATCACTGTCCGGTCTTATTGTGGTATAAGATTTGTGGTACCTAAACAATAACATCGGATGATCTGCTAATGTTTTCGCAAAACATTTCGTAATTTGGAAATCTTTTTATAATTGTTGGTAAATCGATGTCCTTGTTTGTCTAGTGGTTTAACGCACCGCCTTGTCCGGCGGTCGTGGATTCGATCCCTTTGTGTCTCTATGTAACCACGTTACACGTTTCATCTTTGTGATGATTAGATCCGTTCAACAGTGAGGTACTGATGAAGAGAGGGATTGTTAGTAATATAGACTACGAGTCCCATTGCTAGAAATATACCCTGTCAGGTCGACCTTCACGTGGAAATTTCCTGGAAACCATCGTGCTGAATTGCAGATGTTCACACACAGTGGGTTAACTGATCTGCTTTTTTATCCTCACCAATCATTCATCACTGGTGCCTCGCCAGTGTATACCAATAGCGCAGGCGCAGGGTTACCATTTCATTATCATCCATTAAAAAAAAAATTACCTACTATAGGTAAAAAATAGAATTTTTAGAATACTTTTTTTTACCACACAGGGGGCAAACGAGTTACCGGTTCACCTAATGGTAAATAACTATCACCGCCCATGATCACCTGTAACACCTGTAACACCAGAGGTATTGCAGTATGCTGCCCATCAATTACTGTTCAAGTTGATTCTGTGAAGCTGAAGTAGGCATTGAATTAATGACTGATTGCAGTATCATAAAAGATTACGAAACGAATAGACTGGAACACATTACACGTTTGTTGTAAGGAGAGGAGCGAAGTTCTAGAAGGGTAGTAATTTTCTTTAGTTACGACTATTTCCCACTCTCAAAGCTGTATATAATGATTGCAAAATCGCCTTGGGTATTTGTAAGTGTAAAATTGTCCTAAACACTAACCCTTTACTTAGAAGTCGTAGCGATTATCGACTCTGTTTCAACGTAGTAAAGACATTATTTCAATAACGATAATTTATAAAATTATGATTGTCCCATGATGTTTTGATGATATACAATTTAATATTGTTTCTGAGAAAATCTGTTATATATTAAAATGTTTATTCTATGGAAATAGTGCATTAGAATATGACTTAGTACTATTGCTACACTTCACTACAGGGCGAGCAAAAAACGTCATGGAAAGGTCGTAATGTCACAGGTTTTTCAGCTTAAAAAGCCCGTTTTTTAATAATAATAATAATGCTATACTTGTTTTTAAATCGTATAATAGTTTTTGTCTTTCTTTAGGTCTGTCTAAATTAGGTAGAGTTTTTGTCTACAATAATACTACATCAAAAATAGTCTAACTTTTTAATTTCATCTTAGCGAGTTTCTATCGTAAGACCACTTAGACTTATATATTTTGTAATAGTAGAATTTTAGAGTTACCTATTAGTTGTAAGACCGCATAAATTCCGCGTTTTATGATTAAAAAAAATTAAGCATCTGTTAAAAAAGAAAAGAGCTTACAAATTAATATTTTTTAATTTATAATACCTAATTAAAATATTACAAGATAAAAAAAAAATGTGGCAAATGTGTTGAAATTTGAATTAGAAAGTGTTAACATAAAAATGCTTTTACCGCAAAGTTTAAGATCTTCGCCACACCGCGGCGCCACTCGTGCACGGCCGTCACGAAATGGATCAAGGAAGCTGTTGTAGCTAGACAACTGGAGTGTTCTATTTGGCAACAGTATTTAGATTAGGCACTTAATTTCTGGATCATAGTGGCCATATTTCCTTGTTCCATTGTCGGAAATTGAAGTGGTTGGGAAGATTCACGATAACGTGCGAAAACGTTCATTTATTACCGGGCGTTATGTCGCTTGCAATTTGCTTAAGTAACGTGGAGCAAGTCTTTTGAAATAGATGCGAGAACGTAACCCAGTCATTAAATGTAGATATAATTCAGTTTCACATTTAGTATATACTCGTTAATCGTTTGGGGCAACGTCAACCATTTATTAAAAGCAAAGATCGTTTGTTTCAGAAGAATGTAAATATACGAGTATATGCAAACCTCAGATCTTTGATCCGATTTTATATATCGCAAAGGACGTGGCTAAGATTAACTACTATTTGGTCGTGGAATTTTACTGTTAAAACAAATTAGCTCTTTTCTTTTTTATGCTTTTTTTATTTATAAATTTAAATTGTACACAAAACACATAGATACAGCTGATAAACCGAATCACTCCGCGTGACGGTGGTACTCGTAAGCTCGCCTCAAGCCACGTTAGATTCAAATATGCTCGGTGAAATATTGTGTGGTATGTTACAGTCAATAAATTCCTATGACTGTTGTGAGCATATTGTTTATTATATTTACTATATTTAATTTTTTTTTATTAACAATAGTCGTTTGTAGTTTATCAGACATTCATTTCTGATGTTCAAAAAATAATTTATTGTAAATAACGTCGTTGGATACATATTTATTTCATTATTATATCATTCATTAATTGTGTACTGCTGATCATAGGCCTTCCCCATAAGAGGGAGTTTTGCTAGTAGATACCATGCTTGGT